CAGATCTATTTTCTGGCTTCCGGTTAGTTCCGCGACTCTTCAGCTTTTGGCTGGCACTCAGGCAGAGTCCCTTTTCTGTCTGGTACAAGAACGGTGCTGGGCTATTGTTGAAGCTGATCATGACTGGACTCGTTGCCATGTAGCATATTCCGTGTCTGATTGCGATTTCTGTTGCTGTCCATTGGGTGTGTGGTGTCGGGCAGCTTTCTCTCTCACTAATAGCCTAAAATATCACAACCCAGTTGAGTGCTTTTCTTCTCGGAATATCTTGCTCGTTAGACCCTGTGATAGTGCAACACCTATCAGCTTGGTCGTATTGATCATATCCAGGCTCCAGGACCCCCGGCCGTGTGTCGCGTTCCACGTCCAGTCTTCCCGAGTCAGGCGAAGAGAAGGAGAAAGGAATCCCACCGCAGACCACACTTTCTCCGACTACGCCCCTCTGTCTGTACCCGTGCTCCAAGCCGAGCTATTTACTCGTATAGAAGCAGCCACGGAATTGTCTTTTCTTGTCGCGAGCTTGGGAAACCACGCAGACAGTCCCTACTCCCACGCACCTCGCACCCATGCACCTGAACCGCCACAGACATCATAGCCTCCGCCCAGCCCCGCTAGGAGAGTCGAGAGCTGCCTCCACTGCTTCGCGGGGCTTCGTCAGTCCCCTGTTCGGGGATGGCTAGAGCGGATGTTCTTTGATCGGAGGTGAGGCACTCCCCTGTAATATCACGCAAGTCTACACTATGACCGAACAAGGCTTTCACTTTCAGAATTAATCAAGATAATATTCCACTCTGGGGAGAAAAGAATAGAGAATAGATAATAGAGAAGAGAAAGAGAGAGAGAGAGAGGAGGGAGGGAGTAAGAAGAGGGAAAAGCACCCGATGATCTACACGGCCCCCTCATACCCAGTGCCAGTTCCAGACAGCTTAGCTTCCCCAGAAAGTAAATACGGCAATGAGCAGCGCCAGTGCTGGGTCTCGTTCGCCTGTGCAGGTCTCCATCTGCGCGAGGACATCATGCGGCATTGAGTGTGCAGTGCGTCTAGATGTGGCGTTCGCGGGGTACAGCTTACAGTTCAGCTTGAGGGAGAGGAGGGAAAGGAACAAAGAGAGACAGAGGAAGGCATTTGTGTATCTCTCTCAGAGGTAGGAATTCTCGAGATATCACGAATGGGATTTCGGAAGTGCTCGGGTAGGGAGTTTGATATGTCCCCAAAGCAGGGAAATGGAGATGGCATGATGTGACCAAAGTACCAATGTCTGGAAGTAGTGTTATAGTGTTATAGTAATAGTAATAGTTATCGTGTAGTGTGATAGTATTATCGTATTATAGTAGTATAGGTGATAGCTATAGTTGTATAGTTGCATTTTTGATAAGATGAGACCCGCATGCGGACGAGACCAGTGAATCGTCCACAATATCCAAGACCCACGACCTAAGACCCAAACTCAGCCCAGATAGCCCAGAAACAGGGCAAATCCAGGACAGTTGGTCCAAAAAAAGACCATGGCCTGACGGGATCCGAGGGTGTCACCAGAGTCATGACTGCATGAATGGCACTTCCCCTCTTTCTGCCTTTTCTTCCTTTCTTTCTTTCCCACTCTTCTCTACTTTTCTCTTGAATTTCATCTTCATCCTCTCTTCATCATGGCTGAACCTGGGCGTCGTGAGCGAAGACCCTCCGTGGGTGCCCCCATTGCCGATCTCCAAGGTCCCGTCGGCCCCGGATTTAGTCGTCCCAAGCACAAACGGACCTACACGGGACTGGGACCAGCCGAGATTAAGAGTGTAGAGGCCAGTATTCCTGAGCCCTTGCGAGAGGCGTGAGTGATTTCAATGTACAATGTCTGCCGTTCGGAGTGGGTGACTGACAAGGTAACCGGGCAGCTGGAAGAAACATGTAAGGAAACCAGTCTCGGGAGAAGACCAAGACTAATCTTTGGGACAGTCAGCCACAGAATTTACGAATAAAGAAGAGTTTGAGGTGAAGATTGACTGCTGATCATGGTGGACGTGGGTTGCTGACACTCAGTAGAAAGAGCTGGTACGCCACATTGAGACCACGCTTGCTCGTTCGCTGTACAACTGCGATGAATTGTGAGTTTTCTCGACCTTCTCAGCTTTCGACTTCCCAATTGATGTCTTTTAGGGCCGCATATTCCGGCACCGCGCTTGCTTTCCGGGACCGGTTGATCATTGAGTGGAACAAGACGCAACAACGTCAGACTACCACCGACCAGAAGCGAGTCTATTGTGAGAGTCTTCAGTAATTGCTAAATCGAAGAGACTGCTAATTGACTCTAGATCTGTCTCTCGAGTTCCTCATGGGTCGTGCGCTGGACAACGCCATGCTGAATGTGGGACTGAAGGAGGCCGCTCGAGGTCAGTATTGCAACCTGTGGCTTATGGCAGTACTGACCCACACTAGAGGGATTGAGTGATCTCGGCTTTCAAATCGAGGACGTGATCAGCCAGGAGCACGATGCGGCGTTGGGCAACGGTGGCCTAGGACGTCTGGCGGCGTGTTTCTTGGACAGCATGGCAACGCTGAATTACCCTGCCTGGGGATATGGCCTGCGGTACCGGTATGGAATCTTCAAGCAGGAGATCATCAATGGATACCAAGTGGAAATTCCAGACTACTGGCTTGACAATAACCCTTGGGAGTTCCCCCGACACGATGTCACGGTCGACATTCAATTCTACGGCAACGTGAAGAAGTATCAGGGAGAGAATGGCAAGATTGGCCACTCATGGGAGAACGGCGAGATTGTTCAGGCTACTGCATATGATGTCCCCATTCCCGGATACGGTACCAAGACCACCAATAACCTCCGCTTGTGGTCCAGCAAAGCCAGCAGTGGAGAGTTCGACTTCCAGAAGTTCAACGCTGGAGATTACGAAAGCGCCGTGGCAGACCAGCAGAATGCGGAAACCATCTCGGCCGTTCTCTACCCCAACGATAACCTCGAACGAGGAAAGGAACTCCGCCTGAAGCAGCAGTACTTCTGGTGCGCTGCCTCGCTGTTTGACATTGTCCGACGGTTCAAGAAGACCAAGAGAGCCTGGAACGAGTTCCCCGAACAAATCGCCATCCAGCTCAATGATACCCATCCTACCCTTGCCATTGTAGAGCTGCAACGCATCTTGATTGATAAGGAAGGTCTGGAATGGGATGAGGCGTGGAATATCGTGACCAAGACCTTTGCATACACCAACCACACTGTCCTTCCCGAAGCACTAGAGAAGTGGTCCGTTCCACTGATGCAGAATCTACTCCCTCGTCACTTGCAGATCATCTACGAGATTAATCTGTTCTTCCTGCAATCTGTGGAAAAACGGTTCCCCAAAGATCGGGAAATCCTATCTCGGGTCTCCATCATCGAAGAGTCGCATCCCAAGATGGTGCGCATGGCTTATTTGGCCATCATCGGTTCTCACAAGGTCAATGGTGTGGCTGAATTGCACTCGGATCTTCTCAAGACCACTCTTTTCAAAGACTTTGTTGAGATTTATGGAGTCGACCGCTTCATGAATGTCACCAACGGCATCACTCCTAGACGTTGGCTGCACCAAGCTAACCCAAGACTGTCTGCTTTGATTGCGGAGAAGCTTGGCAGCTATGATTTCCTGAAGGATCTCACTCTGCTTGACAAGATCGAAGCATTTGTCGACGACAAGGCTTTCCGGGCCGAGTGGGCTGAAATCAAGCGGGAGAACAAGGCCCGACTGGCCAAGCATATCAAGGCCACCACTGGGTTTGACGTGAACCCCAATGCTCTATTTGACGTGCAAGTCAAGCGTATCCACGAGTACAAGCGGCAGCAGCTCAACATCTTTGGTGTCATTCACCGCTACCTGAGCATCAAAGACATGACCCCCGAACAGAAGAAGAAGGTGGTTCCTCGCGTTTCGATCTTCGGAGGCAAGGCTGCTCCGGGATACTGGATGGCAAAGACAATCATCCACCTCATCAACAAGGTGGCCGACGTTGTGAACAAGGATCCAGATGTCGGTGATCTCTTGAAGGTGATCTTCATCGAGGACTACAACGTTAGCAAGGCTGAGATCATCTGCCCTGCCTCGGATCTGAGCGAACACATTTCCACTGCCGGTACCGAGGGCAGTGGTACAAGTAACATGAAGTTTGTTCTGAACGGAGGTCTGATCATCGGTACCTGCGACGGAGCCAACGTAAGACATGACCCACACCACAAGCATACTGTATCTATCTCATACTAACCTTATCCAGATCGAAATCACCCGCGAGATCGGTGAACAGAACATCTTCCTCTTCGGCAACCTCGCCGAAGACGTCGAAGATCTCCGTCATCGCCACTTCTACGGCGATTTCAAGATCGATCCTCAACTGGAGCGCGTCTTCAGCGCAATCAAGGGCAACACGTTCGGCGACGCTGGCGACTTCTCGGCCCTGACCAATTCCATCGAGGAACACGGCGACTACTACCTCGTCTCGGACGATTTCAACTCCTACGTCACCACGCACGACATGGTCGACGAGGCATTCCTCAACCAGGAGGAGTGGCTCGCCAAGTCGATTAGCTCCGTGGCGCGCATGGGCTTCTTCTCGATGGACCGTGTGACCAACGAGTACGCGGATAGCATCTGGAATATTGAGCCTCTGAATGTCAAGGACGATGAGTAGGGCATTAGTACTGTCAATAGTCTGTGGCCTTTCCGTTTGCACGTTTTATAGTTTTATGGCTTTGCATTCTCATCCGCATAATCAATTTGGTTTTTATCTTACAATTCTGTAATCATTACAAAGTTATGTAAAAAGTCCCTTGATCCATCATATAATCTTAATTTTGAATTCGACTGATCTATCCAGGACTTCATCTAAACAAAACCGCCCGGAAGATGCTATCTAGACATATCATTAACCATAGCTAACATTGAACACGTCACCTAGTCCACGCCACCAAAGAAGGGGTGGGGAAGCACAAAAACTCCAAGCTGAATAAAACCAAGAAACAAACTCAAGCCTCCTCCTGAATAGTAGAAGGCTTATGGCCATCCGACAAAGCAGCCGTGGCAGACGTACTCGGTGCGGAGAAAGTCTCCGGCCAAAGGAACATCTTCTCCTCCTGAGAAGGCGTCGCACTCTTCATAAGGGTCGGCACAGCTTCCTTGGAAGAAATCCGTCTCCACATGTTCGCACGAGGATTATACCTCACCGGCTTACCCACGCCGCCGGTCTTCTTCTGATCCTCGCGCGAGATGGCCTCCACGTCGCGCTTGACATCGGCAAAGGTGTCGAACGGTGTGTAGGAGATGCCATGTTCCAGACAGTGTTCTTCGAGGCGGAGACCGCGGCGCGCGAATAGAACGTCTGCTTCGCGGGCGGCGGCTAGGTCGCTGACGCCGTCGCCGATGAAGACGATTAGGGGGATTTCGTCGGGCGTGCATTCGGCCTGAGCTTGTTGTCTGGCGGTGTTGACGCTCATAGCTTTGTCGTGGCCTGATTCTGATTCGTCGCGCCAGACGGGTTTCCAGGGGCTGCCGCCTGTGATTTGGACGTCGTTTGCAACGATGTCGATTGTGGAGGCCTGGTGGGGGTTGGTTGGTTAGTTTGGGGATTGGGATGGACTGGACTAGGTGGCATACCTCTTTCTCGCCGAGGAAGATGTCAAGGACCCGTTGCAGGATGGGCTTGAGACCGGCGCTGATGACGTTGAAGGGGAAGCCGTTTTCTTTACAATATTGGTGGAATTCTTGGAACCCCGGGTCAATCTGGAGGTTCTTTTCCATGACCTCGAAGCCATCGCCAAAGGGCATTGTGAGAGATCCCCACATGTCGTCGGAGATTTCGCGGAAGGATCGTTCGCCCGTCTTGAATTGTTCTTCTAGTTTGTTGCGGTAGGCTTCACCGCAGCCATGGTGGTCCACTAGGATGTGGCCAGTATCCTGCATGAAAATCGTGCCATCAAAGTCTGGATGTGGTTAGTGTCGGTCATATTTTGGCTGGGTGGTCATAGGATGGGATTGGGTGGAATTGAGTAGGATTGAGACATCTTAGTCCAGGGTGTGGCTGCACAGGACAGGGATATGGCTTAGGGCTGGGATTGCATACCTGAGAAGATAATAATCTTTCTCCTCTGATTGGGTTGGATGTCTTGGATCGCCATTTTATAGAGCTATACAGTATATACGATGAGTGGGATGGAGATAGAGGTGTAGAGAAAAGGAAAAAGCGGACAAGGGATCCTAAGTAGGCGTTCGTCCAGACTCTTCCTTGGTCTGGCCGTGGCAAACAAGACAGGGACAATGACGTCGACGAACGACATCAGTGTGGGCCGTCGAAGCGGTGGATCGTGCCGTATCAACAGCCTCTGATTGGCTGGTTGAGATGCCGGGCCCGAACTGCCGTCAGGGCATGTCCCGATGGAATTTGATTGGTTGGAATAAGTGGAGTACAAATGGGGCTGACATCTATGAAAATACATCATACATTGGCAATATATCTCGTAGGAGGTCAAGTAATAGGATCTAGTTCGCGGTCAACTCAGTAATCCGACGCTGTAGTTCAGGCACTGCTCGTAGCTGCAGATCCAGCTCTTCCTTCTCACTATAACAGAGTCAGTAACGTGCATTCATAGATCTCGGCCAACTTACTCTTCCAGTTTCAGCCGTCGTTCCCAGTCCAGACCGGTAAAGATGTAGCCTCCTTCTCCGTCAAATTGCAAGATCTTCTGGTGGTATTTCCAGAGACTCCGACGATGCGAAACAGTCATGAGAGTGGTACCCAACTTCTTGGCCGTCTCATACATGACTTTCTCGATCTCCAAGGTCACGGATGACGTGCACTCGTCCAAAATGGCGAACTTGGGACGGTGATAGAACAAACGAGCCATGGCGATGCGCTGTTGGAGACCGCCAGATAAGACGTCGCGCCATTCTTCCTCCGCATCCCAGCCTCCAGGGCGGTCTACGACGGATGCGATCTCAACCACAGAGAGAACCTCATAAAGGTCGGCATCCGTGATTCCCTTGGCACGCATCTCGCGCACACTATCCGGGTAGATAACTTGCTGTCGCAGGGTTCCACGGGATAAGTACGGTCGCTGTGGGATATAGAAGATATCTTGAAAAGGGGGCTTCTTCACTGTGCCTCCGTACACCGGCCAGAGCCCGCCCAGAATCCGGAAGAGAGACGATTTACCACAGCCGTTGGGTCCGACAATCAAGAGATGTTCACCGGGGTGAACTGTGAAGGACAACTCACGCACCAGGACGTCTCCATTTGGTGATACAATTGGTACGTCGGTGAATTCAATCGCATCGCTCTCCATGACTTCACCTCGGCCAGATAGTACAGCTGCGTTCTCTTCAGTTGAAGCAGAGGACACCAACTTCTTCTCGAATCGACCAGCAAGCAGGTCGTCCATGACTTCCAGCAAAGATGAGACTCGTGATGTGTAGCCAGCAAGCTCTGAGATCTCCTTGTAAGAGAACATCAAACGGCCAAAGGCATCTGACGAGGAGAGCAACATCCGACGATTCGTGACAAAGCCTACCATAGTCAGCCTATACGATAACCAGTTCAGAATCAATTGTACTCACTTTCTGTGTGGTCTGCCATGCTGTGAGTTGTCTGTCCAGGGATCTTGAAGAAGACAGGCACACTGCAGAGAATCAAACCCAGAGCACCCCAGAAATACTTGATCACAAAGTCCTCCATGAACCCATGATACAGTCTCCTGCGCAGAATGCGATTCACATGTTTGATAAGAGTAAAGTAACCCTTGTCCAACGTATCCTTCTCAGCTTCGTGGCCATGGTAAAGAGCCACCTCTTCATTGTAATCAATGAGTCTTGAGTGCAAAAACCGGAATTCACCCTCCAAGCGAGCCTCGTCTGCCACATATTTACCAAATGGGGGAGTCAACATGCGCATGACATTGGCTGAGAGTTGCACGAGTAAACTCATAATGAACAGTCCTTCTCCTCCAACATTCTTCGACAGAGAATAGTTGTATATCGCCATGTCGAGAATTGGCTTGGCTAAGTTGGAGTATAATTCAGCCAGACTATCCGAGAAACGAGAAACATCAACCGTGACAAGCTGGTCGGGGTTTTTGATGCGGTCATCCAAGGCGGAAATAGCATAGAAGGTCATATTAGACAAATACTTTTCATGAATATAATCGGTAAGACGTTTGCGATAGCTTAGCGCGAGCTTGCATTGGTGGTATGAAAGCTAAAAAGACAAGTGATCCAGTCAGCAAGCCGGTCGCAAGCTCGGTGCTAGCCGGATAATCCATCATCGTCACCAAGGACTCACCATGGAATTCGTGAAAGTGGCAGGAACAGCGACAATCATCCACCAAACAAGACCCAGCAGGAAGTCCTTTCCCTTGCCGCGCACCAAGTTGCTCACGAGTCGTCCATCCAGCTCAGCTACATACAAACTGAGCAGTGTACGCAGCACTAGGAATACACTATGACTAACCAGTAAGCGTAGTTCCTTACTGCGCCAACCCGGGATGACGATCTTTAGCAAGCGAAACAAGTTCTTAAAGAACTCGCGGTTGATCTCAACCCTCTTCTTGCGGGGCTGTTCTTCTTCGCCAAGACTGCTGGTACCGGGCCGTCGGCGGAGCTCGACTTGCTGGGTCGCAGCTTTCTGTTCGGAGATGGCATTATGAATTCGTTTTGCGAGTGCGGCAAAGAGGGCTAGGTAGACGGCGCGGGAGATGCGGGTGCGGTTGCGGAGGTAGAGGGATGTAAGGCTTGAGACGATGTGTTTGATGGAGCGCTCGGGCGGTAGCAGTGTCGACTGAACGGCCATGACGATGCTGGTTTTGCTTTTCAGCCAGAGTCTGGAGCATACATGACCGTTCACGATGGAAGGTGGAAGAGTCGAGGTGAGTTGGGGTGTAGAGCAGAGGAGAGGGAGAGATGAGGAATGACGGAGGGCCTGACATGTGATACCCCAGAAACCCGGGGAAGTTCAACCGAGGAACGGGAACATGCGCATGTCCAACATAACTACTTGCACATACGCAGTACGCTTATTTCATAAGCTAAGATGCGATTCAAATACTCGAGGGCCAAATAATATCTACGAATATTTATTGCAATCGTTTTTTCTCGGGAACCTTATGAAATCCGCCATTTCAGGCAACTTGGTAATTGCAGCATTACATGTGTACGTATACAAAGAAAACAAAACGGTGAAGTCAAATGCTGGAACAGACTGTCCCCTCGTGTCAGTCATATGTACAAAGATTGCTGGCTGCGATAGATGAATAGGCACGCGCGCATAGGTATATACAGGTATTGGGAAAACAAAAATAGGTTCAGATCAGACGTAAATGTAAAGCTAAGGAGACTTGGTCTCTGATTCACCAGAGTCCTTCTTATGTTCGGGGTTGGTTCGATGCCGAAGGCCACTGTTGATCTGAGCGGCGATCTGGGATTGCTTGAAGCGTTCGAATCCTTCGGCATCTTGTTGCTGGGCAGCCCAGAGTTCGTCGACAGTGGTGCCGAGTTCCTCGAAGGCTCTGTCGGTTTCGATATTGTCGAAGTTGGAAAAGGCCTGCTCGTTGTGGAGACGGTCGAGCTTCTGTCGAAGAGCGGCGATATGGGAGTTGTCATTATCTTCATCTTCTTCGCCAGACCCGGGGGCGAGGGAAGGCTTGAGGAAGTCACGGCGGAGGTTTTGGCCAATGCGATGAATGTGACCCTCTTGAGAGGTCATGGCACGAGAGTGAAGAGAAGTCATAGAGCTGGCGCGGGACAGGCGGACAGCAAAATGGTCTCCATCTTCCTCATCGGCTCCATTCTCGTCAACTTGACCGTTGTTGAAGTTGCCACCAGTAGTCACGGAACCAGTTCCATCCTCATTGGAGTGTTGAGAACTGGAATCCGGAGCTGAGACAGCGGGTGCGGTTTGAGGAGTGATGCGAGTTTCTGGGTATTCGTCCTCGAAGCGCTGAATCATCCTGTGTAAGGTGATATCCAAGAATTGCAAACGGCCTGAAGAAAGTCGTTAGCATAAGTCCTTTCACATTCCCATTTTGGTTTGATCGAGATGGGAGACCAAAGGCACGCAAAGATGGATAAAACAAGTGAGGAAAAAGGAAAGAACCGTTCAACTTACGGTAATTCGCGTCATTGCCAGCACGATCCTCGCGAATGAGAGCCGACTGGATACGAGCTCTGATATTCCGGGCCGATTCAAGCAGATTCTTCGACATGTCACGGGGCCGTTTGGTAACAACACTGCGAGACTTGCGGCGTCTGGGAGTGTTGGTACCACTAGCCGGTACAGATTGATCCCCGAGAACCTCAAGGCCCTGCTGTTGATCCAGATTTCCGAGACAAACACCCAATGCCTTAACCACCCCTGTTCCACTAATGACGTAGTCCTCGTCTGGAGCCGCCTCGTTATCCTCATCACATGGCTCTTCGGAGGCGATAGTATGTCCGACAATGTGCTGCAGAATTTCGGGCACAGGAACCTCCTTAGTTCCAATATGATCGCAGGAGTCGGAAAGCTCCTCCGCAATGGCACCTCCTTCGAGATTCCGTAGCGAGTAGGCTACGATCTGCGACGCCAGAGCTTTGACAACTTCATTGTTTTCAGCGCTGGGTATATCGATATCGACTGCAATGATGGTTCGCGAAACACGGACCGCGACCATCATTGATGCGTATAAAGCGCATGCTTCTTCCTGAGTAACAGCGTCGGTGGTAGAGGCAAGGTTCTCAATTTGTTGGTTCTCCAATATATTCAAATGGCAAAGACTAGGGCACTCGGGTAGCACCTCGGCGAGACCAATTACATGGTCTGATGTCAGGTCCACATCTGCCAAGTGGAAGCGTTTCAAAGAGGTCATTTTCGGTAAGAATCGACGGAACATTCCAAGAGCATTTGGTTGGGTAGAGAATAGCTCGCGGTTGTGAGAAAAGTCGATGAAACGGAGGTTGTGGATTTGAGTAAGAGCCTGGAGCAGTGGGCAGAGCATTGACGCGTTCAAGGAGCAATCTGCCAAACTCAGAGCCAAAAGTGGCTGCTCAGGCTCAATCGCATTCGTGATAAGATCAAGATCATCCTTGATGGCATTTCCACCTAAATCCAGGCCTTCACATTGACCAAATTTGAGATACTCGACCACATGTTCCAGGCCCTCTCGGGTCAGACCATTGTTGGCAAAGCCAAGTCTCCGCAGGCCCATCTTGATACTTGCCTGGCAAATTTGCTTGACGACGTCAACCGAAGGATAGCACTCACTCATAAGCAGTTCTTCAAGATGATCGCCGCCAAAGCGCTCTGCCAGGGCACTAGCGAAGACAGCACTCACATCAACTGTCTGTGTTTGACCTGCACCAGAACCATCAATCTCAATCTGGCCACGAGGGAAAGGAATGCCCGATAAATCGATCGCTTTCAGAGATTTCGATAAGTGTATAAAAAGACTGATATGGCGCCATCCTTCCCGTCCAATCTTAGGATTGTTCTTCAAAGAAAGCTTTTCCACGACACCATACCGTTCATGATCCTTCATACCCGGGGACTCAGGTCTTCGAGATCGTCTCCGTCGGTACCGCATCTGTTCCACTGTCTTTGTAGAAAGAAGACCTGCAAGAAGGGCCCGTACAGATACGTCCGTCAGTGCGCAGTTTTCAAGAATCAACTTGCGGACTGGGACAACAGCAAGCCAATCACTGAAAGTCGTCAGATCCTGGGATGTCATCGGAAAGTTGCTAAGGTCTAAAGCGGCCACTGTGCCAGGAGATTCAGCCAATGTCGATGAAGGTTTCGAAATCTCGTCAACCACTCTTTTGAGAACAGGGGTTTCGCGCAGCTGACAGCATCGGCGATAGATGCGCACCGGGTCGGTCGTTGGGTGACTTTGCGTTTTTGACTTAACTGCACCAGGCGGTGATCCTTCGGTTTCTTCCTCGTCATGCCCGGCATCCAGTTGCAATGGCACAGAGCCATTTGCCACTGCTTGGCGCCGTTTTCTTTCCTTCCGTTCTTTGCGTTCTGCCTCCGACCGTTTCTTCTTCTCTTGCTTTCTTGTTGGGTCAACCCCTTCGCTATTTGGTGCAGACTCAGTAGAAGGTTTAGGCGTAGTAGTGTCTTCGGGGGAAGATGGAGACTGAGTGACCGCATCGCCTGTAGCCGGAGCAGGAGTCGGTAGGGACGCGTCCTCTTTAGCCAAGACAGCTTCGGGGTCTTTTAAAGCTGCAGCTTCCTCGCTATCTTTCGACTTAATCTCCGCCTTCTTAGACTTGTGCGTGTTCGATTCGGGGAGAGGCTGTCGTAGTTGGTTGGTCGGAGGAGCTTCCTCGTCGTCATCGCGGTGTGATATGCCCGCGATTTCCACATCTACACAGAAAGCTACACGGTTGAGCTTGGCTTGGTCGAGATCTGGGACTTTGCATCGGTGGCGATTCTGATCGATGTTCATCACACGTCGCGGACAGATGGAACCATTGGCATTTAACTTGGGCAAGCCACCAGAGTTAGAAGAAAACTTGCGCAGAGCATTGTGAATGAAAGATGGCCCTTTGGGGGATGTAGATGTGAAAGGGTTGGAGTCGTCTTTCTTTTCCTCTTCCTTATCTCTCGGGGAGTAGGCGGCACCAAACGGATTGTGTGTGTCAAGAGGGGAAGTCGTTTTCGGACTCGCGGGACTAGCCTTCAGGCTGGATTGCGACGGCGGTGTAGATCCGGATGAGAATTTGGAGCTCAAATTGGATATCCAAGAGTTTCGTCGTCCAATGGGCTTGGGGTCGCTCTTTCGCGAGGCCGGAGACGGTGTGGATGTTTTTGGTTCCTCAATCTTCTCTGGTGGTTGTGGCTTCGGCTCTACTTGTGCTGCATCGCTCTGAGATAATTTCCGCTGTTCCGAGGAAGAGGGGGTTGTCGGTTTTGCCGGGTTACTGTTGGATCGATTTCTCCGATGGGATTTAGGTGGAGAGGATGCCGGCTGTTCTGAACCAAGTTCGGGTTTGGGCCTTTCAGTAGTTGAAGTTCCTGAATTCACTGACTTCGTGCGGGATAAGTGGTCTGAGGTAAGGGTCAGATCAGAAGCACCCAGGACAGCCGTACCCCGGATTCGAGAAGCCACTTGCAAAACAGATCAAACATACCTTTCTGTGAATGATGAAGCCAGCTCACATCCACAGTCTGGACACCCTCCATATTGAAATAGCCTCGCTCGATCTGAATGTCCAGAAAGATTGTTTCCGCGGCAGCCGTCGGAGTTGGTCAGTGGTGTGGCGTTATATGACGGGAGTGATGAAGAGGTCTAAATCGTATGACGCATTATTGAGTGTTTCCCCACTTCTCATGGATGATCGCAAGGCGCGGATTTGAAGAGACAAATCAAGTGGACAGCACTAAACCGCACCAGACAGCAAATGGAAGTGCCGCAATGATGTGCCGTATGATCTGCGACCGGGTGATCCGTTAGACACCGCTACAGGGAGCAATAGAGCATGATTGGAAGTAACGCAGGATGCATGGTGAAGCAGAAAAGGAGATCATTAGAAGAAAAAGAGCCAGGAGACTCCGGATGGGGAAGTTTAAGCATGGGAATAAAGTGACATAATAAGGTAATTGGATCGGGGGGAGGCTCCACTTAGGCACGTGAGCTCGAGTCCCGTGTCTCCACGTGACACGGCAGGTACGGTATGGTAATGAGGCTCTGTGAATTACAGGGATTCCAGGTAACAAGAACTTGATATCTATGACTTTGCTGGGGAACTAGACGACTATATGCTGGTTAAATTGACCCTAGAAATATCAATGCTAGAGGATTGAAAGACCGTATGCTTCTTGGATCAAGATAGATCTGATAGTATGATTCACATGCAAGATTCTTGGTCGGCGCCTGCTAGTGAAAAATAGCTCTTCAAGTCTCTTAATTATTCCTATTACAGTGGATCCTACACTCACCGATATTTCATGTGCATATTCATATTGAAAGGTTCATGATGACCTCTCTTTTTCCCCCTTGTTCTCTCGTTTCAGTCATATACATATCATAAAATGGGTATGTGACAGTAATCATAGTCTTGCTGTTTGCAACAGGTATTGCCTTGCAACAATCCGAGACAAGCCTGCAGGAACAGGTTCCACTCATATCATCTCATTCAGCCTTAAGATACTTGCAAACTATTGTCGGGTATCTCTGCCTTCTTACTCTCCAACTTGTCGCCTCTCGAGTGTCACGCGCCAATCTTGGTCGGAAGTCTGGGGCAAATACGGAGTAAGCAGCACTCTATCATCGGGAGACTAAAACATAACTCTATGAATCCCCTTGGTTCAGAATTAGCATATCGGCTGCTTTGAATGTCCGCATTACAGCATTATCTCATGTGAGATGAGCAAGAACTTCGCCATGGTAGTAATATCGTGGGAAATGTTTCGTATCAGTATCGTAATAATATTTGTAAAACTCTCTGTAAAGAGGCCTAACGACACAAAGCGGAAATGCTTGTGATAGTCACGAGTGCCACCAAAAATAGAGTATATGAAATACCTTAACAGGATAATGATACCGGTGAAGAACAGTAGACCGGAAAGCAGAGGCAAATGCGGGTGCAGTTAATATATGGGCCAATGTCGAAAGTCAGCCATTGGAACCAAAGAAAGGAGGAACTCAGCCATTGAGCGGGCGGTCATTGGTGGTAGGCCAATCCGGAGTATGTTCGCCTCTCCGGTGGAGGGAAGCACGGTCGATATGCACCCTAGTGCTTAGGGTCGGGTGTGGGGAGCCGACAGCATTTTCTTGTTTTGAATTACAGTGTCAATAAGTCTTATTTACAGGTGTACATATGAAAGACGAATGATCGTTTCACGATTTTACATTCATAAGAGAGTGGTAAGCTTACATCTGCATCTGCATGGAGTTTAGTCCTTGATTAACTAACCGGCTTGTGGAATAAGACGGCTTAGGATGGTGGTACCATAAGGTGATTGCATTGTGTTACCACTGGTAGCAAATATTGACTTACAAGTACCGGTGTTGAATGCTTGGTAATAATTAAAACGCACATAAGAGACGGGTATCCGCGATGAAAACGCCTAAAAACGCCCCGCTAGGACCGAGTGTCCTGTCGATGTAAAAGAAAACGCATCCGAAGGGTATGCGATGAAAGAAACAGTCATCACAGCGTCAAGGGAAAGTGGGCCATTGCGCACTAGCAACGGACCAAGATTCTACTCCAGACCGGGGATATTCTTGAGATACTCCCAACCGTACTCCTCCTCTTTAGCCTCAGCCTCCATGCCCAAGGCAAAGCGGTAGGCGCGGACCTCGTTTTGCAAGCCAGAAATGATTTTGGTGGGGAGGTCGTCTTCTTCACAGCGCATGCGGTGGGCGGTGCGGATAACGCTCGCACAATTCAGGAACTGGGCGTGCCAGTGGTCACGATCGAGGCGGCTTTCAAGGTGGGCATCGCGCTCGGCCTGGAGGAGGTTGTTGTAGTGGCGCTTTTGAGCGAGGTAGTGCATGTTGTTATTCTGGCAGTAGTTGCGGATCTGCTCAACCATGACTCCGACGGCGGTTTGGAATTCGAGGATCATGTCCCAGTTCTCGTGACGGTGGGCCTTGTGGTTTGCCGAAACGGACTTCTCCTTTGCCAAGGCGCGCTCGAGTTCGGCGATGCGGGCAGCTGCTGTCGATTAGTATCTGTGAAGGTAGAGAGGGCTTTCTGAGGGGTTTGCATACTAAGGTTTTCACCGGTCTGGTCGCCAGAGCGAGAGCTGTCGGTGATGCCATTCTTCTACAGACCTGTAAGCTCAATGTCGCGGACCAACTGTTATCAGATTCCACCTACCATGATCTCCTCGGCGTTGGACACGATGTTCTTGGTGACATCTCGGTTGTTCTTCAGGACATCGCTCAATTCGACGACCATCTCGTAGAGATGGTGCAAGTCCATCTGGTGACCAGCGTTCATCGGAATGCCGCCCATGCCGCCCATGCCGCCTATGCCACCACCAGCGATCTGAGTGGTGGAGGAATTGTGAGAAAGGGCAGGAGAAGGAGTTTGGCGAGGAGGGACATTAGGCACGGCATTACTATCAGCATAGCCAGTGGAGCCTGTAAAGATGCCAGCATTGGGTGCGTTGTTAGACATGGTAGTGGCGTTCATAGAGATGTCGGCGTTGTCAAAAGCGCGGTTGAGTTCGTCGAGGGAAGGATCGTTAGGGTTGAACGTTCGGGGAGTGCCGTTATCCTCGTCGTACCAGGAAGCGTGGTTCTGAACACCCAAGATCTCCGATTGAAACTTCTCAAGGTCCCGGCGAGTAACGTGGGTGGAACGACGGCGATGCCCACGCGCAAAAGGCGCCTTGGAAGTGGAGGAAGAATTGCCGCCCTCGATGGTGGCGGATAGGTTGATTTCAGAATCGCTATCGATCGCGGTCTCAGAGCTCTGGTCAGAATCACAGGTCGGGGAGCATTCAACCAGCGTGTTGTGCTGGGGGCTCCCGCTAACCCCAGATGGGACTAGACCTGCACGTGACCTGGCTGGCAACGGGCGTTGGCCCTCGATCAGCTCCCTCATCTTCTCGAAAGCATTCATTTGTGAATGAAGAAGGTTCCAATTTGGGCCCAAGAAGAATGTGATTACCCTTGCCCTTCGAGGAACCGGTTTCCCAGTCTGTCGAGTGGGGCGAAGCCTATTTTCTTCTCGACCGACGGAGAACGAGTGTGTAGGTGTAATACATCAATGACGGTGACTTCAACCCGAAACGGACCCCAGAACTAGATACTTGCGGTTATTTAGTACGTGTCTGCATATCAGAATACAACCTGAGTAGCGATGGCTACAATTGCTATGTTTTATCCTTTTCGATTGGGTACGATGCTGTGGTCGTAGAAGATACCAAAGAAATATATACAATGGGCAACGGCATTGTAACCAGGACAACTATGAGCTACACATCACGTAATTCCATCGAAGTCTACTATATGAGTATCCAGATTTTAGTGAGTTCAGTTGATTCCGTATTGATATCGCCAATAAATTCATTGTATGCTATTCAGCATGGGGTATTTCAGTTTCGTCAAGACATGTCCATCAAGGCCTGCAATCTCTGATCAAAGCCAGGTAGCGAGTAATCGTGAGTTTCAGGGATATCGCTGCTTTGCTTCTGCTGTGCAATCCTACCTCCCACCCTTGCAACCAGCATCCGCATTTTCTCTAATTCTTGAACAAGCTCACCATCCTTGGTGATAAGGTTGGGCTGAATATCCTTTAGAGGATCTTTGAACGGCTCAAGGAGGCGTTGAAGATTCTGCAATTGATCGAGGCGTCGTTGGCGTTGCTGACGCTGACTATCCAGGCTAGCCAGGCGCTCACGGAGCTGCTGGTATCTGTACAACTGGTGTCAGGCGGGCGGATGTACAATCGGGGCTAATCCGACTGCATTGAGAACTCACCTGGTATTCTGCTCTTCAGTTGGACCCTGGCCTTCCAGCTCAACAGGTAGCCCTGTGATATTCCTGGGTTATGTTGGTCAGAACCTCGATATGCTTTACGTGGAGCCGGCTTGGTCTCACATTTGCCTTGACAAATCTGTGGTCTTTTCAATGCCTTGGGCAAATAACCTTTGACTACGAGCATCCTGACTGACCGAGGTCCAGTATAGGCTTGCAATCTGTTGGGCAACGTGATGTATGGCTTGTGATGAATAAACAATGCGGTTGTGCTGCTTCGCGGCGGCATTGACTGTGGTGTGGTTAGCCTTACGAACATCACAGTGTCATGAAACCCCGAGCTAAAGCTCTACGGAAGACTGCAATTAGTGCCCTGACCTTTGTGTAGGACATCTTCAATGACCTTGTCGTTCAGATCTCCCTCTTCGGTCTCGGTAGCATAATTTCGCCAGTCTTCGGGTAAACCGAGACTTTCGGAGAAGATGCGTACTTGATTCCAGATAAAGGCAGATTTCAGCTCAAATATGGTCCGAGCAGACTCCATCTTGACATGGTAAAAGAAACACTGGAATCTCGCGCGATCCTCAGAAAGCGCGCCTTATCGATAAGAGCCCATCACGTGATGTCCCCGCAAAGGGATCAAGAATTGCATCTGAACCCGGTTCATATTATGTTGAGATCTCCTTGTGAATATCTGGATAAAAAGGTCTACTTCATTGATGCCCTCTCCAGTGATCCAACAGCGCCTGTCAAGGTGGGGAGCATATCCTCGGTCTAAAGCGCAGTGATCGTCAGTACCTCGGCAACTTGACCGACTCCAGACTCCAGATTGATTAAGTAGTCCAGATCCCTTCTGAACGAATTTATTCTAGGACATTCAGCTTTTCGAGTCAAGCTCAATCAAGAATACCTCGAATTTCCTTCTAACACCGCTTATCATTCTGTCGTAATTTCAATATGACAGAGACAAACCGACCGGTGGGCTTACTGTTCGACATTGGAGGTGTGTGTGTAAGTCAACAACCAAGTACAAACATTTGAATCACAGGCACTGATTAAATTATAGGTTGTATCGCCATTCCAAGCAATCCTAGACTACGAGATTGCCCAGAATATCCCTCCAGGATGGGTCAATTTCAGCATTTCACGAACAAAGCCGAACGGTAGCTGGCATAAGCTGGAACGGGGCGATATCAAGTTGGATACAGATTTCTTCTTGGGCTTTAATGCAGACCTACGAAACCCAGCTCTATGGGAACAATTCCACCAACAACTACAGAGAAAGCAAGGGACCAGCTCCACCACCATCCCTCCCTTGCCCACGGTGGATGCCGAATGGCTCTTCTGGGAGATGATGCGGGTCTCACGTACTCCAGACCGATACATGTATCCGGCTCTGAAAAAGCTCCGAGAGTCTGGTCAGTTCTTGATGGGCGCTCTTTCCAACACTGTCATATTCCCCGAGGGACACGAATACAACAAAGATGTCTCCGGAGTCAAGTCGCAATTCGACTTTTTCATTTCTTCAGCACATTCCGGCCTTCGCAAGCCTGATCCGAAGATCTATCAAGTGGCGTTACAGGAGATGGATACTCTAGCTAAGAAGCGGGGACTGCCCGGGACCAACCCCAATGATGTTGTCTTTTTCGACGATATTGGGGAGAACCTGAAGGGAGCAAAGATGGCTGGTATGCGTACGGTCAAGGTCACCCTTGGCAAATCTCAAGACGCAGTCAAGGAACTGGAAAAGCTCACTGGTCTCCAATTGCTGGAGGATCAGGCACGGCTGTGATGTATATGGGATTTTGTATGTTAGAAAACTCCCAAATAAAGTATCAGAATAGAAAGAAACTTCAAGTCACCCATCTGAATAGTTCTGATTTATATTTACAAATTTTCTGAATTTGTGGTGAATTAATTAGTTCCGTGGGGTTTCCCCGTACCAAAAAAAAATCGATGTTCTCGTCGCCGACCCCAAAACCGACGGGAGATGCAGCCACGCGCTAAGCGAAAACCCGCACAAATTGGGCCTGCAAAATTTTGGATCTTCTTTCTTGACCATCCCTCGACACCTTCGACACCGTCAAAATGGTGAGTTGAATATGGCAAATGCCTTGATCTTTATTTCGTCTCCTTTTGGAGCCGGGTCCCTGCAAGCTGCTTCGGCGTGATCTCTGAAGCGTTAATTGCTGACTCGTGATGTCTTCTACAGCCTTTCACCAAGAACGTCAAGAACGATGCCTACTTCAGGTGAGTTATTTCCACATTTTCTGATCTATTACAACATACTAATATTTTTTCCAGTCGCTTCCAGACTAAGTACCGCCGTCGCCGTGAGGGTAAGACCGACTACTATGCTCGCAAGCGCCTGATCACCCAGGCCAAGAACAAGTACAATGCGCCCAAGTACCGCATGGTTGTTCGCTTCACCAACCGTGACATCGTTACCCAGATCGTCTACTCTGAGATCTCCGGTGACAAGGTCCTCGCCGCTGCCTACGCCCACGAGCTCCCCCTCTACGGCATTGACCAGGGTCTGACCAACTGGGCTGCCGCCTACGCCACCGGTCTTCTCCTTGCCCGCCGTGTCCTGAAGAAGCTCGGCCTTGACGAGCAGTTCAAGGGTGTCGAGGAGGCTGACGGTGAGCACACCCTCACCGAGGCCGTCGAGACTGAGGACGGTGAGCGCCGCCCCTTCAAGGCCTTCCTTGATGTCGGTCTCGTCCGCACCTCCACCGGTAACCGTGTCTTCGCCGCCATGAAGGGTGCCTCCGACGGTGGTATCCTCATCCCCCACTCCGACCGCCGTTTCCCCGGTTACGACATTGAGGACGAGTCCCTCGATGCCGAGACCCTCAAGAACTACATCGTCGGTGGCCACGTTACCGAGTACATGGAGAACCTTGCCGATGAGGATGAGGAGCGCTACAAGTCCCAGTTCGCCAAGTACATCGAGAACGAGATCGATGCTGGTGACCTCGAGGAGATCTACACTGATGCCCACAAGGCCATCCGTGAGGACCCCTTCAAGGCTGACGAGAACGCCGGCCCCAAGAAGTCCAAGGCTGAGTGGAAGGCCGAGTCCAAGAAGTACAAGGTCCAGAAGCTCACCCACGCCGAGCGCAAGGCCCGTGTCGAGCAGAAGATCAAGGACCTCTCCCAGTAAGAGGGTCGCTTCTTATCTTTCTCAAAAGTTCCAAAATTCAAGAGGGAATTGGCTACTGCCGGCGTTTTTTTCGATGTGATGTAGTTTGACGGATCATGGACATACCACTGTGTTTTTTTTACGAAAGGTTTTCTGGGAGCAATTAGTTCGGTGTTCATTCTCAAGGCAATTTCTTTACTCAGTTCTAACTGCTCCCGTCAATGTCCAACAGTCTTGTTCCCTCACGTGCTTTCCCTGCATCTGCTTGTAGATGGGACCCGTAGTCGTAAACCCTCCCGTATTTGCTTCATTCAACAAAGGACACGCCCTTGATAAATACCAGTTCGTCTCAATCGACTGACTCGAAATACTCGACAATGCCCGAAGTAAACGTATCATGAACCAGACTGCCCCACCCACGATCCATGCACCGCCAGCTTCGAGTACGTGATGACCACAGTCCAGCAGAAGATCAAGAATACATAGCGTCTCAATATTATACCCGCCTCACATCATCTAGAAGGGGACCACTTATGAACAAAAGCAATTAATACAATAGTACCCATGTTCATTATTAATGTTCCGGGAGACGCTAAAAGAAAGAGGAATGGATGATCCATCGTCCTCTCCGCCTATAATCCCAACAACCAACCAACCCAATGAAGAGATATCAGCAACACACGCACGCAAGCTGGCACAAAGCCTACGCAGACAACCACGATTGCCCATGGTGTCTTGAGAACCCTTCTCTACGCGACAATGTCGGCCCCCCAAGCCGACCGCAGTCTAAGCTGCGCACTCGGGTGCCAACTCGCAATGGACACAGCAGGATGGAGACTGCCTCGCCTAGTCTCTCTGTTCATGCCCAGCAGCAGCCTATGAAATACGAACAAGAACATCAAAATGAAGAAGAGCACTATGAACATCAATCGCTCCCTGAGGGCCAAGTCGCCGATTCTCAGGTGGAAAGTCACACCCCCACCGCTGACTTTGCTGATGATGATGCCGCGCATTTTGAGAATGACGTCGCTTCCCACGACGTGGAAGACGCTAGTCATGTCAATGAACAGGAGGGGCAGAGTTTGAATGAGGTCGTGGACGATAGTGTTCTTGGTGCAGACCGCCAGTTCTCTCCGGAGGTATCCGATGATCGGACGACTTCTGAACAATGAATGCTTGTTCCATCGTGAGTGTCAATCCGTGTATCGGATGGTCTTCAAACTGCACTGTTCTCTTGTTTGCTAACATGTTTGTCACGTAGCCCGACGAAGTACTTCCGATGAAGTCATGCTACCAGCGGTTGCGAGAATAACACCATGTTCTTTCAATAGGTTGAAGCTGATGAAATTTGGTGATGTTGAATATATTGGATATTAGCTATATACATTGTAAATGATTAAAACTTCTCATGATTCCAAGACCCTTTGTACTGAATATTGGAGTCGTTCAGGCGAAGTGATAATGTTCCATGTTGACATCGTCACCGAGATACCGAGTCACCTCTGCTGCTTCTTGAATCTTGCTTTCCTGATGTTCAAATTCTGGAGATGCTCGTAAGATTTCTCCTTGTAACTGCGAAGTCGATTGGGCCTGGCCGTATCCCGTACTTTGCTGGCTGAACCAAGATGGCGCGTAAACTGTTTGGCAAGGCTACTATTGACATGGATCACATTTGAGAATACAAAAACAGCATTAGGGGAAATGAGTGACGTGTCAAGCAGTTTCTGCCAACCGCTACTCTCGAATATGCTTGGAAAGATATTCGCAGATTTCACTAAATCTCTTCCATATCCATCCAGCTTACAACACAGTATACATACTCGAATGTGCTTTGAAGATGTGGCCAGGGAACAAGCTGAGGATATATCTGACAACTGGCTAACTCAATTTCTCGAACATGATATTTTGAGACCGATCGGAAATTTCATGCTTGACCACAACGGAGGTAGTGGGAATGAGTTTGCTATACTCAAAAAAGGTTCTTATAACATCTCGTTGCGATTGAAAGACGAAAATGTAGCCACCGTTATCCGCTTTTCGCAGCCCGGTGCTGTCCTTTTTCCCGAGGAGAAAGTTGTGAATGAGGCCGCTGTGATGCGATTTCTTACGGAAAAGACATCAATACCTATTCCTTCTATTCAGCACTCAGGAACAAAGAAGGAGAGTCCCCTCAAACTGAGCCCATTCTTTATGATGGATTATATCGAACATGACACGCAATTGTACGACGCTCTCAATACTCCGGGATGCCCAATAGAGGAACGCGGAGTGTTAGACCCAGATATCGACGAAGACAGGCTTGAAATGCTATATAGGCAGATGTCAGGTATTCTGCCTCAGCTTTTCGTGCCCTCTTTGCCGCGGATATGATGTCTCAGCCAGATCGATGGCTGTACCTGGGAAGTTACACGCCGGCCTTTGTCTATGAACATGAATGAACTTGTCGGACAGAGAGGCTTGCCACGGTCGAAACTTCCAAATCTACATTCTACATTCACCACAACTTCATCATATCTCGAAGCTCTTGCAGACCTTAATATTGCGCATCTGGTTCATCAACAAACGAGATTCTGTGGAATCCGCAGACGACTGTCGACGGAAATTTGTGGCACGACAGCTGTTTCGTAAGCTCGCTAAAGAAAAGCGACTCACTAATCTCTCGCTCGAGAAAGGACTTTTCAAAATTTGGTGTGATGATCTGCGACCGGCTAACGTGCTCCTTCATGAGAATTTGCAAATTGCCGGCGTGATAGAGTGGGAGTTCACATACGCAGCGCCCGCTGAATTTTCTCATGCGCCGCCGTGGTGGTTGCTTATCGAGAAGCCTGAGTACTGGTCAGAAGGCCTCGAGGACGGGACAAGAGTGTTTGATGATCGCCTGAAAACATTCTTTCGGGCGATGAAGGATCACGAAGATACAGCGATCTAGCAAGGTCGGCTGAAAGAGGACCAGAGACTCTCTGGGCACATGTATCAGAGCTGGGAGAGCGAGGACTTTTGGATTATATATGCAGTGTTGCATAGCTTTAGCTTTGATGTAATCTACTGGGAGAAAACCGATCCACGTTTTTACGGGCCTACTGAGAACCCCGACAGAGCATGGAAGAAGACACTCGACCTACTGGCCGAGAAAGAAAAAAATGAGATGGAACAACTGGTGGAAAGGAAGCTGAAGGAGATGGATACCAGGATTCTAGCGTGGAACCCGGATGAGTATACTGTGGCTTTTCGCCAGCAATTGAAGAGACAGAGAGAAGAAGCAGATGAAGAGGAAGTAAGAGCAGATGAAGCACATAATTACCAAAAGAAGGAGATGAACGACGCGGAGAAAAAGAGTCGCGAAATCGAAGTCTGGGGATTGTCAGGGCCACATACATTAAGCGATCAGCTGGCCGCCGCCCGTTTGTCTAGCTAGTTTCAATCATAGTCAAGACGAAATCTAAACCAGAGACTGAAGAAGAAAAACAACTAATTCTCTTGACATAATATAGTTGCTGTGTTTGTGGCTACTATTCAGGATTTACTATAACGATAGCTTATATACTTCATCTACCCCGGGACCCGTGGACAATAAATACACTTGATTAATGATATAGCTTATCCTCTTGGGCCCGACCGGTCAGCTTCGGATAGAGACGCTTGAACCTTGCCCTGTGTAGATCGAGTGGACGTAAAGACATGCCTTTTTCATCTGGCATGGAATACGGAGCTGGAGCATAGTATGTGCGGATCAAAAGATCGGCTATGCAACAAGCATATGGCCAAAACACAAAGCAAAAAAGCAGAGAAGAGCACTAAAAAACCTCCTTCGCCCTTTAATGACTTATTTTATGTCATAAACATGGAAGGTACGCGGTCGATTAGGCATCCAGATAGTTCCAAGTTCACAAGGGTAGTTTGCGCAGCAAATGTTTCGGCCTCGTCATTGTCCTTTGGCCCCTGGAAAGGGCTCTTGGCGACAAACGCAAAAAAGGATCCGGGAATTTTGCTACGCAATGATTTCGGCCGATGTATTGAGGCAACCCCAGAACGTAGCATGTTCCATTGCTGCTATTGGCTTGTTGACTTTATATGGGTCCGCATCGGCCGACAGGACTTCTTGGCGCTGTCTTGGTTGTTCAATAGCTTGCATTTTGGAAGTTGTAAATGTATCTATGCTTGCTGATCATGCTAAACAGGCCTTTGAAATTTGGGAGCCTTGAATAAGTTATAGGACGGAGGGAACACTCCCAGGTTATCGTCCGTCAACCTCGAAGAAAAACAGACCACAACCTAGCGCCATCATGTACCTCCTATGGTGTTTGAGCATCATTTTCTTTGCACATCAATCTTTTGCGCATGTTGCAGCTGTGAAAAATTCTCTGCAAGGCATATTATCGACCGACTTATCCTTCCAAACCGGAGAACGACCAGGCCAATCTACTTCCACTCAAACGCCTTTGTTAACGAAATGCTCCCTTGACTTGTTTGATCTCAAGAGAACCGACTATAATACCATATTTGATGGTGGTTATGGCTCTGATTTGACCAACATCATCCTCACTCTTTGTTCCGACGAGGGTAAACAAATACCTTGGAAGAGGAATGCTCGATTTGAGCCCTTATATCTGGATCAGGTGGCCGAACAGTGTTGCTCAGATACTATCAATGGAGTGGAACGAGATTCATTCATGGCGATGGAACTGGATACGGAGTCTCTAGGATTTCTATCATTTTGGAAAATCTTTTTCCTTTCGGCTTCCACTTTTTGTATATTGTTCATAGCGAAGATGGCTTATAGGCAGAAGGGGGTGCAAAAAGCATAGTTAAAAACTACAGGATATACGGCCTCTTACAATAAAAAGACCAAGAGTTTCTGTTTATCTAACTGCTGTTCACCGTTCAACGAAGACTTTAGCATTCAATAAGCGACCAACAAATCAAATCCAGAGGCTGTCCTCTTTAGGTAGTGGTTTAAAGCCGATCAGATAGTATAAACTTTCTCGGCTCAATTACGGCTTAATTTCGGAAAAGCTCCCTTGCATATGTCTTTTCTACTTCTTCGTTGCCTGTAGAAGAATTCCCGAGTTGGCTTGGCGTCACTTACGGCACAATATTCATCAAGTAATTCTAGGATGGCCAATTAGAATGACCAATTAGGGTCTTAGTATATTTAACCAGCCTGGTTCTACCTAAATTCCATAAAAGTTAAGCTAGATTCCCTTGCAATAGAGAAACCAGCATGAATTGATGGCCGCAATGCCCAGGTGGACATGGAAGCTATGAGGATGACTAACACCCTCGCCGCATTCCGCCAAGTTGCGTGCATCACCTCTCAACTCTCTTTTAACCTCACACTTGACTTATGACAGGCATTGAATATGCATCTCTCTGCTGCCAGTCGTAAGCGGCCTGTAACGGCTTGTACAGAATGCCGCCGTAGGAAGCAAAAGGTGCGGACAACTTTGATATCTATCGGGGTTCGTTGCTGGTTGCTAATTCACCAATAGTGCGACCGCTTGAGGCCATGCAACATCTGTACCGGACGAGATGTTCCAGAGAAATGTACATATGAACACTCCGACAGGTAAGAACTCGATACAGTCCATCACGATCGTACCGCAGCTTTCGTATCATGCCATGGCGTTTACGTTCAACTAACACTTTCGACTGAAGATTCGATGAAGCATCGATCATCAGAGCGGAACTTCCATCGCCGCAAAGTTCATTATTGACAGCGGACAACGGTCGAAATTCAACCCCATCCATGGAACAACCCCTTCAAAATCAAATTGGATATGCTCGACCTGGCGGGGAAAATTCCTTGTCAGAGCTATATGAAGTCCGTTCCAGATTCCTTTGCCAGCCGCTATTCACTACTGACAAATATGGAACAGCTGATGGGAGAGAGTCTGGAGCAAAAGTCTCAAAATTCCACACACGTACTGCCCCTGCATCCACCAACACTGCGACTCTTTTTAGATCTCTGTGCCAAGTTGCCACCTGAAGCAGTCACAAGAGAGCTCATTGAGGTTTACTTTTCAGACGCAAACTGGTATTTTGCTCTGCTGGAAAAGTATTACTTTGAAAAGCTTTACACTTCCTGGCGGACTTTCAGCACTCAGCTCATGGAAAACGGACAATCTAGCGGATTGCCTCCGGATCTTCTCCATTTCCCGGCATTGATATTCCAGGTTCTTGCAGTTGCTTTGCAATTTGCCCCATTAGACTTACCCTGCCTCCGGTATTTAGGAGTTGACAGCTTCGCTGCGCGTGATAGCGTATCTGGTGACTTTTCGGAGAGGGGTGTGGCGATTCGTCGCATGATGGAAACAAATGGTCCTACATTAACTACTGTACAAACTGACTTGATGAGGGCACTTTGGCTTAAGAATTCTAGCCGAGGTAGAGACGCATGGCACGTACTAGGTGCTGCAATCAGGTGAGACTCGTCGATTACCAATCAAGATTTCTCTAACGCGATTTTCATCAGAACGGCTCAAGATTTGGGACTTCACAAACAGTCTAAGATCTTTCAAAAACCATCATCTCCCTTGGAAGATACTCTCAGCCAACTATGGTACGACGAGTACAAACGTAGACTATGGATAAAATTATATTCCTGGGACAGGTTAGACTCCGATCTATGCTGCTACTTGTTTGTGCAAACAGTGCTAATGAGTGCAGTCATATGGCCTTTGGTTTGGGCTGGCCTCGAACTATCAATAGCAGTGACTGTACAATTGTGCCACCGCTGGACCGCGATATACCGGCAGATCCATCAACAACAGTACCAATGGCTCTATTTCCAAATGAACCACCGTCATCTTTCACGCCTCATCTCTTTCAGTACAGCGTCTGTCAACAGATCCATGAAGCCATGTCACAAGGTGCCCATAAAAAACACCCTGAAGACTACACTATGGTTGAGACTCTCCATCACCGTATCCTCGCGTTGCTGAGTGCATTGCCGCCAGTCCACAGACCGATGAATCCGGACAGATCTTGGGATTTAACCCACGTGCATATTCCCAAACAGCGCCAGCAAATAGCCACAGCCGCCCATTCATTTTTGATGGCCCTCCACAGACCGCATTCGAGGACAAGCGCGGTAAGTCGCAAAGCTGCCATTGAAGCCGCATTGTGCACATTGGATGCGCAAGAGATCCTCTGTGATCTCATGGCCACACGGTATTACAGTATCTACGCCCTCTCCGTCTACACGGTCGAAGCCGCTATCTTCCTCTCTGTCACTATTCTCGAATACCCACCTTCGGACTCTGTTCTATCACATCGAATTCAGCGTGCACTAGAGAAGGCCATAAGTCGCCTCGAACGGGCCCAAGACAGGGTTTCTTTAGCAAAGTCAGGGCTGTACATCTTGAAGCTTTGCTACTCAAGAATGCAACCCATGCCACAGTTTCAGAACACCCTGCCCAGGAATTTTGCTCCACAGCCTTCGCAACTCTTGGATCGTGTATCTTCTGGAGAGCCACACATCGCTCAAGCGCCAAGTCAGTATTCGTTTCCGGAATCTGGCATCATACCAGAGGTCGGGACTGGTGGACTTGACAGTGGAATTATGTTTGACAGTGCAATCATGTTTGAGGATATCACGGGCTCGAATTTTGACATTGAATCCTGGGTAAACCAGATGAACGAAATGAATGGTCTTGTTTGATCGTTCAGCCTGAACCTTATCAGAAACCTATGGCCAGTTTCTTTAGAGATCGTTAGAAGGGGTGGTAATCAGCGCTTTGTCTGCGAAAGAAACCTGGAGATGTTTGGCTACAGATAGTGTTACGATTTAGACAACTTCCTCAAATGAGATGCAAAGACTTGTCTGCTTTCCGGGGTTTCCATCCACCCTGAGGCATAACCCTGGGACTAGTTGGAGATAATTAAGCTGCTGACTAACACAGAGGATTATATCAGCCTGAATTTCGGCCGAAGACCCACTCAAGACCCTCGTTTGTGGGTCGATCTTTATCGGCCTACACTGCAGCCATGCCATGTCCCTTGCTAATCATCCACTCCTTTATGATGGCAAATAACTTACTGCCACTTATGGCTCGGCATAATATCTCCTATTTCCGATCCTGCTGTTAAGAAAGCTTTTCTCCTAACTCCGCTGACTCCTGCAGATACAAAGGTGGCTATTCCGCACTCGAGACTGAACTAATTCCCAACTCATCCGTTCTCTGGTTTCCTCTCACCTTTCGTTTACTGAACCATCAAACATGAAGTACGTCCAACTTGGCAGCAGTGGCCTTCGAATCGCTCCGATCGGTGTTGGATGTATGAGTTATGGCGACCCAGAGGGCCGCTATCCGTGGTGCATCGCAGAAGTAGATGCGCTGCCAGTCCTCAACCATTGCTATGAATCTGGGCTCAATTTCTTTGATACAGCAAATATGTACTCCAACGGCGTTTCTGAACAGATCCTAGGCAAGGCTATCAAGAAATACAACTGGCGCCGCGAGAATATCGTCATCGCAACTAAGGTATGGGCGCCCGTCGGCCATGGTCACGAGCAGCCGATAGCTATGACAGATGAGCAAAGAGACAACTCTGGCTACGTCAACCAGTACGGTTTGAGCCGCAAACACATCTTCGAGAGTCTCGATGCCAGTTTGAAGAGACTCGACTTGCCCTATATCGACCTGCTCCAGATCCATCGTTTCGATCCATCCACTCCCGTCAAGGAAACCATGGAGGCACTCCACGATGTTGTTAAATCTGGCAAAGTGCGCTACATCGGTGCTTCCTCGATGTGGGCCCATCAGCTCCTTGAGTACCAGTACACCGCTCGTCTCCATGGCTGGACCGAGTTCATCTCTATGCAGAACCTTCACAACGCCATATACCGTGAAGAGGAGCGCGAAATGTACCCTGCCTGTGCTAAGTTTGGTATGGGTGGGATTCCCTGGAGTCCCATTGCGATGGGCTTCTTGGCTCGTCCCTGGCGTGATTTCTCGACCACTTCCCGTGGGGACACTCAAGGGCAGGGTTTCCGTGGCCAGCCCACAACTGAAGTAGACAAGAAGATCAATGAGCAGATCGAAAAGATTGCCAAGGAAAGGGGTGTATCCATGGCCACTGTGGCAATCGCTTGGTCATTGTCTAAATCTTTCATTACAGCTCCAATTTTGGGATTGAGCAAGAAGGAGAGAGTTGACGAAGCAGTCCATGCCATCTCACTTGAGCTTACATCCGAGGAACTGAAGAGTATTGATGACCTGTACGAGCCAAGGGAGATCATCGGACATGCATGAAGACGTTTTATTTAACTTAGTTGACCCAATAGAATTGGTGTTCCATCAATAGTGATATGTATACATAGTTTGCTATCAACGTCAACTGGTCTACATGTAGATAGGTCAGCGTTATGACATGCTCAGTTGGATTTGTGAGCTTTCAAGCATCTACAATATTATCATAACAAGATTTTCTTTCGAAATTCGGGTATAGAGGTGAGGATAAGATAATGATAAAAAGGAAGAGATCTGAAAATAAACTGAGAGTAAGAAGATTGTCAGATTTAATTTACGATTCTTTAGGATTCTTTATAATCTTAGTTTAGAAGACACGACTGATAGTGATCAAAGGACTGGGTGATCTCCTAAAGCGGTTAGCGCGATTATTTGTATGCATCGTCATGGCCGTCTTCCGCCGCGACAGTTTCTCTCAATTGACCAGGTGCAAGTGCAATTGAGATCACCATGCGTTTATTTTTCATCCGTCATGGTGAAACTGTGGATAATGTCGCTAAGCTCTGGTAAAGTAACGCGCCACTCCATCTTCTAGCATATGCTGACTTTTTCGGGAAAGCGCCGGTACTACGGACTCAACCCTCACCAACCATGGCATGCTTCAAATTGAAGCGCTAGGTCGGCACTTTGCCACTGGTCAAATCCAAGTCAACACAATATTTGCGTCAGACTTGAGTCGCGCCCGAATCACAGCAGAAGCTATTTGTCGCCATCAGACGCCTTTACCAAACCAATCACGCGTATCACCTATTTTGACTGATAGTCTGCGAGAAAGACATTACGGGAAAATGGAAGGCAAATCATGGATTCCATCGAGCGCTATCGCGGACAGCGGCATCGAGACCGATATGTCCATGATACAAAGAGCGAACAACTTCCTCAATGAACATCTCCTCCCATTGATCCTCGCTGATCCAGAAAATGTCGGCAATGTGGTAATCGTTGCTCACGGTATTCTTCTGCGAAGACTGTGGAATCGTATTATAGAGCTCGTCCATCAAGCTGATGTACACATTGCCCCCGGAAAGCAAATCGACTCCATGACTGCCGCACGGCCTGGATGGTCAAATACTGGCGTTGCAACAATCAACCTACAACAAAGCCAGGAAGCGAAATCACGGAAGCCGCACACAGCAGTCTTGCATGGTTGGTCTATAATCATCCTAGATATCGACAACAAAGACCATCTCGTCAACCTCACGCGGACTCGCGGTGGCATTGGCAGCGCCGCCCACGACCGAAAACAGAAAACCATGGATCGATTTTTTAAAAGGAAGTAGTCTTCTTGAAAAGTTGAACCTGGGAATATGTACAGCTTCGAAAATAATCACCAAAGTAGAGGCTTTTACTCCGTGTAAAATACCTCGTCCAATACCTTCCACCACCCAGGGCCATCTGCACTGCCCACTGCGCCGGGGATAGGACTGTCCTACAACCATTGCTCATGTTAGCGTCGCCATCGTGTTTTCCTTACCATTATTGTTGCTGAACCATACCTGCATTCCATCGGTCATAGCCCACCATTCCCTGATCTTTGGGTTGGCCCGCATGAGCTCCATATCCCCCTCAAAGTCGGTACCGACGTATTTGAATGTTGCAAATAGGGTGCGATCATTGTCAAAGAAGATCGAGTCTATCAATCCCAATAACATCCCATTAGCCTAGAGTCAATTCCTCGTCCCAGATATGAATCGTACAGTCTCTGATATTGCAGTCCTTAATTTGTTGAAGGACCTCGGGCCAAACATTAGCGTGGCATTCCTTATATGCTGCCACAGCGGAGGGCTTCAAGTGAACGATTTGAGCGATCCGACGAACTGGTGCCATTGTTGGAATAGTGTGCAGATTTGAAACAGATATACGGAGAGCGAGTATAAATCTTCCTGAACAATGGTCATTTAATTCATCCCACCTCGCGCCCCGCGTTCTCGCCGCAGCGTTAACCCGCACTCGGGGTGCACTAACCCGATTTTAGTGGAGTCGGATCTTACGCTTACATGATTGGCGAGAATTCCTAGGTTGGTAGATCGAAAAGACAAGAGTTGTACGTCAATGAACTTGGAAGGTAAATACTTACAGTGGTCCTAGAGGTTCAATGATCAGTTTTACCAATTCGGAGAATTATAGCTCTTGCACTAACCTATGTCGTGAATTCACGAGAGTGCAAACCAGTAGACTCTATGATCTAGCGGCTCGTCAGCTAACTTCATTGTCCCTAGATGAGACTTTTTCGTCGGCTTTTTGTTTAGGGAAGATTCTTGTTTACAATGGCCGCGACGGGTATGAGAATGATGAATGAGTGCGATGATCCAGGCCTTGAGCCGGCTTCTAATGCGATTGTCAGGCATTTTTAATAGAATGAACCAAACTCTTGGTTGGCAGCTTTATTAAAGTAGTTAACCTTGACCAATGTGAATTAATGTCGACCTTAGATCTCTATGATGTCAACACTTTGATTGGTCTATTCTGCTGTCTGTTTTGTTGGGGATTGAATTTCCACCTCTATGACGTTAACACTTTCATATTGTCAATTTCAATTTCCTCAATTTCTATGCTATTTTAGGCATACTTCCCTTATCTTAGTATATGGACAGTCGGATATTTGAGTACTTTTGAGAGGCACATATGCTCTTCGAGGCTATTGTTGGGGGCAGTATTAGGGCTTTTTTTATCAAATCAATAAACCAACCAACGCTATCAGACGAAGAAACCATGTGCATTTCAAGCTTTAGCATTCCAGAAAATTTCCTTCCTCGGTAACGAGAAATTCTGGTCCTTTTTTTGATCGATCTCGCTGCCAATAAATCTGGTGTCAATATCCCCACGAACCTATGCACCATACCATTCGACAGCTTGATTGAATAAAGCCACTGCTCTGCTGGGTCTGGCGAGCTTATCAAGTCACTCTTGAATCTCTGAGTTTGACGAATCGGGCTTAATTTCCGACTGATGTCTTCTTCAAAGTCAGAGGGCCAGGCAAGCCAGCGTTCAATTTTCAATCATGAAGCTGTTAATACCCCAAGCTCGGAGGATATCAACGATCACGACCAAAGGCCAGTCAAAATGACATCCAACAGAAGCTCACGGGGTGTGTCACCAACAGATCTGCAACATGGAGGATCAAGGTCAAATTCGAGTTTCGGAAATAGACACACGACAGAAGTGAACAGCCACCTAGACACTTGTTCATCACATGATAAAAGTTTGATAGACGTCAAAAAAACGCCTTATAGTGGACAGATCACATCCGATGAAAATATATCAAGCCCAAGCTGTTTGAGCCAACAGTCAAAACTACCTCATCAACCAGAACACGAAAATCAAGAATCTGCCCCAGTGAATCACTCGCGAAACACCTTCAGACGCTCGATATCTGAAAAGGCAAAGGCCATCTCTACCCGCATATTTCATTCAACTTCAGGCAACGATGGCGAGAGTTCTATTGCACAGGATGACATGAAGGATCCCAGCAACTGCCACAGAACCTTCAGCGCCGACTCGAGAACACTTCGGCTAGTACATGAGCTGATGAATGAGCGGACTGATCAGCGCTCCAGCTATAGTCTGCAGTCAAGCCCGGCACAGGAATCTATGCGCCCCCAAAGCGATGGAGGAGTTCTAGCACAATTGCTCAGACTCTACAGTCGAATGGATCCGACGACACAAGATACTCGACCACCCAACGAGCTACCTTCAAGAGTGGAAGTACCAGGTAGTCAACTTGAACGCACTGAACCTTGCCAGGCAAATTACCAAGAAAACGGAAGAATGAGCGAGAAGCAGTTGAATCCGTCAATGAATACTACAGTTGGCGAAAGGTCCAATTTGGGTACAAGCAGTCCGGTGCCTTGCAACGAGATGCCTCATGGTGCTTTCAAGTGGCCCAAGTGGACAAATACCCGCGGAGGCCGCCCCGTGCGGTTGGAGGATGAGATTCATGTAGCGATTCACATTGCGAATATTATCTCCCGTCAACGATATATCATTGAGCTGTGCAAGGCGCTGATGAAGTTCGGTGCTCCAATGCATCGGCTGGAGGAACACATGCAAATGACAGCAACAGTTCTGGAGGTGGAAAGCCAATATTTATATGTGCCCGGATGCATGATCATGTCCTTTGATGATCCAACGACGCGAACAACGGAGGTGAAACTGGTACGAGTGGAACAAGGGATCAATCTAGGTCTTCTTGCTGACACCCACGATGTGTATAAGAATGTGGTCCACGACGTCATCGGAGTCGAAGAGGCCACCAGCGAGCTGGAGAAGATTCTGGGTTCTAATCCTCGCTTTAACAAATGGATCATCGTGTTGATGTACGGACTGGCTTCAGCTATGGTTGGTCCCTTCGCATTCAACGCCCGACCAATTGACATGCCGATCATTTTCTTGAATGGCACCTTTCTTGGAGTTTTACACCACATAATCGCGCCACGTTCCGTGCTATACACCAATGTATTTGAGGTGACTGCCTCGGTCTTCACCTCTTTCATTGCACGTGGCATTGGAAGTATTGAAGGGGATGCACCTGATGGTAACCGGGAGTACCTCTTCTGCTTCTCTGCAATCGCTCAATCATCCATTGCGCTCATTCTTCCTGGATACACCGTGCTCAGCAGTAGTTTGGAGCTACAGTCTCATCAGCTTGTAGCTGGATCCATTCGCATGGTCTATGCTATCATCTACTCCCTTTTCCTCGGATACGGTGTTACTGTGGGTACTACAATCTACGGCCTAATCGACCCTGGGGCGACATCTGGCCTGACATGCCCGAACACTGGAGACTGGACCAACGAATATGCGCCACGATTCCCGTTTGTGGCAGCGTTTGTGTTATGTTTATTAGTGATCAGTCAGGGCCGATGGAACCAAGCACCAATCATGTTGTTCATCGCGGAAGCTGGCTACGTTGTCACGTACTTTGTCACGCAGCGCATTGGCTCCAGCACTCAGGTGGCTAATACTGTCGGTGCCTTTACCATTGGCGTCATGGGCAACCTCTACAGTCGCCTGTGGCATGGCCATGCTGCAACATCGATTCTACCGGGGATATTTGTCTTAGTCCCGTCCGGCTTGGCGGCCTCGGGGCCTCTTCTGAGTGGCATCAAATCAGCGGACGAGACCAGAAATAACTTATCCGCCGCCATCAATCATAGTGCCTATACCGAGTATGCGGTGGAGTCGTCCCAAGTCTATACAGCAGACTTGGGATTTGGAATGGTTGAGGTATCGATTGGAATCACTGTGGGATTGTTCCTCGCGGCTCTGTTGATCTATCCGTTTGGAAAGAGACGAAGTGGATTGTTTAGCTTCTAGTTCTCGTGTTTAGTACATAGCGTTTTATTGGATAGGAGGATTGTCACTAGGTAAATAGAGATAGAGAGTGAAATGGTCATTGATAATTAGATCTGGCTGCAAGACATGAATAAAAGAAGTTCGACGTCAATTCGTAATTGTAGTATATGCACTAGTGAGTCTCATTAAGACATCTGACTTTTAGGAACGGGACGAATCCAAGAGACCGCCAAGTTTGCCCCTAATGATACGACACCGATGATCCACAACGATCTTCCATAGTCAGTACCGTTATATCTGAAGATAATAGCAAAGATAATTCCTCCAAGGTTGCCAAAGCCACCAACAATTCCAGAAACAATGCCTATTAGTAAAAAAGTCAGTATGAGATATAAGTCAAAAGAGAGAGAGACAGGGAAAATTTACCATTAGCAAAGGGATGAACATGAGGTACAACGGCAAAGTTGGCACCATTGCACGCCTCAAGGAAGAAAGCCAGCCCAGCGATCAGACCGAACATGGCGGACTCGGTTGTCGGATTGGACAATCCAATCGCAAGCTGGAATGCGCCCATGGCAAGTCCCAAAAATGTCAGGAGAAGTTTCTTCGACCAGACATTATTAGTAGCCCGGTAGAGTAAATCACCACACAGACCACCGATTGGACGAAAGACTACATTCAGCAGACCGAACATAGCAGCCCATTGACCAGTTTGAGTCTGGCCCATATGTGGGAAGTTCTTCTCATAGTAAGATCCCAGAATGGAGTTGATGGCGAGCTCAGATCCAAATGAGCAGGCATAAGGAATAGCAACAGCCATGGTGGAAAGACTGAGAGCGACGTTGAGGGCTTCCTTGCGAGATGGGGCGACGACAGCTTCCTGTCTGAAGATGTTGTCCATCTGTCCGACGGCAGGATTATCCATGACCTGGGGCGTCTGGACGCCCTTCTTCTCAACATCGATTGTGGCTGAGTTGTAAGGGGTTGTTATTCCGCTGGAGAATGTGCCGGTGTTGAGGTCGACGATGTTTCCATCCATGGGCGTGGCAGTGCCACTTGACTCCTTTGCCCAGAGGTGTCGCTCAGACCATTTTCCAGTAGGGGTGTCTTCGCATAGGAGAAGCATACCGATGGCAATGGCAGCGATGATGATGAATGGAACTATGTAGGCGACGCGCCATGCCTTGTGGGAAGAGAGACCGCGGTCTCGCATGAGGGAATCATAAATGGCTGGCATCACAAAGCTGGAAAAATGTCAGAATGAATAGCTTTCTGTGGCTGGTGATGAGAGGGACGTACTATGTGATGCCTCCACCTGCATTACCCCATCCTCCGGCCAGAGAATTTGCTGTACCGACAATCTTCTTATCAAAGAAGCCTGTACACCAGACCTGGCATGGGACAAATGTTCCTCCTAGTATTCCAACGAAGAATCGAAGAGCGATCAAGCCCTTCGCGTTGGTGACAAGGCCGGCCATGGCCGTAGGAATCGATCCACAGAGGAGAAGTCCAACAAAGACCAGTCGTGGACCAAAGCGGTCACAGAGTGGTCCTGCCACAAGTCGAACGAGCAGCCTTCATTCTGTCAGTTGGGCGTATTTGAGGTTCATAAAGACTGCGCGACTTACGTAGCGAGGAGTGCAATGATATTGGAGTTGGCGACTTCCGCCTGTGTCATATGCAGGTCTTTCTTGATAGTCACAGTCAACTGACCCGACAAGTTAGAATCAGTCCTCACAGATACATTTCTTTTGACGACAGTTGACTTACCAGTGGCGGGAATGCATACCACGACAGGAATGCGACCATGAAGCCAACCCAGGAGAAGAAGAAAACCCGTCCATATTTGTCAAAGGGGTTCAGTATAGGGATCGACTTGGCTTTTCGGGTGCTTTGATTGACTTCAGGTGCGGTGAAAAGGGTCTTCACGAAGCTCATTGCCATATTAAAGAGTTGATGTTTAGTATCGGAGATGGTGGTTTAGGAATGGGGACTCGAGCTCAGGGGCCGATATGTGGCTTATAGGTTGTTGACTATTGATTGAGGAAACAACAAAACTGGAGCGCTGTGATTATGGATAGAAACCCATCTGAAGGCCAGTAGATACGAGGAACTATATAGACGTCAAAGAAGCTCAGGTCGCTCAAGCAAGACTCTCGAATGACATGCACGAACAATAATTACCGCCATTATCAGTCACGTACCAGATCAGCAGCATATCTTAGCTAGGCGCTGTCTGTAAAGAATGGTAAGTAAAAGGCAGCGACCATCCTGGTCCCGAAAACATCCCGGGTCGCTGATTGGACAAGAGAATGTGAATCCGGGCTGTGACGATGCAGTGATCCAATGAACAATTCACGGTAGATGGACCGATTGCCCCAGACTTCCTCAAACTCCCGCGGCAGCCTGTGCTGTAATTATGATAGAGATAAGGTATGCACCCGAATGGGGGCTACAGTATACAGTAGTCGTCGGGACACGTTCCAAGTCCCGAGCCAAGAACAGAGGCAAAAGACCGATAAAACCAGGGTATTGTAACTCCGCGGAGCAGAATCACATATAGCATTGGTAATGCCAAATTCATCCACTCCGGGGGAACACTCCACTCTGTCAGGAACCTGGCAGTTGATAAACGCGTGCGCTCTCATTGGACCCCTGGATTGGCTGCGATAGCCAAAGTCAACCCGGTGGGTCTGAAGATGGGCAGCTGGTCTCCGCGGAGGCTGCAGATGTAGTCGTTTCCCATCAGCTAAGTTATCTAAGTAGCCAGCATAGTGTCATCGATCGCTATTCTGCCCACGGGTTTACACGCCGTACCACTATGGAGGAATACTGGATCCTTTTTCAGAAGACATTTCTGAGTAAGCTACCATTGATGAATGGCGGAAGAGAAGGTGATCAAGTCTCGTAAATTATCATGTACTGGAGGCCAGAGTGGTCCAGCTCGTGAAAAGTAGGGCCTGGCGTATAGATGACTGCAGGGCATTTAGACGGTGCAAAAAGTCCCTATGACCTTTTTGGCCTAGTGGATAAACCCTGGGGACCCTGGAACCCTAACTGCGCCCGATGATTAAGCAAGCCTGGAGCAGTGCCCTAATTAAGCTTCTAATATTACGTTCCTCCCCATTCGGCAAAAGACTCGTAATTCGCGTGGAGTGCCAGGAGTCGGGGATAATTAACTTATGTTTGGTTGATGATTATCCGATCTAATGAAATGCTGAAAGCTTGATGCAATGCTAGAGGTAAACTTGGATATAAAGTACAGTACTTAAGAGGGGTTAGGATATTACTAATTTATTAGCGGCATCAAGTTTCTTGTGAAGGGGACGTTTAACCATTCGAGCAAAAAGCAACCCTGCTGAAGGTGTTAGGTTTATATCTCAACGAAATTGTGGCTGGTGGTGGCTTTCTGCTTTACTTCTTACAGCTCTGTAGTACATATTCTTCTAATATTCCATTTTTCTTTTCATAAAAACATGATGTATGACAGCGTATGGTGCCCCAATATGCATTTTACAACTCATTGGTCAATGTGGTAAGACTGACGAATCGCCTCGCCAAATCGCTGGATAGCAGTGTTCATAGCCTCCTCGGTTGCACTTGCGTATGTTGCACGGAAGAACATACCTTGTGCAGGTGTGTTTGGCTCAGCACGGAACCAAGTGCCACGAGCACAGAGGACGTTGTTCTTGATGGCTTGGTCGAAGATTCCTCCTTCGATGTCTTCGATTGATAGGCCGGGATATTCCGGATGCTGCAGCGGATCTAATTTCAACCAAATCTATGGAGACATGTCAGTATTTTGTTAAATATTGAGCCTGGCCATCAAGCCACGTATAGGCGGGGTATTGCCAGTGTGAAGATCACTTACAAACATGCCTGTAGTGGGCGGGCTCCAACTGACGACAGATTTCGGCAGGTACTTTTCGCAAGCATCAAGAAGCATGTCTCTCTTCTTCGTATAGCTGTTCTTCAACGAAATCAGCCACTTCAGATAGCCTTCATGGCCCCAGGTCTCGTCGAGCAACTTCCAAAGCATGATTTGTGAAACTCCACTGGGTCCCTGGTTGGCAACCTCGGCATGCCGAAGGAAACGCTCAATAATTTGCGCACTTGCGGTGACCCATCCCAATCTCGAGCCGGGCACCAGAACCTTTGAGAAGGAATCCATGCGCAACACTCTGCCGTCAATATCGAGACTCAAGTATGATGGAACAAGACCGGCAACGAAAGATTCAACATCCTCGGAAATTTCAGGACCATCCTCCTTCTTCTCATGGTATGGAGGCATCTGAAGGAAGTAGTATGGCTCATCTTCAATAATAAAGATGTCATGCTTTTGGCATACGGCATAGATTTCGCGACGTCGCTGGAGGCTCTGGGTTGCGCCAGTAGGGTTCTGTCCCGAGGGAATAGTGTATAGAACATGCGGTTTACGGCTTCCACGTGCCTCCTGATCCCACGAACTGAGAATATCATCCATACTACCAGGAAGGAGTCCCTCATCGTCCATTTTAACACCAATGGGCTTGATCCCTTGAGGGAGGATTGTCTCCAGCGCGGTGGAAAAGCTATATTCTTCAACAAGAAGAGAGTCGCCCCTCTCACGATCGCAAAGCATACGAAGAGTCTGTTCAAGAGCACCCGTGCTTCCGACTGTCGGGGCGACCTTCCAATCTGTGTAAGGAGGGTTGTAAACCAGCTCCGTGTGCTCTGTAATGAAGCGCATCATCTGGGGAGAGCCCGTCGCTTGACCATAGTTGAGGGCAATGGAAAGATCGTATTCGGAAAGTCCAGCTTTCACATCATGCTTTCCAATGCTGATGGTTTGAGTAGTGGGACAATCCGTCGCAGATGAATCCTTGCTTGGGAAGTCCTGTGGCATCGGGACACGAAAACTCCAGTCATAGAATGGGAAGCACTCGCTAGATGGGAGACCACCTCCGAGTGATACCATACCAGGGTTTCCCGCCAAACCAGCGGCTTGCTTTAAAATGCATAGTGGTCGGGACAAGCTCTCTTTGCTGAGATGAGCTAGATGTTTGGTTAGTACACAAATACAAAGAATTTGCAAATTTGCAGCTCGAAGTTCTTACAGTCCCAGCATTTGGCGTATGGCTTGCCCGATGTCTTTTGCGTGTCAGAAAACAGTACTTTATAAATTTGAGTCATTCCTCTTACCGGTGCCTTGAAATTCTCACTGTTGCATGCAGCAGCTACACCAGCAACAAGTTTTCCGGCCTCTGCTCTTCTCTGCTGGATGTTGTTCAAAAACTCCCGCTTTTCCATGGCGGCTGCGCCGTTAGAGTGGGTCGCAAACGAAGGCATTGTGGCTTGAATAGAATGAATCGACCCAGGAAGATGATACAGATTGGGGCCAAATTGTTCCTGGCTTAGATTTTATAAGGTCAATCGCTACCCCGAGTGATATTTTAAAGGAAACAATCCCATGTGGGAATTAAAAATTCGAGACCCAGAGAGCATCAAAGCCGACAAGTGGACTCGAATCCGAGCTTCAAACCCGAGCTATGTGTCAAACCCACCCAATCGCCACATGTTAGATGACAGTCAAGAGGACGGCAAGGGCTGAAAGTTTGCCTCTGCGTAGTATCCTTTGCAATAATTTTACAATGGCAAGAAATAGACGTTCTCATGTTGAGATATAGAGGGGGTCCTAAATTCAAAGTGGCTGTCCAAGTTTTCCTCATGCAGACTGTTTATGTGTTTATATGAACAATCAATGTAAAGAAAGAAGACTTTCTCACAACTATAATTGCTTGTTCTGGGGTACATATCATCAAACCAGATAGGCCTTGTGAAAACTCAGTTGAAGGTTTAACGTGGAAAGAGCCTCCAGGGCTCGCTCGGCACGGGATCTGTGCTGACTCATTCTATTCAGTTCCGACTTCATTCCCGACGAGTTCCGCTCAACACTCGCGCGTCCGGGCGAGGTTGGCTTATATCGGTATGCGCTCAAGCCTTTCGTGTGAATCTTGCAGGTGAACTCCACTTTGCTACCTTCTTAACTCTGGAAGCTCATCGATGTTAGGGGGTCGAAAAAGAAATGCGTCCACTCTGGGACGGCGCCCTGTCAGAGATGTCAGAACTCAGAAATTGAGGGTTGTATACTCAGCAGACCAGTAACCAAAACACCCCAAAATCCGAGATACAGGTCACAGTCTACAAACCATCCGTATGAACGACCGCTTCCTCGGGATGTGCTCGAGTCACCTGGGCCAAGACCTACTACGGAAGAAGTAGGCTCTACAGACCAATCTAATACATCAATACCTGGTCCACATGCAAGCAGGTTGACAGTCGACAGGCATCTGACCAATTTGTCAGGAGATATCATATTAAAGTCCTTGAATGGATTCACAGGCAAATATCCAGAACTTGCAATTCTTAACCATGCGGCTTTCGTCAAAGAATACCGGTTGTCACCAATTCCGCCTGAGAGCAAGATTCTACTTGCAGCCATCTTGGCATCGTCTAGGTCTCAATTCTCTCTACTCAATCCGCCGTGGGTTGATTCATTGCTAGCAAGAGAACACTATGCCCATTATGCGCACGAGATGCTATCGGAGTGGTCATTCAAAGCACCAAAACTTCAAGTTGCACAGGCTCTTTTGATCATGAGTCTTTATGAATGGGGCTCTCGGGAGTTTCATCGAGCTTGGATCTACTGCGGTACCACTCATCCATATGCACGAAGTAAATAAGGATCTGACCCCGCGCAGGAATTGCAATCCGAATCATGCAAGCTCTAAACAGTCTAAGAGTTGCCCCTTATCCTCTTGATCCGACACCTCCAGGCCAACGAGATGCCATCTCAGTTGCAATTGAGAACAGAACAGTCTGGGCCTGCTTTATCATCGATCGAATGGTTAGTTCTGGAACCTACAACCCGCCGATGCTACCCATGTCAGAAATGGACAAGCTTAAGATCAATCGCCCACTGAGTGCTGTTGAGTTTGCATTTGGGCCATCAGATCTTTCTTCTCAAAATACGGGCCTTGATCCTAGTTTTGCGACTGCAAGACATGGGCAAACTGCGCCCTTGGACATCACACAATCTTTTGAAGTTCTTGTGGCTGGTTTCGATATCTGGGCCCATGTAATGACATTTATCTTCAACGATGGTCGACGCGCACCGGGAATGTGTGCACCACAAAACTGCCCGTGGGCACTGGAATCACCATGGTCCAAAACGAGACGTCACCTTGAAGAATGGAGAGCCAGTCAACATCATAGACTCCATTATCCGAATAACAGCGTCGTGGCTCATACGACTTTAGGATGGGGCGAATCCTTCACTTATATCAATTTGCTATATTACACTTCGTACGAGCACTATCCTACCTAACGCCTGAATATGACATCTAATAATCTTCTGCAGTACCATCATGCTCCATCGTGAGTACTTTCCGTTCTTGCCTACTCGAACATCGATTCCCAGAGGACCAGTTGATCAGCCGACCCTCGAGGCGGAAGCACCTGAAGGCTGGTGGGATAAAAGTGCTTCTGCCCTTTTTGGTGCGGCAGAAGAGATTGCCAAAATTTTGCACGATGCCTCTGATTGTGGATCAGAAATGCTTATTCCATTTGTCGGATTTTGTGCTTTTTCTGCGGCATATATGAATCTTTATGTCTCCCTATATCCACAGATGAATTTTGGCCGCAGTCCGAATGCAGATACCCATCTAAAGTACTGTCTGGCCTACCTTGAAAAATTCAGACATGTGTGGAAGCTCGGTGAAAGTTGGGTCCGTGCCAACTTATCTTATTTGCAATGTTCGAGACTGACAATTCTTCCCACAGATTGCAACCATCAATCATGCAACCATTTTGTATCAACGAGCGGCGTCGGACAGATCACGATACCAAGGAAAGACACGGACAGACTTCAATGTCTTGCATCAATCTTTACATGAATTTCGTGTGCCTGATAGATCCGATCAGCATCTCCAGGAAATTGAGGGCGCAGAGACACCTTCTCTTCCGTCCATTCCTGATTCTATTCTGGAATCCGACGTTCGATCTGATATGCTAGATCTGGACATGCCCCTCAGCAATTTACTGAGTGAGGTCAGTACATATGCTCACGAGCAAGGCATGTGGTCACACTGGTGGCCTCCATTGGATGAGGTGAACCTTGCACCTCATGACATACAGCCATGAAATACCTGACCTTGCGACCCAAACTGGTCTACTTTACGCTGTTCTGGAGCAATGTCCTGAGAAAAAAACGCTCAAATTCTGAATTCGTTTCAATCAACCTGTATGAAAACTAATGCTATCTCCCAAAGCTCCAACGCACCAAATGCATAGGATCGCAAAACCTCAAAACAATAAATCAACCACCACGCATCTACCAGTCAATAGACTTCGCTGGCTGCACAGCTGGGGCACGAGTGACAATGTCCCCATCGGAAGCCTTCTTCCCCTTCATCCCCTTGAACTTCTTATCAACCTTATGGAACGGATCTTCACTCTCCCCCTTCCGAACCTTCCACTTCTCCGTCCCCAAAACATTATCCAATTCCACAATGGGCGGGAGCTTCATATAAACCCATCCATCATCCCTTTCCTCAACAGGGAATGTAGCAATGTTCATACTCTCATCATTGGAGCACCTGCCAGCTTGCTCGCCATTGAGGTCAAAGTTTCGTTTGTGATACGGACACGAGACCCAGTACTTGCCCGCATCATCATCACCAACAAGACCATCAGAGAGAACAAATGCTCGCTTGTGGGGACACATCTGTTGAGTCGCATAGTACTTGCCCTTAATCTTGAAGACTGCAAGCTGTGTATCTCCGCGCTTGACGTTAGCCGAAGAAACCTGCGGTGGCTCATCGGAGAAGTGATCTGCACGAACAACTGGTTGCCAAGATGTACTTGACCACTGGTGACCTTTGAAATCCTGTTGTTCTGTGGAGTCTTTCGGCCAGTATGTTGGGCGCTGTTGAGATCTTTCCTGGACAACCTCGACTGTGTCGACAGTTTCTTCAGTGTTTGCGAATTGCTGGAAGACTTTGCGACGTTTAGGGTCGTTGACTGTCTCGGTCCATTCGCAGAAGTAGCTGTCGACGAGTTCGTGCATTTGTCTCTCCATATCGGCACAAATACCGAGTTTGTCCTCGACAATTACCTCTTTGAGGTAATGGATACCGCCGGGGAGGTTTTCAATCCATCTTGCGGTTCGCTGAAGTTTGTCCGCAGTACGAATGTAGAAGATGAGATAGCGGTCGATGATAGGCATGACCATTTCTGGTGGCACATCTGTGACGAGAAGCTCGGCATGTCTGGGCTTTGCGCCTCCATTACCACCAACAAAGATGTTGAAGCCCTTTTCGGTGGCGATCAAACCGAAACTAGTATCTGTTAGTAGGGAACAATCTCAATATCATCTTAGAGCTCACTCCTTGTTCTGAGCCTCTGCACACTCTCTCACGCAGCCAGACACAGCTCCCTTGAACTTGTGTGGTGCGCGAATACTTTTGTATCGCTCTTCCAAGCGAATCGCCATGCCGACACTGTCACCGACACCAAAGCGACACCATGTGGTTCCGACACAACTCTATGATTGGAGGTCAGCCAAGTAATATATGAGCGTAAATGCTCCTAAATACCTTGATTGCTCTGAGGGCCTTTGCATATGCATGTCCACTCTCCATGCCAGCATCCACAAGTTCAGTCCAGATATTGAGAAGATCCGACTTCTTCGCTCCGAACATGTCGATACGCTGAGCTCCAGTGATCTTGCAATAGAGACCATACTTCTTGGCCACAGATCCAATAGCAATGAGCTTATCGGCTGTGATTTCTCCACCAGGAATGCGAGGCACGACGGAAAATGTGCCGTTTCTCTGGATATTGGCAAGGAATTTGTCATTGGTGTCCTGCAAGTCATTGTAACCCTTGTCCATGACGTGAGGGTTGAATAAACTGGACAGAATCGATCCGATTGCGGGCTTGCAGAGTTCGCAGCCGAGAGAATCTGGGTTCTTTCCGACCTCTTTCATTACATCGACGAATGTTTTCAACTGCTTGATTGCCACGATGTTGTATAGATCAGCTCGGGAATGGGGGATGTGGGAGCACACTATGCAACTTAGTTATCACTGAAAGACTCGTGAGGGTGATGCTACTTACGGTTGTTGGAAACCTCCTGTCCCATGTCCAACATCGTCTTGTTGAAGATTGACTGGACTAGCGGCATACAACCACCGCATCCTGTGCCAGCCTTGGTACAAGACTTGACCTGCGCGATGGATGTGCAGGTCCCATTCTTTACATTCTCGACCACGTCGCCTTTGGTGACATTGTGGCAGGAGCAGATCTGTGTGCTATCATCACTTTGCGGAAAAGTTAATCCCGATCATCATATATCGTTGTGAATACTCACAGGTCATCTGCATTCTCTTCACCACCGCTCTGTGCACCAAGGATGAACTGACTCGGAGGAACTTCGAGCTCTTTCTGTAGTTTCACCATCTGATTCAACTTCAAATAGTCCTTGGTATCACCGATCATCATGCCTCCAAGTAAGAACTTGCCATCCATGGTGAATAGGTACTTCTTGTATACGCCAGCAAACGGATCTTTGTATGTCAAAGCCTTGACAGGTTCATCACGCAAAGGTTCTTCGAAGCCAGGAACAGCCGATGGCCGGCGACCAGGGAGGAATTTTGGTCCATCTCTGTCAGCGAAGAAATCGCCGAAGCTCGCGACATCCACTCCAAGCAGTTTCAACTTGGTGCTGAGATCTGGTCGGGTGAAGCTTTTCTGTGCTTTTAAGGGGTTTGTGAGATTGAAGGCGAGCACATCCGCCATTTCAATGCCTGGCGCAATGATTCCGAATGTCTGGTTCTCCCAACTTGCGCATTCTCCGACAGCATAGATGTCCGAAATGGTTGTCTGCAGATTCTCGTCAATCACGAATCCTCCCCGCTCGCCGCACTGGATGCCAATCTCGCGACCGAGTTCATCTCGGGGCTGAACACCAATCTGGATCTTAATTAGCATATAGCTCGAAGTCCAACGCAACCGGGTAGCATACCGCAAAGCAGATGCAGCAGCAATCAATGCTCTCCCCATCCTCAAAGGTGATTCCAACAACATTATTCCCGTCATCGGTGTGAACAATTTTCACTCGCTTCTCGTGAAGGACGTCGAGTCCCAGTTCCCGGATTTTGCGCGTCACCAGCGATCCTGCATCACCATCAAGTTGTCGCGCCAACACCCATTTATTACGATCGATTAACTTGACATTCCCGAAGTCCTCCAAGTCAGTCATCGCCTTTGCAGCTTCAAGTCCAAGCAGACCACCACCGACCGTAACGGCCGTTTCGCCTTTGTGCTTGGAAGCGAAGTCGATCAGCCTTTCTAGATCTGAGATAGTGCGGTATACAAAGACTCCATTGGCATCGTGGCCCGGTGTCCGCGTGGGAAGGGTTGCGTCGGATCCTGTGGCTAGGACGAGTATATCATAGGAAATTATTTCACCTGTTGATGTCTGGACTGTTTTGTTTGCGGGATTGATTTCGGTGACTCGTGTGTTAAGATGGTGGTCGAAAGCTCTTTCTTGGAATGAATCGTACTATTCGAAATTGCTTCGTGTTAGGGCGCATGCTCTCTGCGTTTTGGTTTTGGGCAGGGTTCACAAACCCATTCTTTCGGATTGAGGTATAGATCTTCAATCTTGCGATGTTCAAAGAATGTTGAAAGTCCCACGCGATTGTATGCTACATGAGACTCTTCTCCAATCACGACGATGTCATATTTCCGATCTGTGTCTTGTTTGATGACTTTCTCACTGTTTATTGCCTGATTGTTAGATGCCGACGCACGCACTAAGCTGAGGGCATCTTACATAAATGAGATGGCAACCATGCCCAATCCAACAACCACAATCTTCTCTCGAGGAGCATTGTTTGATGGACTAGGGCTACCGTCAACCGGCTCGCCATGTCGTAGCCCGTCGAGTACCGGCATGATGTGTATGCAATTAGAGATTGGAGAAACCATAAAACTGGGCTTCAATTCTAGTTTTAAGGAATTAGAATGAGATGATTACAATTACAATTATAATTACCGTGACAAAATGACAGTGACACGGTGATACAGTGATACAGTGACCTATGCAAAAGCTCGGAAGAAACAGGAGAAACCAAAGAAAAAGGGTCGATACCCAAGTGGCGGTTTGGATCTCCGCGGAACTAATTAGGGCTGACTTGATTGGTTAGGGCTTGCTTATCTCGACCACACCAAGATAAGAAGACGATGAGACGATGAGGTTATATGGGCGACTGTCCGCGGAGATGGACAAGTGGCAAAGCTGGGGGTCTTTTGATGGACTTGGGGCCCAGGTCTGAATGGTCCGGTCAATATATGGATATGCGTGCGGTGGATTGCACTCTGCCGTTTGGGTCATTACTCAATTATAGTTCTCTATCGACTGTCTTGTTTTCAATTCAAATTATACATAGGCATTCTGGTATTTCTACATTCCCACTATATCATCAGACCAGGAAATAGTGCGAAAAGCCACAATAACACACACCATGACTACAGTCACCACGCAGACAAAAGAGGACACAATTGATTTCAAAAATGGACAAATTACAGTGGAAGATATAATTCCAAGTCCAGCAGAGCCTGATATTCCACTACCACCTCCATCCAAGAATCCCGTCGACATTCTAGACGTGGATAAAGGCACACCAGATAACCATGTACCTCGCGACCCCCGATTGATCCGCTTGACAGGTGTACATCCCTTCAATGTCGAGCCGCCGTTAACAGATCTATTCAAAGAAGGTGTGTCGTGTTTGGTCTATGAAGAATCATCTAAAGACTAATTCAAAAAAAGGCTTTCTTACATCCCCAGAACTGTTCTATGTGCGCAACCATGGACCAGTTCCCCAAGTGAACGATGAAGATATTCCCAACTGGGAGATCAGTATCGAAGGGTAAGCAAAGTGCCCTTAGCTCCTTGATGTATTCAAATTCCAAGTAGCTCACAACTAAACCAGACTAGTGGAGAAACCCCTAGTCCTCAGCTTTCGAGAAATTCTCCAAAAGTACGACCAAATTACAGCCCCGATCACACTCGTCTGTGCCGGCAACAGACGAAAAGAACAAAACACAGTCCGAAAGTCGAAGGGTTTCTCATGGGGCCCAGCAGGTCTATCCACAGCGCTGTTCACAGGCCCCATGATGGCAGACGTAATTCGCAGCGCGAAGCCCCTCCGCAATGCAAAGTATGTTTGTATGGAAGGTGCTGATAAATTGGTAAGAATCCATACCCCGTTCTCCTGTCCCACATATCACACATATTGGACATGGATCGAGACTAATACATCCTTCAGCCCAATGGCTTTTATGGAACATCAGTCAAATTGAACTGGGCCATGGACCCGAACCGAGGAATCATGCTGGCACACAAGATGAACGGTGAAGATCTCCGACCTGATCATGGTCGGCCTCTACGGGCAGTTGTGCCAGGTCAGATTGGTGGACGGAGTGTGAAGTGGTTGAAGAAGTTGATTTTGACGGATGCGCCCAGTGAGAACTGGTATCATATCAATGACAATCGAGTATTACCGTGAGTGACTTGTTCATATTCCATTCAGCACCGAGAGTTCCAACTGACTGTGTCAGAACGATGGTATCGCCGGAGATGTCTGCCCAAGATCGCAAATGGTGGACTGATGACCGATATGCCATTTATGATCTCAATGTCAACTCTGTCGCTGCCTACCCTCAGCATGAAGAGGAACTTAACCTAGTGACTGCTGGGCCGACGTATACGGCTAAAGGATATGCATACGCTGGTGGAGGTCGGAGAATCACTCGAGTTGAAATTTCTCTCGATAGGGGCAAATGTATGGTCATCCACTGGGACGATACCAAAATTTGGACCAATGCTAATACTTGCATTCTTTCTTCCAGCCTGGCGTTTAGCCGAAATTGAATACGCAGAAGACAAATACCGAAACTTCGAAGGTGACCTCTTCGGCGGTAAGGTAGACATGTGGTGGAGAGAAGCAAGTTTCTGCTGGTCTTTCTGGTCTCTTCAGATCCCAGTCTCAGATTTGGAAGCCAGCGATGCTCTTCTCGTCCGAGCAGTGGATGAAGCACTCGCGGCCCAGCCCCGGGATATGTACTGGTCTGTTCTGGGTATGATGAATAATCCCTGGTTCCGAGTCACGATCACGAAAGAGGGAAATACGCTCAAGTTTGAACATCCTACTCATCCAGCTAGGGCTGGAGGCTGGATGGAGAAAGTCAAGAAAGCGGGTGGTGATTTGCTCAACGGTAATTGGGGCGAGAGGGCCCAGGGCGAGGAACCAGTTGCGCCCGAGCCTGTCAAGGAGATCAGCATGAAGAAAGAAGGTGTGAATAGGCAGATTGATCTGCAGGAGTTGAAAGCAAATAGTACCAGTGAAAACCCCTGGTTTGTTGTCAATGGCGAAGTATACGATGGAACGGGTTTCCTCGAGGGACATCCTGGAGGAGCCATCAGTATCACATCGTCTGCTGGTCTTGATGTGTCTGAAGACTTCCTTGCAATTCGTAAGTCACTGGTCAGAGTTTCTGTATTGGGACGCTTGCTAACATCCTCACAGACAGTGAAACTGCCAAAGCAATGATGCCAGACTATCACATCGGAACATTAGACAAAGCATCTCTTGAAGCACTCAAGAACAACTCAACGTCAGATTCAACGAAACCACGCCCAGTCTTCCTGCAATCAAGGACATGGACCAAAATGACCCTCAGCGAGAAGAAGAATGTATCATGGGATACACGGGTCTTCATCTTCGACTTGCAACACGACAAGCAAACCCTTGGCCTACCAATCGGTCAACACTTGATGATCAAGGTGCCAGACCCAGCCACAAAGGAAGCAGTCATCAGATCTTACACTCCAATGTCAGACACACGCCTGATTGGAAAGATGGAGCTGCTCGTGAAAGTATACTTCCCAACCGATAAAATCCCCGGTGGGAAAATGACACTAGCCCTCGATGCCCTGCCCATCGGCTCAGAAATCGACTGCAAGGGTCCAACGGGTCGATTTGAGTACCTCGGCAACGGTCGTGTTATTATAAGCGGCAAAGAGCGCCAACTACGCTCCTTCAAAATGATCTGCGGTGGAACAGGTATCACGCCCGTCTTCCAGGTTCTACGCGCTGTCATGCAAGACAATGAAGACCCAACAACCTGTGTTGTTCTCGATGGTAACCGGCTGGAAGAGGATATCCTGTGTCGAGAGGATCTTGATGCTTATGTTGCGGCTGATAGCCGGAAGTGTACCGTCGTGCATACTTTGACTCAGGGCTCTGACGCCTGGACTGGGCGTCGGGGTCGGATATCTGAGGATTTGCTTGCTGAGTTTGCTTCGCCTGAGGAACAGAGTATGGTTTTGATATGTGGTCCTGGCCCAATGGAGAAATCTGCTCGTAAGATTCTTTCGGAGAAGGGGTGGGCAGAGGAGGATCTTCACTTCTTCTAGTCTTCAAGTATCAGTATTCTTTTGTGGGAATGCATGGGAGCGGGAATTGTTTGTTGGCTTGTACATAATTGGCCTGAGAGCCGAGGGCTGCGCGTTGAATAGTATGAATATAGAGACATTGGGATTGGATTTGCATAGAAACGGATGTATTTGACAAATATTCGTGGATCATGAATCATAAAAGGTCATCACATTTTAATGAGGATCTTGTGGTGAAAAAATCAAAAAGCCTACTATCACTTTGTACATCGGTCTTTTTTTTTCCCCGATGCATGACAGTCCGCTCAATAGTATTTCTTGAAGTCCAATCTCACACGGAGGTGCTCAAAGACACTGGTAGCATCTGTATGGGATGAGAAGAATGCACCAGATCTCACCATGGACTTCGAAGTGGCCTTCCCAGATTCTAGATTGCGAAGGTATCCAACAAAAGCAGAGGTCTGTTTGTGCAGATTTTGATACAAGTAAAACGCGGTTCCTTCGGCCTCATGACGCAAGCCGCTCCCATCTGCCTTTGACAGTGGACTGAAGGCGAGAATAGTGCCAAAAATTGATTCAAGCAATTTTGCCGCTTGCGCATGTCGTTTGCTCAGGAAGAACGCAAACAACATCTGGTCAAGCATATCCTCGTGGTAGTCGCGGAGTCGTGGCACGGAGTGCGCCGCTTCGATTGTTCCGTCAATATCACCACGGTCAAGGCAGTACTCGATCTTGGCAAGTGTTTCTTGGAAGCGTTGCCAGATGGATCCAATGCCGATATGGAAGCAGTAGTCGCTGATTGCTAGAACAAAGTGTTGGGCCTCCACCCTGAACTTTTGGAACACATTTCGTGTATCTCCTGACAGGGATCCTCGCATAGTGGAGTCACGAACAAGACTCTTGACAACGGAAACCATGCGAAGCAAGCGAAGCAAGTGTTTGAAAAGACAATCATACTTATCCAGAGACCGCGGAGTAATGATAGACTCGAGTGCTACAGGTGGAGTGTATTGTAGACGAAGAAAATCCAGGGCCTCGATCGAGCTTGGGTCCTTGCATTTGTCTATCTCTTCGTCTGAGAGGTCGCGAATGCCAAAGCTTAGCCCACCCGGCATTTCAGTGTCTTTTTGACTTTGGCCCTTTTCCGATTCTTCTGGTTCTGCGTTGCCGAAGTAGCAGTCTCCTAAAAGGCCGATCAAAACAAGGCGCAGCTCCGAACTAGCTGGTGGCCAAGTGTCTCGACTTCCAAGCCGTAGACCGGTGTCAACTCCGGTTCGTATAACACCGGCTTTTCTTTCTCCACTTTCCATTTCTGAATCGAAAAGAGAGTTGGATAGACGTGACACAAAGGAGCCTTCTCCCAGTAGCTGGAATCGCCATTGTAAATTTAGGTTATCTCGCATCTTATGCTCTTTGAAGAGATGGTGTAGGCACGAGTAGTCGATGAGAAGGGCTTGAGACGAAATAATCGGGGCTAGGGAAAGGTGAAGGCCAGATGTCAATTCTGGGCCAAAGTGGTTTGCATGCTCAATCGGCTCGGTCTCAAATCTCTGGGCTTTGTCGAGTATTTGATTGAAATTATCTTTCGACAGAGCCATTCGGTCTGTGAAAGGCCCCGAGAGGTTAATTTCGTCATCTATGTCAAAGAGTTCAAAGGTTCCCTCAACAGCACTTGCGTCCGTCAATGGCGTGGGAATCTGCGTGATTGCTTCGGATGAGGAAATAAGATCCGCGGGCTCGTGTTTGTGATATCTCTTGATCTCAGCGCGAAGTTTCGATTCATACTCTTGGGCCGTGGTCTGAATGTTCTCGATGTCAGCCCAGGAGGTCGCACAATGCAAATGAAGATCACCAGCTCGGGAAAAAACATCATGCCGTGCGATAGGATGGTTTGGATGGGATTGCTTCAGCATTCGAAGACTTCGTCCACTCTCAAAGATGGAGTATGCTTGATCAGCTGGGATGAACGACGGTATGTGATCTGCTTGAAAGATGTGTTCAATTCGTGCCGGTCCAGTTTTGAACTTGCCAGGCTGATGAACCTCCCGCGCGATGAATGTTTTGCCGCCAGTAATTGATTCTTCAAGAGCTGCATCTTCTGGTCGAAGCCCGATCCAGCCGTCGATGAGTTTAAACCACGGCTCAGTTACTCGAATTACTATCTCATGCAACAGGTTCTCCATCCAGCCAAACCTTTGAGCAAAGGAGGCAGCACTTTGTGTCACAATTGATAATATTTGCGCATCTGAGGCGGCCTTTTGGGAAGTGTCCACAATAGCAGCCAATGCACCCATCAGGTCCCCACAACGTTCAAACAAAGCTCTGATTTGCAGAAGCGAGGTGAATCTTTGTGGGTGTCCAGAGATCTGCTGCTCAAGATTGAAAATGATGACAGCAATTATACGGCTCAAAGTGAACAGAGTCGATAATTCCTTGCACTTCGGAGGTGGTTCTTGCGCGAATAATCGCATCTGGTGCATCTTTGCGCCACACTGTAGCACGTATCGAACAACGTTATCCAATGCCATAGAGCTGACACCAGAGACCCTAACATCCTTGATCTCTTCCTCGAATTGCTTTGTGTGTTGGTTGTATCGGAAAAAACATGAGTTCCAGCCTAAGCCCAGACGGAGCAGTGATCGAAGATAGATATCTGCCTGAGCCAGTCGGCTGGGTACCTTGCAATTCAGTAGTGTTTGCTTTGCCAGAGCTGCATCAAAGCCCTTCGGGCCCGATTCGCTGAAATAGGCAGAGACCGGCTCTTGAAAGGACCTCTCCGTATGTGTCTCCCATGATTTCTGCGGGATCACTTGGGCATCGTCTTCCCTTAGCGAGTCTAAGGACCAAATATTGTTCTCATCTTCAACTGTGTCTGCTACAAGGTCACATGGCGCATCGGACAGGCCGTCAATGGAGGGGTCGATGGTCGAGTCGGTAGCAGACTCAGGCGGTTCCAATCCACTTGGAAAGAAGTCGAGCTTCCATAGTGACCTATCGATTTTCTCGTTCGGTGCGTTTGGTGCCTCGAAGCAAGATCGCGGAAATTCTAAGTTGAAAGCCAATGTTATTGATAATTCTGGGGGTTTTCTGGTTGGGCCTTACCAGGCAATGCAGCGTTCCATGGTACAGACTCCAATGGCTGTAGAGCTTCTATGCTGAACTTAGAAGGTCGCCAAAGGCTCTCGCTGGAGAAGGGATCCAGCTGATCGCATTGATCCATAACGAGACCATACTCAGTGGTGAGGTGAACGCGCGAGTCCCGCGACGCAGATGGCTATCGCAGTGCACGGACCCCCGATAACAGAAAGTGCCTCGTCGACCTCGAAGCTCAACCATCACCTCTGCCCTCCCCTCTATTTAAGGCCAACAGACCTCCTCTTGTTCCGGCTTCCTACAAGACAGTCGCAATGCCTCCAAGAAAGAAGACGAAGCGCGCACATTCACCTACACCACAAGATGATACGACAGCGCTCTCAAGCGCAGACACGCCCAGGTCAAACGACAGTGTCGACAAGCCAGACACAGATTACGACCTGATCTCAGATCCGTGGACAGACGAGCAAGAAACAGCCCTGCTGAAAGCGGTCATAAAATGGAAACCAGTTGGTTAGTGCGATTGGCGCATCGACTCTACTTACAGCGCAGCTAACCGTTTCGCTACAGGAATACACAAACACTTTCGGATGCTAGCGATCTCAGATTATCTCAAGAGTCAGGGCTATGCGCCATCTACAGCGGAACATATGCGGATTCCAGGTATCTGGAAGAAACTTGGAACATTGTACAACCTCGAAGCGCTTGATGAACGTGTAAGTGAACCTACACGGCTTGTTCGCGTTGTTCTCTGGCTAATATACTTTGGGGCCATAGGAAGATTCGGTGATCACCGATACCAACGAGGACGATGAGGGGTCGAGCGAGATGTACTGTTCGTTCGACCTACCATACGATGAGTACGGCGAGATGATGTTTGAGCGACGGTTAGCAATGGAAGGTTCTTCTTCGCCTGTTACCAGCCGTGCGAGCCGAGCAGCGGAGTCGCGACGAGGTAGTACAGTTGCGGATACAGATGGTACGTTTGAAATCACATGCGCCCGTTGCCCCAAGACCGGGACTGACTAACGTCTTCTTCAGAGCCACGATCTTCTCCAGCCCCATCACGAGGTCGCAATACCAATCGGAGTGCGCGTACCTCGACAAGGGGAACACGTTCTACCAGACTGCAGGTGGAGATTGGCACGGGGAGCCAAGGCAAGGTATCAGACGAAGGTGGTGATGGTGATTCAGAAGAAGAAGACACCGGTGGGAATGATGAAGACGATGAAGAAGGGGAGGAGGCCTCGGATGCCAACAGTGAAGAGGAAGAAGGTGATGGCGAGAAGGGGGGTTCTCGCAGCACTCGAGCGCAAACCTCTCGATCCAAAGCTAAGGACAAGAAGCCTTCAGGTGGCACTGCTACGCGCAGGACAGGTCGACGGCGTTGAGACGAGTGGAAATCGCCTTCGCTCTGGAACTTTGATACCTAGCGAGTTCGGGGGCGTTTATATATTACTATTGAGATGTACGATTATGCAAGCACTTTGTTTTCTACGGCCTGTCTGGCGTGAACAATCAAAATAGAAACTCCAGTCACGATGCGAATCTCTGAAATAGAAATTGCAGAGGTCATAGCTCCTTTTACACTCTACATGATCTGATGGATTCAACGAGATCGCTGGGAATTAAGCTGTGTGAGGGGTCAGATGATGTGTCAGGGCTCACGAGGATTTTGTAAACATATCTGGTACTTCATGCACGGTTAAAGTGTTGATGACTCCTGATGTATATGTTCTACAGAGAAACATTCTGATTCAAGCGAAAAGCACACCAGAGTAACCACTAACGTAGGTATATTTCGATCGCTTTAGGTCTAATGTCGTTCGAAGGTACAAAGGGAATAGATCAAAGGGTCATAGTACAGAGGATCGGAACAGCGACTCAATTACAGGCGTGAGATGATAGCCTGGGCGTACTCGTGGGTCTTGGCCTTACCGCCAAGGTCACCGGTGAGAGCCTTGCCGTCGGCGAGGGTGTCGAAGGTGGCCTTCTGGATGCGGGCAGCGTGGTCGTGGAGACCCATGTGCTGCAGCATCATGATGGAGGACAGGAGCAGAGCAGTGGGGTTGGCAAGACCCTGGCCAGCAATGTCGGGGGCGGAACCGTGGACGGCCTCGAAGATGGAGCACTCGTCACCAATGTTACCGGAGGGGGTGAGACCGAGACCACCGATGAGACCGGCGCACATGTCGGACAGAATGTCACCGTAGAGGTTGGGCATGACAAGGACCTTGTCGTTGTAGGGGGTGGGGTCGGTAACGATCTTGAGGCATGAGTTGTCCAGCAGCTCAGCGTCGAACTCGACGTCGGGGAATTCCTTGGCGATCTCGCGGGCGGTGTTGAGGAACAGACCGTCGGACATCTTCATGATGGTGGCCTTGTGGACGACACGGACCTTCTTCTTGTTGATGGATTGCGCGTACTGGAAGGCGAAACGGAGGACACGCTCGGAAGCCTCCTTGGTGATAAGCTTGATGCTCTGGACGACACCGTCAACGACGACGTGCTCAATGCCGGAGTATTCACCCTCGGTGTTCTCACGGATGAGAACGGTGTCGACATTGTCGTAAGGGGTCTCGTAGCCAGCAATGGACTTGCAAGGACGCAAGTTGGCGAACAGGTTGAAAGTACGGCGGAGAGTCAGGTTCAGGGAGACGTGACCCTTGCCAACGGGGGTCTAGAAACATGCTTTAGTGTCGCGATTCAATTGCAATGGAGGAGTTGTTGACATACAGCGAGGGGACCCTTGAGGGCAACGTAGTTGCGGCGAACGGAGGCAATGGCATCATCGGGGATGGCGGTCTTGCCGTCCTTCAGGATGGGGGTGACATCAACAGACTCCCACTTGACGGGGGCCTATCATTGGTTTAGTGTTTGTTGCAGGGGTCGATATGCAGGATGATAGCTACCTTAGCGGCAGTGAAGATGTCCTTGACGGACTGAGCGATCTCAGGACCAATACCATCACCCTCAATCAGGGTAACAGTGTACTTGCCCTATTTCAAAGAAAGAATTGGAATTAGTATGGTGCAATTTTGAGCGCGATCGTGGCTGTTGGCGTCGGGTTGTGCTCGGTGTGCGCTGCGCGGCTGGCACCGGCATGCATGAAAAAAACGGGTTTGGCGAGATAAAAAAACGTACATCGGAGCCCTTCTGGCCCTTGAACTTGGCAACAGCTTCCTGGGCAGGGCTGGCGTAGAATCGCACCTAAACAAAACAATCAAGGTCAGCTAATTGAAGATTTGCGATTGAAAGTTGAGGGGATGTCAGTACCTGCGAGATGGGAGCGATAAAGCTGGGAGCCACACGGGGGAACCGCAGGGTCTGGCGAGCAGCAGAGAAGTTCCGAGCAGCGAGCATCTTGAATGTCGGGGATGAGACAAAGATGGAGGGTGGTGGGGAGAAGGGAAGAAGGAGAAGGGGAGAAAGAATCAAATCTCTCGGCGCCGCCCCGATCCGACCGGGCCTCCCACCGCATTGGTGGTTTGATATCATCCCCGGGCCGAGTCCACTTCTCTATCCACAACTCCAGGGTCTTGACAGCTTCCTCAGTACAAGACCGTCTATGAATCTGGAGAATTGGACACCTTGATTGTATTTCTCTGTTATCGTTGACCTCACGCCCGGCAAAATGGCCGACCTCGACGTCGCGAGCCACTACAGCCTCCCCTCAGAGTTCCCGGAGGAATGGCCAGCAGCTCTGGACGAAGCTGATCAGCTTGACGAAGAGCCTTTGCAGAGAGCAGACTCTCGTCCGCGTAAATCACGATACTTTGCTCTTGAGCGCAGCCCAAGTGATTGGAGGAATAACTTTGGCTCACGCCGGGGGAAGGAGGGCAGAGACAATGCGCAGAACGATGAGCCCGATCCATTGGGAACCGGCGAGAGCGTTCTTCGCATTCTCAAGCAGCGCGGAATACCATTAGATGACGACGGACGCCAAAAAGCCCGGTTCCTGCTATCCTCGACCTCGTTCTCCCCCGCACTCTTCCTGTCGCAAGCGCATTCCCAGGCATCCATAGAGTCGCTCATGGGTGGTTTGGACAACCTCTCACAATCGATCGATCAGAAGTCCGCGTCATTGAAAGTGTTGGTGGAGGCTAACTTCGAACGCTTCGTCCGGGCCAAGGCAACTATCGATGCCGTCTACACTGAGATGAGGAACCAGGGCGTGGAGAAGGAGCCAGCTTTAGCTCCCCGCCGGTCAGGCCACTTCCGGAGCTATTCGGGTCAAAACCACAGTCCATCACCGGCCCCAGCGGTAACTCCGAAGAAGACCGCGCTCACGAAAGAGAGCGAGTACGGCATGAAAGGTATCCGAGGCCCTTTGGTGGAAGCTTCTGTTAAGGCTGAGGAGGTTTGGGGGCCAGCTCTTGGGGGTCGGGAGCGAGAACAGGTTTTGAAATGCGTGGTTGAGACGATGGAGAAACACCGTGAAGCCTACGAGATTGGAAGCCTTTTGTCCAAATCGATCCAACAACGTGATTATGATTCCGTTTTCGAGCAATATACTAGAGCTAGGACGCTGGCCAATGGAGCTAAAAACATCGCAGACCAAGCTTCCAGTGCCCATCGACAACTGAACGATTCTGAAACGCATACTATCCTCACCATGGGTCGCATGTGGATGGATGTTGACCAACAAATCCAGGACTTCAAGCGCGATCTCTGGAGGCGGCTTGGTGATGCACCCACTACATCAACCACGAGCACTGCCTCTGGGCCCGTGGAAGAGCATATGGAGCTGATCGGGGCACTATTGGAACTGGGTGTCGAGGACAACCCTATTTGGACATGGCTACAAAGTCGTTATGAATTTTTGAAGACCAAGATCACAGTATTCTGTGATCGATGCAAGGTGGAAATTGAGATATTAAGAAGACGGCTTGCTGCTGGAGAGAGGCCAACTCCGCAGGCTACGGCATCCTACCTTCGCCTGGCACCTCGCGATGGCCCAGCGGAATACCCAGGGAGGCTAGACACTGATCAGGTTATCGAGCTTTGGGAGTGTGTACAAGCGTTTTTAACACGACTTCTTTCGTCACAGAGTGGCTTACTAGGGGAGGTGTTGGATTTCTGGGAAGTTGCCCAGTCTTTCATCGACGGTAACCGACAACGACTTCTACCTGTCGGCTTTGAAGGAGAGAGCCGCAAACATCATCGACTTTCAAGTAGTAGCGTCAAGGAATTGGAGACAGGCGTCGTGGAACTGGTCAATCTGATTCGACAGAATGTCCTGGCCCTCTTCACAGAACTTCCAACTGAAGACGTCTCCTTGCTCTTCTCCCCAGTCCCGGCAAGTCCATCGAGTCCGGAGACGCGAGGCATTACACCAACGGAATCACGCTTCAAGCTGGATCCGAAAAATCTACCAATGCCTGTCCCGAAACTGGGAGAATCCTGGGAAGAGTATGCCTTCTGGCCACCATTTTCCAATTCACTCAGTGGAGTACATTACTTGAGCAAATTCCTCATAATTTTGGGCAGTGCTGCTAGCGAAATGGCCGCTTTACGGCCGATTGCCAGTGCTGGGAAATCGCATGATCTTCTCAGGTCTCTTGTCAGTCTTTCTAGAGAGCGATGTGCCCGGGTTGCATGTGCTGCGTGGAGCAAAGATTCAGAGGTTTGCAAGATGCTTGAAGATTGGACTCGTGATATTGAGAACCGCGATCTCACCAAGATGCCCGGATTCTTTGTTGCTTTTGAGGGTGCCATCCTTGGAGGCATGCAGAAAATCCTCTACATCTCAGAGGCAAGGGCAAAACCAGGTTCTGTAGATGTGATCACCCAGCCGCCTGCAAAATTACTGCAAATGGTTCGCTCTCAATTCGCTTCCAGCGTCTACAAAGCACTTAGCGGGCTGGTCGAAAACGCTGAGCGTCCAACTAGTGTTGAGGAAGAGAATGAATGGGTCATTGCCAGGCCAGCAATCACGAGTCAAGCCACCGATGCTGCTGTGTCAGTTCTCTCGGCAGACTCTGTCGATTGGTGCAACAGGGTAAGTATCCGCATAGATACCATTGCTTCTGGATCACTAACCCCAATACAGAACGTCCGCATCCTCCTTACTCTCTCAAATCTCAAGGCCCTACAGGCTGAATACGTTCCACAGCTGATCTCCAACTTCGAGAGTGCATTCTCTGTTAAACTAACCGAAGAGGCCAAGACTGTCCGAGATGTGCTCGCCCAAATCGAAGACCGGTTGTTCCACTCATATGTCAACCCAAGTACCACCATACTAAACGACACTATCGCCGCCGGAATTGGCTCCTCTGACTGGGTGCCTTCGACTGATCGACCGGAGCAAGTTCGACCCTATGTCTACAACACTATGCTGACCATGGTGCTTGTTCACACGGAGATTTCCACCACTATTCCATCAACCGTATCGCCAAACCCCGACCCCCATGTTTCCAAGGCATCTTCTAAACTCTTGGCCACTGTGTTGACATACCTTGTAACGCAAATCTGTTCAACTTTGCTCGCGGCGTTCCGTGCTCGTCCCTCCTTTTCGCTAGCCGCTCTAATGCAAGCAACCTTGGACACGGAGTTTATCGCGCAGTCACTATCTCAGTACGCAACTGACGAAGCATCAGGCATGCAAAGCCAAATTTACGTCGAGCTAGATGCCCGCACAACAAACGAAGCCCGAGTGAAACTCCAGGCCGAACTCGGAGAAATGAGAGGTACCCTGAAAAGACTGCGAGACAGGACGAAGGGCGAGTTTGCCTGTTTCAGAAAACGCAGCTCAAATGGTTCCAAGTCCTCAAATAGTCTACAAACATAGCGCATCAACAATTTAATTAATTGAATTCATCATGAACTTTTTCACTTCCAAACGGGTATCACGAAAACATAGTCTATACCACATAACTTACATGTGTAGCTCTCTCGAGGTCACATCTAATTCTGACCAACCATCCGCTGCACCCGACTCAAAAGCGCATTACTCTCCCTTCCTAGTCGCCTCTTTCCAAACTGATCAGGTCGCTTGGCCCGAAGCATAGCCTCCCGCTCGTTCTGCTTTGCTTGCCGATCCTTCTCCCTTTTCTCAGCCGCTCTCTTCCGTGCCTCAGCAATCTCAATCTCCTTCGAAAACGCCGACGGCTTAGGTCTGCGCTCCCTGCGACCCTCTTCCCTTGGACGGCGTTCCGGTCTAGGTGCGCGCGCAGGCGCGGGTTCAGGCTCGGGCTCGTTCAACATGGCGACACGATCCGGGTGAAGTTCCAAAGTTGTGGCAGCTTCCGTCGGGGCTTCATCCTTCTTTTCTCTTTCGGCGTCCTCTTCAACGTAGGTGTCGTAGACGGACTTTTTGGGTGCGGTTGCTTCTTCTTGGGCTTTAATCTTTGCGTAGGCTTTCTTTACTTTGGCTTTTTGGATCAGGTCATTTTTGATCTTTTGAGCTGTTGCAGGAACTGTGTTAGTCTTGGATCCGTCGCGGTTGGATGCTGGTTTGCTTACTCTTTCGTCGATAAGTGCCATCGGGCAGGTTCGCTGGTCCGACGCTGAAGCCCTTGCGTTTCTTGACTGCGTGCTCGGATTTTGATACTGGAGCTGGATCGCCATCATGGGTGCGTTTCGGTGCCATTTCGACGAGGTCTGACAGTCAAGATCTGTCTTGGAGTTGGAGTTGGGATTGTGTTGTGTTGGATTTGGGGCGGAGAAGAAAAAAAAAAGTGGCGATCTCCGCATGGAACCCAGCCAAGTCTAGATCAGTTGGGCATTGGAGACATCTACACACTCACTGTTCTACTGCTGCGCATAACGAGCTAATCGTATTGAGAAAATTTGCTTGATTTAGGCTACTTTTTGCCTTCTCCGCTTTCTCTCATTTGTTGCTCAGGTAAACCAAGTCAATTCACCTGCATCACGCCCGGGAGTCAGTACACGACCCTTTTTCACCTTTCACCTTATCAACATCACCAAGCTCATTAGGCCCGTCTGCAGGAATACCGCCCGCTGCCCAATGCCTGATGCCCTTTGCCTTTGTCCTAAAACAGTCGTTGCATCTCAACGTCACTACGTCACATGACGTCTGAGTCAGGATCTCATGATCGACGCCCAAACGCTCAAAGGATTTCTTTTTCTCTTATATATATCACAGACTGGGTCGACATTCGGGCGAGTGCAGAGAAGACCGGTTGCATCTGAACGGAATCGCATCCCATGACGTGATCTATAGAAGCGCAGTCTTCCTCGCCAATCACTTCAATATACAAATCGTCTGGCACACCGCATCCAACTTCCTCCCCGGCTCTGGTTTCAGATGATATAAGCCACGTTTCCTGAGATGTCACACTTATCGTTTCAGGCCTTTTAGTCTGTCCTTATCACGCCATGCCCCTATTTCAAGATCCGGATCGGCGGCGCCATTATCTATGGTCACCGGATCATAGACAGGAACAGCCAACTACAGGGTCCTCTGAGGCCCCCAAGGATCTTCACCACCAAGATTTTACAGAACCTGTCCCTAAATATTCAAGGCCGTCGCAGTCAACGGAGCCGGACATGCCAGGACCGTGGGCTAACGACCGGGAGGAGCTTATACATCGTATCAAGGAATCTTCGCCTTGGAGACTTCAACCCTCGGTATGTGGGGCGCTTGCCAGACCTCTCCTGGAATATACTTCCCTTTTAGTTCACTGTGTCTTCTGTTTCTCCTTTTTCTCGTTCTTGTTCTTGATCTTCCTCCTCGCTCAGGACGTAATCTAACATCTATCACAAGTCAACCGACAAGAAAGATGGTGACGTCTTCATGCCCCGCAGGTCACAGGAACACCAAAGTGTATTAGGACAACAACAAGAGCCTTCCATCGGAAATCAACGTGGTGAAGATGAGACGGATGAACTGGGATCGCCGGCCGATATCCAGAGACCTCGGTCAGCGTTACACTCGGGCGACTTCAGGGAAGGTGCCACAGATCACCATGACCCGCCAACACCGCGGCCTCTATTTAAGGAGCGAAATACAGTCTCTCCTTTTGCTCACCTGGGCTCTTCTCCTACGACACCCTGGTTTGGAGCTCCGCCATTTGCATCTTTACAAACCCCAACCACATCAAATGACAATCTGCAAACCATTCCGTTCGCCGGGAACACCCGTGCTCGGGCACCCTCGCTGGGTTCGTTCTCCTCAAGCTATGTGCTCAAAGCTCCAACAAGCCCGCTCGTGTATCAAGCAAATAATACAGACCTGGACTTTTCGCCTCGCATCGAGCCCGTGGATGTATCAGACCCTTCAGAGAAAGCCAACCGTCGCCGGACCTTACCCCCAGAGACTTTCGGAAATCTTCAATTTTCTCCGCCAAGTCAAAGCCAACATGCCATGAACATTGGCAGCCCATGCCCGCCCGGGAGGCAGCGGGGTTTGTTCGCCAATCAAATTTCTCGTCCTCGTCGTTCATTGACTGCGGCCTATAGTCTCCAGCTCGCGCCGTCACCTGCGGGTCAGGTCATGCCATCCCACTTCAGAAGGCCATCTTTAAGCGGAGACAACTCGCCCAAACCTCATGCTCCGATGGTAGGGTCTTACGAGGAGTCTATCTTGCGGGGACGAATGTCTATGAACCCATCCAAGCCTCTGGATTTCACGGCTCAGATCGGTGTTTTAGGAAAAGGCAATTGCAAAGGTCACCTCAAGTGCCCACCCCATGTTACGGTGCCTTTCCCAGTGGTCTTTTATAGCTACCCAACCTCGGGCAACGGACGGTCCATCTCAGATGACAATCCAAGTCCATACGTGGGACAGATTGACCTGGAGAACTCACTTCCCAAAGAGAGTGAAGTTCCAACTAGACGTCGCAGGCGACACACAAGTCCAGCAAAACACCGAGAAGATATATCTGGTGCAGAAAGAGCGAACGCTTCCCGAACTACTGAAGCGGATAGCCGCCGCCGAAGAGAAAAGAAGAACCGCAGATCCGAATCACCTAAATGTCCTCCAGGGGGGTCTTATCGAATACCGCAGCAAGGACAGTTACAGATCATCATCAAGAACCCTCACAAAACAGCAGTCAAGCTGTTCTTGGTTCCGTATGATCTCGAGGATATGGAGCCCGGTACAAAGACCTTCATTCGTCAACGCAGCTACTCGGCTGGTCCGATCATCGATATGCCGCTCAGTGCACGAAAGAACTTTGGGACCGATCGCCCGGAAGCTTCCTTGAATGCTACAGAAGATCCCCAAGATAAACCCACTTTGCGATATTTGATTCATCTCAATATATGCTGTCCCGCGCGTGGGCGATTTTACCTACATTCGAGCATTCGGGTTGTGTTTGCCAATCGTGTTCCAGATGGCAAAGAGAAGCTGCGAAATGAAATTCAAAATCCCGAGCCTCGTTATAGCCCTTACAAACCGTCTCGAGATACTTCTCTAGCAACGAGCGCAAACGCGCGAGCGGCGATTGAGAAAGCATGCCGCAGGCGAAGTGTTGGCCAGGGATCAATACCTAGTTTACGTCCTCATCTGTCGTCACCAGGCGGCCTTCCCTCACAGCTGGAGATTCCAACGCCCATGGATCTTGATGATCCCTCTCAACTTAGTCCACGCTCGCAAACTACATCTTTTTATAACAAGCTCACCAAAGACGATGTGGGATATGGAGGTCACACTTTCATCCCCAGTCAGTCTGGTCCAGAAGGTGGTGAAAGCTTGCTCGCCAAAAGACTTCGAGGCCTCGATGTCCATCGAACCGAATCATCCCCAGTAGATGAGCACCATCCACGCACACTGGACTTCCATAACCGATTCCACCCTTCTCGCAATCATCATCGTTGAACAGGAGTCTCACCTTGTTCACTTTTCTCATCTCCTTGCCTAGCGCATCTCATCCGACTATCTCAGCAGTATATTAACCACCTCCCGCCTACTTGTACCGTGACTTGACATGTAAATGAAACCATCAATCTACTGCAAGTTTAGAACAGAACAACCAAACCAAAAACAGAAAACAAGCAGGAAACCCCTTCCGGTTTGACACACCAAAGGCGCACCGGTCTGCAGCCGATCACTGTCCATACTAACCCACATAATAGCACCCACATTCACACACCAGCGATGAGTGTCTTCATTGTCTGTTTCTTATTTCTTGAACCTTCGTTTCGGTTTTCAATACTTGCCTTTTGGTATATATGGGGTTATACAGGCGCCTGAGTTATTGATTATACCCTTACTCTTTCATTATCTTTCTTTAACCCTATTGAAGGGTCTTTCGGCGTACATATCAGCTAGGTTTTTTGATCGAATTTGAAACTCAGACATTTGGATATGAGACATAGTCTTGAAAGTAGTATTCAGTATTCAGGTGTTGTCCCGGTGCTTAACAAGAATCCCCTTGTCCTATGTGACCTGACTTGGAATACATTCTCACGACAAAGGCTATGTGTCTTAAGACATCACGCAGTCTGGCAACTCCCATGACCTCCATAACCACTATGATTGGGATATATTTGAGATCACGGCCGTATGCAAACCACCATCACTTGAACCATTCATTCAAGCCAATGCGTGATACTCGCGCACAGTCTCCATAGATTGTCCTTCAACTCTACTATATTTCCCATCTCACAAAATTTCCACAAAATGAAGCTTTCCTGGCCCCATCTCCTCCTATTACCCCAATAGCATCTGCAAATCTCATAACCTACGGGATATGCCAGCGAGGATGTGCGGGACTGGTAATGGACTGCTAACTCATCAATAGGTTTCCCATGGGGTGCAACATTGGCTGCTACCGTGCCTGCTGCTGTACTGCGCTGTAGCACGGCGTTTAGAGGTTGTCACAAAGCTTGTGGGAGTATGCTTCTTCCTTGATCGAGATTTGTTGTTCTTTCTGCTTGGTAGAGGGGAGGTTTCGTTTCATTGAGAGTCCAGGATAGATATGATAGTCTTTTTTATCTTTGGGTCTTTTGATTGTTATATTTTCTCCGTGTGATGAGGAGTATTTAGGTAGCCTTAGTTCAGTTAAGAGCACAAGAAAAAACGTTATTCAATGCCATTTTATGTGAGAGCGGTCTGAATGTATTGATTCAACTGCTATATTAATGTGATACCACCGCCCAAGTAAGGCAGGCCACTTCAGGGAGTGATATCACTCAATGATGTCTTCTAGGCCCTTTTTGCAGTTCTTCCTGGGGTATGTGACAAAGTCAGCGACATGATCGAGGCTGTTACGGTAACACTTCTTATACTTTCTACTGCTATTGCTGCATATAACTACAAACGGCTATCTTGAAAAGTGATTTAGATTTTTCAAACCAAGACAAAGAATGAACAAATCTGAGATCCTGCGATTCTATCTACAGAGCGCTAGAGAAAGCAAACAAAAATTATCAAAAGAGCATTGGCCTGAGATGAAGTGGGTTAGACTTCACCAGGGAAGAATGCGTAAGAAGAAATCTTCAACCAAGGAAGGAAGATCTTCCAGGGCTCTGGCATACGATACGAACTGCTTAACCAGCATGCTCAACAATCTCGCTCACCAGCACACCGTTCTTGATGTAGCTCTTGAACTGCTCGGGGAGAGGACACTCTTTAGTATCTTCATCAGTGCCCTCCTTAGGAGGAAGATTGATGTTGATAGCAGAGGATTTGCTGGTGAAGATCTCAGTGTTGAGACTCTGTGGGCCAAGGTAAATAGCAGCGCCGTCAACCTGGTCCAAAAGCAGGGTAGGGGCAGTGCCGTCGATCTGGAGAGCAAACTTAGGGCACTTGATAACGTCGAGACTACTGACCAGGGAGTCAACGATGAGAGAGAGACCGGTGCAGTTGTCGATAGCGATGGCGTTGGCCTTGTTAGCGACCTTGATAATGGTCTTGTTGCAGCGGGTGATCAGGATAGACTGATTTTGCTGCGCGGGGATCTCAATAATATCACCAGGGTTGTCGAAGTTTTCGACGAGCCACTTGTTGCCCTCGAGTTCCTTGCGAGGGGGCTTACGGGTGCGCATGTTCTCTGGCTTAGGCTTCTTACTGGGCGCGGGAGACTTCCCGCGGTTGGCACTGGAGCCCTCTGTGACGGCTGAGCTGGTGCGCAGACCGGGGTTCTTGTGGGTCATCTCTGACTTGTCAACCTTGCGGAGGCTGGAGGTGATAGCCTCACCCTGGTTGAGCTGGTCGAACACGGCGCCCATGTCGGGAGACGGAGCTGCAGGAGCGGGGGCGGGAGGAATGCCAGGGGGAGGTGGTGGGGGAGGAGCACCGCCGCGGGGCACATTGAGAGAAGGCACTGGGGGAGGAGGAGGGGGAGGAAGGGTACCCCCAGCGGGGGAAGCAGGTCCGCCCTTGGCTTGCTTCAAAGCTTCGAGAGCATCGATGCCGTTCTCGTTGTTCCAGGTAAGGCCTTTGGGGAAGTGCTTCTTGAGATATTCAGCAAGGGACTTGAAGTTCTGGGAGTAGGCCTTGATGTAGTCGACATGTGTACGGTCCCTGTCAAAATGTCAATTTTTAGATCTTGCGACTTAGTGGCGAAATACTCACTTGTCCTTGTACTCCTTCAAGACCTTATTTCCGTAGTACTCAATGCCACCGATCATGTCCGCGACGAATTCCGCGGGCTTGCTCTCAAAGAACCAGGCGAGCGCAACAATGCCCTCTGCGACAGCACTGAGGTGATTGAACAGCGGAGACGCACGGTTTGACTCGCGAATGTTGTTGATGCTGTCCGAGGCCTTGTGCAGGTCGGTCATTAACTCTGGGGGCTGCGTATCGGGCTTCTTGGCCTTTGTCACGACGTAGAGATAGGTGCGCTCAGCCTTGAAGGCTTGCAGGACGGCTTTCGACTGATCTGTAGTCAATAACTGATCACCGCGAAAAAGATATCAGAGAGGCCTACCTGCTCGGCAACCAGACCACCAATTTTCTCTCCTAGGTTCACAAAGTTCTGAACATCGCCCTTGATCAAGGCATCGAAGTCTTCGATCTGCGGCGGGACCGGGGCTGCCACGGGAGCTGCGGGTGGCGGAGGAGCGGGCTTAGGGGGTTCTGGAGTAGAAGGCACAGAAGAAGAAGCGCCGCCCATGGACTGTGGGGAGCTGGGGTCATCGAGTGACATCGCCATATCCTCCAAGCGGGAGGTGGCTGCCTCTAGCCTATATACCGGAGCGCATTGTCAGTCGAGGATATGGAGAAATTGTCACACGGTTTCAACGAAACTCAAGCATGACTCAAACGCAGTAAAATAAATACTGTGCGCAACGGTTATACATACCGCTTGATGAGGGTGGTGAAGTTATGCATGTGGCCGCCTGACGCCATGATAGGCAAACACGTAGCTCCAACGGTTGGAGCGAAAAGGAGGGAGGATGTAGGTTGGTGAGATATGTGAATTTAATAAGCGAGCAGACGATCAAGGCTCCTGCAATAAGATATATCAAAGACCAGTTAAGTTACAGAGACAGGGGAAAGAAAGAAGTTCGGAGCTCCTGACTGCAGGTCCGGGCTCCAGGCCCACGGATACATTACAGTACGGAATGGTGGGCTGACACAATGACGTTGTGTGGGTATTTTTAGTATTGTCATTACGATATGTATTCATGATCCACTTCAGGACTTGATAGACAGTTGTTCTTCTTAATGTTCTCTTGTTCCTCTCGGCCCTATTGATCTGGACCAATTCAAACTACAGAGGTAGAGTCATGTCTCACAGTCAACATGAGGTCGACTTTTGCACTCTGGGAATGTTCATCCTAGGTATGCTATAATCTTGTCTACTCAATGCGGGACATGGGCTCACTGTGTCTAGATGACATTGAGTTTGGTGACTCAAGACCTGCAGTCAAGAATATTCTTGGTGGAGCAGCTTCATTTGCAGTCGTGGGTGCCCGTTTGGTTTCCGGCTCCAAATATGCACAATCCGTGAGCTGGATCGTGGATGTTGGCTCTGATTTTCCTTCCGAAACCCTAGATGTGATCAAATCATGGAACACAGATTGTCTGTTCAGGGATGATCTCAGCCGACTGACTACAAGGGCCTGGAATGGGTACCATCCCAATGAGAAGCGAGGTAAACATCTATGGATGCGATGATATCCTCGTGAAATACAGGTGCTGATTGACCCCGCAGATTTTAAATACTTGACTCCAAAGTTGCGACTCGAGCCTGAGATGCTATCGGATACTCAGATGTGGTCTAAGACATTCCATATGGTCTGTTCTGCATCCCGTTGTATTTCTATCGTCGAACATATCTTGCAGCGACGAGAAGAGTTGCAAAAGGCAGGCAAAGCTCCGTCTACGGCGGATATATTCAAGCGTCCCATCTTTGTCTGGGAGCCGGTCCCTGACCTCTGTACCCCGGAGGAACAAGAGAAGTTCTTCGCTGCAAATCAAGTCGTGGATGTCGTGAGTCCCAATCACATGGAACTTGGCATGATGTTTGACCAGCCCGGTTGGTCCGAAGAAAGTGACGAAAGCCAGAAGCTGGTCCAAAGGATTTTAGACTCCGGCATTGGCCATGACGGAAATGGTCTACTGGTTGTTAGGGCCGGGAAGGACGGCAGCTACGCTTACTCCAAGACCAGCAAGATCTGGCTCCCAGCTTATCACCAACCTGATCCCTCTGGTGCTACGTCTGTGCTTGACCCCACGGGTGCGGGCAACTCCTTCCTAGGTGCTCTGGCGCAGGGTATGGTGACTACGGGGCGAGAGCCGTTCCAGGCCATTGACTCGGTTTTGTCGCACTCCGAGACCTGGACCAAGGCCCTCAACTCTTGGGGCAACTTCCCAAACCACCCCATGGCACTTATTTGTGCGACTGTCGCAGCAGGGTTTGTAGTGGAACAAATTGGTGTGCCACAGATTGCTGTTGATGGAAACGGAAAGGAATTGTGGAATCAGTCTGAATTCACGGAACGGGTCCGCCTGTACACGCAGCGATTATTGAGGACACTTGAGGAGTCTCCTCGAAAACACCTATTGACCAATTGATCAATGGATTGATGAGGAACGCCCTTTTATTGTCGTACAGCACACAAATGAACAAATAGTAGAAAAACACGCAAGAAAAGTTCCGTCTTGGTTCAAATCCTCCCACAACCGCCAATATCAAGGGTTTTCTTCATGAGTCGTTCTTAGCAGCTTGCTGTGCTTCGTGCTCGCGAATCTGCTTGCTCCAGCTAGAGTAAGAGAAACTAGGTCAGCATCATAGTCAGAGTGATAGGGTCGAGGTGACCTACTATCGGCTGGGGAAGAAGCGGCCGGGTTCGGGCATCTTGTCGCGGTACTCGCGCTCCGCGCTGAGGCTGAAGGCAACGGCAGCAACGCCAATCACGAAAGCGCCCATGATCGCAGTGTTGGCCCTCCAGTTGGCCGGCTGGGCGTACCAACCACCAGCGGGGGACCAGACTTCCTTGGGGTACCTGTCCGACTCCTATTAGCGCCTGGCAGGGTTGATCGAGGAAATATCATACGGGATCTTTCCACCTCCACCCATTGTGACGAAGATGCAATTGAAGGGATTGTTGAACGGGAAAAGCGAGCGTAGTGCTAGATAGGTCCTGAAATGGAAGCCGAAAGGGCCGTCTCAATCGCAGGTCTGCCGCCAAGGCACTAGGGCCTGAAAAGGCTTAGCGCGCTCTCACACGACCTGGTCATCCCGTGACTGCCGCGACAATTTCTCTTCCCTCTTCACGGCCAATTGCTTGCGTTGCGATTCTCCCTCCCCTTGTATAATTTTCCTTTCTTCGCTCTCAATTCCTTACAGTCGCCCAGATGAAGAGGCTGCAGCTCCAAAGATGGAGCAGCTCAGTCCTTGGGCCGCGGACTCGGACTGTCAACCGTCTGCATCAACACATGTACGGCCAGCGGTATCAATCAACCGCATCCCCGATCCAGACCGGTGGTGCTCCGCAAGAGTCAATTATCGAGGACTCAACAATCATCGAGGCCTCAACACCCGTGGATGAGACGCTGTCGGAAATTATGCGCATGTCTCACGCTCGCCACTCACAACTCCAATATCCCTCTCCCACAGTTGAAGCAGCACAACAATCCGCAAAACTTGCTGCCCTCCACGCCCGACTCTACCTTCCCTCCAGACTACCCGTTGAGACACTTGCTCGAACACTAGTTGATGCATCCGCCGATCCGAACACCGACTTCAACAACACATCACTGGCCACCCTCGGTCACGACCTCCTTTCCTACTACACCACCGAACACCTCATCTGCAAGTACCCTCGCCTGCCGTTGACCGTGATCTTCGCCGCCATGTACGCATACGCTGGTCCCAAGACACTCGCTGCTATGGCTAGAGAATGGGGTGTTGAGTTGGCCTCGGTGCCCGGTGGAGAGGTCGACCCTGGTCTGTTGCAGTTCCAAAGACTCGAGCCTGGCTCCGAGGTTCCTGAGACCCCAGCTTCCGACACAGTACGACCATACGAACAACAGTTGAACTGGCGGAAAACGGTGACCTCCAAGGTCTTCTATGATGATGAATTCGGTGACCCGATCAAGGGCATGCCAGCTACCGCCGCGACTGGCGTCACTACCGAGCAGGCCAGCGCCGAATTTGTTCGAGCAGTCATGGGTGCTATCTACTTGCACGCCGGCCGTGCCGCCGCCAAGCAATTCTTTGAGCAGCACTTCCTTTCACGACACCTCAACATTTCCGAATTGTTCAACTTCCGCAAGCCTGCCCGTGACCTGAACCGATTGTGCGCACGCGAGGGCTTCGAACGCCCAGTTGCCAAGATTATCAGCGAAACTGGTCGTAAGAGCAGACACCCTGTCTTCGTGATTGGTATCTTCTCCGGCAATGACAAGCTTGGTGAGGGCGCTGGCGCCAGTTTGATGGAGGGCCGCGAGCGTGCTGCCGTTGCTGCGCTCAAGGGTTGGTACCTCTACAGCCCGCTTTCCGTCCGTGTCCCCAGTGCCATGGAGGAAGCATCGGCTGCTCCCTGGAAGCCAGTTCACGTCGACTTGGGCGAGGTTGTTGTTTAAGGTATTGGTGCAATGGTATGCCTTGGTTCAAAAGGCACGGTAACATATTATTTCATGTCTTCTTTTGTTGCTTTTCTTTTTTTCCGGTGTGCTATTTTTTCGCATGGGAAGCTGGCCGGCGGTCAAAAAGAGTCATCTATCCTGTCTTCTGCATGACTGGACCCTGTACATTATGGGACTATAAATCCCTTCGATTCATCTGGTGTCTTCTTTTTTTCCAATTTCCCTTACTGTTATAACATTCCCTTTCGTCTGCTATACTCTCCAGTCAAGCTCGGTCAACGACAGGTGATGACTTGTTGGCCATGTCATTCAAATATAGAAGTGCCTCAGATATCCATCGAATGCACAGCAAAATCATCTAATGGGCTCTTTGTTCTGCTGTAGATCACTGATCCCTCTTGATATGTATATCTTCGATCACTCCGGGTTTACAATCTCATCCTCCCAATTCCCACCACTCCTCCCAGCACCAGCTGGGTCATCCAAATAACACCCATATTCCTCCCATAAGTCCGCCACTCCAATGCCGAACAAGCCCTTCCAAAATCCAACACGGCCACCTACAGCTTCCTCCCCGTCATCATCTGCCTCGCCCACATATCCAACTCTCAGCAACCGATCATTCAACATCCCAACAGCCCCCTTTCCTACCCGTACATCCTCAAGCCAAGCCAAAAAGTAAGCCGTATGCTGATACCCTGAATCCCACTTCTCAGCCCTCTCGTTCCTAGACTGAGGCTTCTTCCAATGAGGCGGCTCAAGTCCAGCCTTCAATCTCACAAAGTCTGCAATACCCTCAATCAAGCCACCCGGCGGGCGCGGGATACCGCCATCATCATCATCGCCCTCGCCGTCTTTGTCATCCGCGGCCGGTGGAGCGGTATGCTGATAACAATGCACCAACTCATGCGTAAGAACCCCAACTAACTCATGAAGCGGATCATCCTTGGAAGTACAATACTGCACATAAGGAAGTGAGACATGAATCTCTTTGTGGGCATCATCTAGCTCGGTACCGGTTGTATAAGCCACACCGCTATAATCGCGGAGGAAGACCGTCACAGAGCGGGTTGATGGAATGCTAGGTGTGAAATGCGGTATAAAGGGTGCTGGTCTTGCAGCCTTGGAAGTGTTTGCTTCTGGCTCTACCTCTGGCGATGTGTATAGGTGCTTGATTATGTTGTCCAAGGCTTGGTCTAGTGTTGATCCGATGTCTGGGATAAAGGCGAGGAAGACACTTGAAGCTGGGTGGCGAAGGTCTTCGACGTGTAGGCGTAGTTTTGGCTTGGGTTGAGGGGTCTTGGGCTTGGGCTTGGGCTTTGTGAGATTGGTTTGGGCGTGCTTTTCTTCCGCGTTTAGCGGCTGCTGATAGTTGAGATTGGGGATTGCGGTGGACACTGGAGGCGCTGGGCTTGCCATATTGATACTGTGTTCTATGGTGCAGTCTTGGAGATCGTGTCTGGCCGGACGGTGCTGAAGTATGCCCAGGGCTGCTGAATGCGGAAGGCGGGGTTGACTCGCAGAAGCGACCAACTTGAGAGGAGTTTACTATAGAACCAAGTCAGCTTAGACTGTCTTCAGGCACTTGCTTAGGTCTATGCCATTTTTGGTCTTTTATGTGGGGGGTTGGATCTAAAATAGGTGACGGTGATCTTCCTCGATCCACTATGCCTCGTGGGGTTATTATGCAGAGCTATATAATTTAGATCAAATATTTAGCCTAAAGCAAGACAATTGGATACGGCTCAGACCAGTAGTTCGTCTTTGACCAAAATTGCTGCGGTTTTGTGGTACTGCAACATGCATCGATCTATGCAAGGTTCGATATATGTTTCTCTGGAGATATACATGGTCTCGGAAGATGGCAAGCAGGCTTTCCTGTTGAATTGAATGTAAAGCTACTATTTCCCACTCCATTTTCAAGATAGCTTGAGTACTCACTAAACTTTGCTTCTCAAAAGGTCTGTTATAAGATCGTGCATAGCGTTGCCATTGCGACCATTAGTGAGAAAAGTGGTAAACAAACGGTAGAAACAGGATTGGGCTCGGGTGTTCAGCCCAACCACAGGTAAAACATCATTGGAATTAGTAGAAGTAGTGAACTATTCCGGAGCTCAGATCTCAATCTTAATTGCAACTCCAATCGGACTCCTCAACACTCACCCTTTGCCCCTTCTTGCTGTCCCTCGCGCTTATCGGGACGCGCTTATCGCCCCTTGTTTTCCTCAACATCGCAACATCCCACCTGCAACACACTCATCGCTTTGCGCTATCCTGCTTTGCGCTTCTGTACGTGATATCCCCTCCTGCTGTTCGATTCCCTAAGCATCCACAGTTCAGACCTCCAGTCCCTTCCTCATACCCCGCTCCATCTCCCGATTGTTTGCGCGATCACCGGTCTTTCGTCTTCAAGCCAGTCGGATTTACCCAAGCGCATTCATATGATCTGGCCTTTTTTCTCGCGTCGCTGTTATTTGAGAACTATGTGCTATTTGATTTGATGTTGAGAGATATCTGCTGACCTTCGCCTTGGACAGTGTTAAAGCCAACAAGTCGCCAATCATCCACAGCGGCTCCCATAGTTATCCGACCACTGCATACACGTATTGCGCTCTATTTGCATGACCTGTCCTACCTAGGACAACCCGAGACCCGACTCGCAAAATGGAGGCGAAAGCGTCAGAGCTCTTGGCGGCCTTTAAAAATCCCAACTTATCTGTTGATTCCAAGGTCGCCTACCTGACGAGTGTCAAATCCGATATCAAACAAAAAAATGTCCCAGAAGGCGCCATTGCTACAATTTTCGAGACATTGCGCCTCGCCATTAGCTCTCAACATTACTCCGTCTGCGGTGCTGGGTTTTCGACCCTCGGCCACCTCCTGAAGCGCCTCACAATACAAGACCAGCAGCAGTGGATCGTCAACCAAGCGCGCAACTTGTATACTCTCTTGTTAGAACGCTTGAATGACCACAAAGAACGAATCAGAGCTCAGGCTGCGTCAATATTCACTGACCTGTGGCCTGTGGCAGGCAGTGAGGTCGAGTATTATGTTCTAGAGGTTGCTTTGATCGGAAAAAACCCTCGGGCAAAGGAAATGAGTATGCTTTGGCTGTCAAATGTAGGCTCATGTACCCAGAAATTCTTGACTTATATTGACCCGCACATGTGCAGATGACCAAAAACCATGGTTTATTATACCGCCAGCATGTTCCTGCTCTGGTTGCCTGCCTCGAAGACGCAGACAGTGGTGTTAGAGATACGGCTAAGCAAGTTGTCATCGAGCTATTCCGGTGGGTGATTGCAATTCCTGTGAATGCGTTGTTTTCACGAAATGACTAACCGCTAAATCCAGGTCTGGACCTGCGAGAGCGAAATCCGATCTGCAGAAGCAAATCACGGCTCGCGGAGTGAGAAAATCCATCGCAAATTCTATTCTGTCAGCCATAGGCCTGGGTTCAACTGATCCCGAGGCTGTATCATCTGCACGACCAATTTCTCGTGCTGAACGCCCGATCTCAGTCATGTCATCTCGTTCACATGCCGTGGATCACACCGAAGATGGTCAGTACCGCTTACTTACAACCTTGGATTGGAACAATTGCTAACTTTTTTTACAGAAATGGAACCCGTCAAGCGTCCAGCCTCAAGGGCTCATCGCGAACGATCCGCTGCTCCTTCGGCGCCTGTAGAAGCACCAACATACCACCGATCTCATACACCGGCTGGTGACCCACCGGCCCAGAAACCATTGCCTGATGACGATGGTCTGGAACCCTTTGACGTAGCCTCCGCTAGAGACATCGATGATCTTGTGCGTGACATGCTCCCTTGGTTTGAGGGGAGGGAGTCTGAAGACAACTGGTCAAAGCGTGAAAAGAATGTCATTCTTTTCCGCAGACTTACGCGAGGTAACGCGCCGCATGACTTCATGCAGACCTATATCAATGCTACAAAGACACTCCTTGATGGTATTTTCAAGGTCGTCAACTCCCTTCGGACAACAATGTCGACCAATGGAAGTCTCCTGATTCAGGATATCGCGCGCACATGTGGTCCTAGAATTGACTCGATGGTTGAAATAATCATGCAGAACCTGATGAAGCTCTGCTCAGCTTTGAAGAAGATTGCCGCCCAGAACGGAAATGCAGCTGTTGACGCGGTCATTGAAAATGTCTCCTTCAGTATCCGTCTCCTGCAGCATGTTTCATTTGCATCCCAGGACAAGAACGTCCAGGTGCGTCTATTTGCCACAGGATGGCTCAAAACCTTGATCACTCGACAGGCCCATCAAAAGAGCACAGTTGAACATGGTGGCGGTCTTGATCTCGTCGAAAAGGCCATTAAGAAGGGACTTGCAGATGCAAACCCGGCTGTTCGTGAGGCAAGTCGCAGTACTTTCTGGACCTTCTTCTCTGTGTGGCCTGAGCGTGCTGAAGCGTATGTTTCTCCATATTTTCTTCATATACATGGTTTGCTAACTTGCAGAAAGGATAATGAATACACTTGATGCCAAGTCACGAACTCTGCTGGAGAAAGATGGGTCCAATCCTAACGGTGGCCCGAGGCCCGCTTCTGCATTGCCTGCGAAGAGTCCCACCAAAAGTCGTACAGCCCTTCAAGAAGCCATTGCTGCTCGTAAGAGAGCTCAAACGCCTTCTCGTCCCGAGTCAGCCCAGCCAGCGTTGTCAGTCCAGCAAGCTTTCCCAGAGGCAAAGCCTCCTGCTGCTGCAAGGCCTACTCGCACTGTACCCACCGGAGCTCCTCTTTCTTCTTTGTCATCGGCACCTATGAGACCTGGCATGAAGCCCCGAAGAGCAGAGTTGAGTCGTCCTGCAACCGCAGATCCATACGCCCGCCGCCCTGAGTCACGAACTCAGTCCACCCATCCCAGCTCTGCTAGTAAACCGCCGACTAGCTCTCCTCGCTCTGTAAAGTCTAAACCATCCACACCTAACGCGAAGCCCCTCACAGCTCCCCGCATTCGCCCCCATGAGGCGAATCCAAGTGGCCCGGCGAAGGGTAGGCCTAAGAAGCTCGATTTATCGAAATCAAAGTCCCACAACGATCTTGGAGCAGCCAGTCGTGCCCGCAGTGATTCGAACGATAGTTTGACCAATCCATCTTCTGCAAGAACTCCTCGAACCCCTCGAACTCCTCGTTACGACAACCATCTAAGTGCATCCGAAGATCATCACTCTCCACCTCAATTCTCGCCAGCATCTGCGGTGTTTGACAGCCCTCAGTTTTCTGCCTCACAGCCTATGTTGCACTCGGCACCACATGGTACTCATATAGGGTCAGTTCCCGTTGATGAACCGGAGCCAATGGTGCTCGAGGAATACGCCGAGCCTGCTGTTATGCCACCATCTCCACGGATTGCCGAGCCATATGTAGCTGCACCTATTGACGCACACTTGATCCCTGTCCCTGAGTCTGTCTCCAAACCTCATTCGGACCCAATGATCATCTATGAGGATCCTGCCACACCTACAACACCTACCACTCCTACTCGGACCCGGCATTCTCACTCAATTGGCCACCTTACGCCTTCAAGGTCTTCTATCCCCACGCGTTCCCCCATCCGCTCTCCTGTGCGTTCTCCCGCCCGCTCGGAACAGCTCGATCAGCATGCAACCGAGCCTGAGACCGTGCTAGAGGATGCCTCGACCTCAACAATGTCATCAGCGAAAAGGTCAACCCCCGAGTTGGCACCTAGCCATGACTCGGCTCTGAACTTTGAAGCCCGAACTCCATCGCCTACGCGCCGTGCGCCCCTTCAGCCAACCCCATCCCCATCAAGGGGTCATGTTCAGCCCGCAGCGTCCAACATTGTTACTGGAGTTGACTCGATGGATCTTGAAGACACCCCTGTAGGTTCTCCGGAAACCCATTGCACGGAAAGCCATGGCAGCAACGAGAATGCGACTCCCCACATGAGCAAGGTTGTAGACTTGCCCGTGCCGCGATCTGTAGTCAAGCCGACTGCTCTTGAGGAAGTGCCAGTCAATGAATCGACACCCCGTCCCGCCAATGTGAGAGAGCGATCCATGGAAGCGATGTCTCAATCAATTCTTTCTAGCTCAACACCCGATGACTCTACCCGGCGCATTCGCAAGTTCAATGACCGCCACCGTAGCCCAAGCCCGCGTTCCAAAGATCCAGCGAATGCAAGGGAAATGATTCACAAGGCCCTTGCCCGTATCGCCTCCAGGACCATGGAGCCATCCGGATACCGGAAGTTACAAGCGCTCTTCCAATACCACGGAGAAGAGATCGTTCCTCGCAGTCAGGAATACAATGCAATGCTGGAGGCCTTGCTAGGGGAACTTGAATCAGTTCCCACCAGTCGCAAGGACCATGATGTCAAGACCCAGGTTCTAGCCACCATCCGGTCCATGCTTCTACGCACCCGCGAACAGTTCCAGCCCTATGACATGCTGGCGATGTCGGCTTTCATTCGAGCCCGCCAACACTACGAATCCTCCTCTCACTTTGTCACTTGCCTTGAGGAAGTGACCGACAAATTAGTTTTCCTTACTCTGCCCCAGACTGCCATCACCGGTGTCCTGCAAGCCCTGGATCTCGGCGAGGACGCGGAAACCGACGAGACCCACCGCTCTATCATCATGGGCCTCAACACAATCCAGCAATCTCTCACTCGTCCTAAAGTTGAAGTAGCTGACGACCTCCTTGCCAGCATCGGTGCCGTTGTCATGCAACAGTTGGGACACCCTCGACCTGGTGTGCGCAAGAGCGCCACTGAGCTCTGCACATTCTTGAACCTGACGTTCGGCTCCGAGCGTGTGCAGAAGGTCACCCAACCTCCCCGCGAGGGCTCTCTCAACCTTCTCACGTATTTCATGGCTCGTCGATCCCAGTAGAGCCCCGGTTTCTTTGATTTGGACAAGATAGGTGGGAAAAAGTGGCGCGCGGGTGGCGCTCGCCGCGGGGTTTCTGGTTCTTATTTCGTTTACCATTCTGTTTGTATGCTTTTTCTTCGTGTGCTGTACATAGGCTGTTCATAATTAAGAGCTTCAGTTTACAACACCGTGTGAATGATAGCGTAGATATTGTCGACGCACTTGCCGTGGGCGCCTCTACTGCTGGCCGCCTAGGACTAGCAGACAGGTCGATCTGACTGTTTTAGCCTTCGCCAATAGAAGGAAGCCAGTAAAGCCAATACTATATCACATCCGATCTCTTTGAAATAATTCTCCCGCCTTACAAGAAATCAATTGACATATTGGAATGTTTGTAAAAGACAACCTTGCCAACCACTAACTCAGTAAAAACGCCCTGGCTCAGTACAGAAGCTTACTTTTCTAGCGTTGCAATGCAAGCAAGTGTCCTAGCGTTGGAAGTTGAGGGTGGATGGGCAAATAGGCAATGGCATCACAGTTAAAACCCCACTCACCATTGCCTTGAGCCGAGCAAAAGGCCTCGGTCGCCTACTGTATGAATAATACTCGTCTTACATTGGTGAACGCGTTCCAACCTAGACGGTCTCCGGAAACGATCGTCACGGTCAGACCTGGACCCTGGTTTTAGTGGGAACACACGGCATCTTCCACGGTTCGCACGTTACGGGGGGCTTGGGCTTGGACTGACTTTTCACCGTGAATCTAATCTGATTGATAAAAAGGGGTGAGAAGGTAAGTCTTGAACAGACATCAACCATCCTGCCGGGGCATTCCAGTCCACCCTAATCACACCATCGTAGCAAGTCACAAGCCCTCTAATAGCCATGACCGAACAAACCTAAATTTGCACGTCTGCCCCTACTTATCAGATGGAGACGAAACGCCAAAGTGGAGAAGAGGAAAAGGGTCGCATCTGCACCCATTGAGGCCCTCTTATTGGAAGAAACTTTCCTGGATTCAACGAGAACGCTACCGGACAGTTTTCCTCCACTGTCACGGTGGAGGGGAAACGCGAGACGGATGCCGTTTGAGGAATCGATCTTCGAGGCCTAAGCATTTGATTTCGGTGTTGAGAATGAGATTTCATGGCGGCTTTGCTCCACTTTGCATGGGGGATTGGATGTCGGAGTTCAGGGTTTGCTTGGGTTCCTGGTTTGCTTCGCTCAGGCCATGGGAGCCTTTGGAAGAGAGTGGGATGAGTTCTTCATTTGGTTTTGGTCTTCATTCTTGCAGCCTCTCTCGGTCCTTTACTCCGGCTGTCTTGCAGAGTCGCGGTGTGCGCTGACTATCGTTGCCGGTTCTTGTGAATGGAAGGACCATTGATGCTTTGCATACACTAGCTGGCTAGTGTGGTCTGGAAAGATGTCTTTAGAAACACCTGATACATCAGAAAGGAAGAGGTCCCAAGTGGTATGTCCCAAGTCAAAGAAATGTGCAAGTATAAAACTAAACTCAGCGTATCAAGGCGAGGGCTTTCAAGAAGTGCATTCCCACAAAGCAGAGCCTGGGCAAGTTCTTCTCATACACTCGACTCCTCTTCTCACTCGACTACGAAAAGACCGATGTCCTCCTCATTATCACCGCCGTCTTCTTCGCTGTGGCCGCAGGCATTCCCTTCCCACTCCTGGGCATAGTCTTCGGAGACTTAATAAACGATCTGAACACGGCCACCTGCGGTCCATCCGATACATCCAATATCGACGTGACAGACGCAGTGCGCACAAAAGTCCTCTACGTGATCTATATCACCATTGCGAATTTCTGCTTCATCTATATCCATTGCAGCTGCTGGAGTCTGATCAGCGAACGCATCGCTCGTCGATACCGTCGGCGCTACTTTGAAAGCGTGATTAGACAAGAAACAGGTTATATCGAAAGTCTGCCAGCCGGCGATGTTGTTTCCAGGCTCGTGGGGGATATCGAGGTCGTGCAGTCAGGCACCTCGGAGAAGGTCGGCTTGGTCATCTCCACCGTCTCATATTTCGTGACTTCGTATATTGTAGCCTTCATCAAGGTCCCGCAGATTGCGGGTATGCTGATCTCAGTGGTGCCTTGCTTCTTTCTAATGACATTTGTGGGAGGGTATTATATCAAGAAGTATGGGGGGCGAATTAGCCAGCGGTCGAATTCTGCGACATCTATTGCCTCTTCGAGCTTGTCGCATCTGATGCTTGTGCATGCGTTCAATGCGCATGATCGATTAGAGAGGCTGTTTGCAGACTATCTCTCTGAGTCTCGCATGGATGCTTTGAAGAAGGCTGCAACTCATGCATGCCAATTGGGCTTTCTCTACTTTGTTGCCTACAGCGCCAATGCGTTGGCCTTCTGGGAGGGTGCTCGTTTGATTGCGGACTCGGTGGAAGCTGGTGGCACTGGTGTCTCAGTGGGTGCGGTGTACACAGTCATCTTCGTCTTGATTGATGCTTCATTCATTCTCAGTCAGGTTGCCCCTTTTGTTCATGTCTTTGCTTCAGCGGCTGGGGCTGCGGACAGACTTTTAGAGGTCATCCACCGCCAGTCGAACATTGATGGGACATCCAATTCGGGAGATCAGGTTGCACCTTTCAATTCGGCAGACATCACTTTTCGAGATGTGCACTTCACATATCCATCGCGCCCGGATGTGCCTGTTCTCAAAGGGATTGACCTGACAATTCCACCTCGGAAACACACCGCAATTGTTGGCCCATCTGGTGGAGGCAAGTCAACCATTGTGGCCCTTTTGGAGCGTTTTTATGACCCCTTCAGCGGAGAAATCGCCATTGGAAACCAGAACTTCCGTAATCTGAATGTGAAGTATTTGAGAGGAAACATTGGCTTTGTGCAACAAGAACCATCGTTGTTGGATCGCTCAATTCTGGAAAACATCGCCTATGGACTGGTCACTTCTGCAGCTGAACATCACCTATCGCTGGCTCCCTTCATCTTCGATTCCAGCCTTCCTGATCTAGTAGCGCAGCTTCGCACAGGTCTTTCTGAAACGAAAGCACTTGAAAGCCACGATCCTAAAGTAGCGGAGATTGTGACTTTAGTACGACAAGCTGCCGCAAACTCGAATGCTTTGAATTTCATTGATGCTCTGCCACATGGGCTTGCAACACCGGCAGGCTCATCCGGAAACATGCTGAGTGGAGGTCAGAAGCAGCGCATTGCACTAGCCAGAGCTCTGGTGCGAGAACCAACGTTGCTCATCCTCGATGAGGCGACCGCAGCATTGGATTCCACCAGTGAACAACTAATTCAAGAAGCACTGGCCAAGGTATCCGAGCGTGTGACTACAGTCTCTATCGCACACCGTTTGTCTACAGCAAAGGATGCACACAAAGTTGTGGTCATTCAGAAAGGCAGAGTTGCAGAAGAAGGACCTCATGTCGAGTTGGTTGCAATGGGTGGTCCGTATGCTGAGATGGTCCGTCTTCAGAATCTCGGAAAACTGAGCCTTGGCACACTTAAGCAGGATCCTATTCGCCAGGCCAGAGAATCTGCTATAGTCGAGGCATCGCCGATGGACAGCAAGGAAGTCATCTTGGATGTACTTGGTGCCGATGTGGCAGACGAAACTTTGCCTGCATATGAGGGTATTGTCAACAAGGAGACCATCAAAGAACAAAAGCGACGCGAGAAGGAAGAGTTGAAAGAAAAGAAAAAGCGCAAGCGCTCAGGGTGGTTCACGACAAAGTTTACATGGTCACTCCTTCGTCCGAACATGCATTTCGTCTTGATTGGATTTGCCATGTCTGTCGTAATCGGTGGCAGCTATTCTGCCGAGGCCGTCATCTTCGGACACACGGTAGGCGCCTTGAGCCCGTGTGATGGAGCAGATGGTATCCGATCTGGCGGAAACCTATATGGATTACTGTTCTTCATAATGGCTCTGGTTGAGCTAGGAGCGAATGTGATCAGCGGCTGTGCATATGGCTGGGCAGCCGACAAAATCTTATATCGGATCCGAGTCTTGTCACTGCGGTCTCTCTTGAACCAGACAATCAAGTGGCATGGTGATGATGATCGATCACCTGGAACTCTAATCACATACATCACCGGTGATGCCACTGCGCTGGGCAGCATCACAGGAACCACCATCGGCCTGTTGTTGGCTACTGCTGTGAACTTGGTTGCTGGCGTGGTGATATCTTTCGCCATTGCATGGAAGATTGCAATCGTTCTTTTGCCCACGATTCCTGTGCTCTTGATAGCAGGCATGATGAAGCTGCGCACCCAGGCCCAGTTTGCTGAACGGCACCAGAAGGCGTTTGCGAAAGCGACAGCCATTACCGTTGAAGCAGTCAGTAACATCCGAGCTGTGTCAGCATTTTCTTTGGAGAAACAATCTTACGCTGTCTACGAACGGGCCCTTAAAGCTCCATACCGTGAGACATTGAAGTCAATCGCTTTTGGAAATGTTTTCCTCGCAACAGCCTTCAGCATCAGCAATCTTGTCTATGCTCTGGCATATTGGTGGGGTACCAGACAGATCGTTGCTGGACTCTACTCTCAGACTCAATTCTTCATTGTGTTGCCCGCCCTGCTGTTCAGTACTCAATCTTGCGGACAGATGTTTGCTCTTGCACCTGATATCTCCAAGGCCGGACTGGCCGCATCAAACATTGCCGAGCTACTCACCACTAGATCGAGCGACGAGGAGTTGAACTTTGAGACGAAGGGCCAGAAAGTCGACGTCAATCTTCTTGAAGAAAAGATACCTGACCCAGAAGCAGCACACCCAGAGCAGCATATGCTCAAATCAAGTGAAGCACCCCCAATGATGGGCGGAATTGGTGCCGAGCTTCAAAACGTCCACTTTGAGTATCCTTCCCGGCCAGGCCAACCCGTACTCCGCGGTCTCAGCTTGAGAATCAAGCCCGGTCAATTCTGCGCCCTCGTTGGCCCCAGTGGCTCGGGGAAATCAACAACATTTGCCATGCTAGAACGCTTCTACCGCCCAGAGTCTGGCGCAGTAATAATCGATGGCGTCAACATAACCCGACAACTAGGAACCGTATTCCGCGACGAGATCGCACTCGTCCCACAAGAGAATGTCATGTTCGAAGGCACAGTCGCATTCAACATCGGTCTCGGAGCCCGACCAGGGCACCAACCAACACAAGCTGAAATCGAAGAAGCATGTCACATGGCCAATGTCCACGAAGTGATCATGGCTTTGCCAGAGGGATACCAAACCCAGTGTAGTCATGACGGAAAGCAATTCTCGGGCGGCCAAAGACAACGACTATCGATTGCCCGAGCACTTGTTCGTCGACCGCGCATGTTACTTCTCGATGAATCGACGAGTGCGTTGGATGTTGAATCCGAGAAGAAGATTCAAGAGGCTCTTGCAACACTTGCCAGTCGGACTACTGTGGTTGCTATTGCTCATCGCCTGAACACGATCCATCGGGCTGATTGCATTTACCTTATTGAGGACGGGCGTTGTGTTGAACAGGGGACTCATGATGAGCTTGTTCAAGCTAGTGAGTCTTATAGGAGGAATGTCATTCATCAGTCTTTGGAGACTTGATGATTGGGGGCTTTGCTGCTTTTGAATTGGAGTTTTGCGGCTAGCGCGAGAATATTATGCCAAATATAGACCAGATATCAACGACGACCAACTTATAGATGCTGCAATTCTCGTGTTTTCTTTCAACTCTCAAAACTGGGATTATTGGTGCATAGGATAGATCCAAATCACTTTCGCAACTTACCGATACAGTACATTCTAGAACGATTTTGGGAAATACGCTACGCCTAGCGTGGCTACTCTCTGTCTTGCCTGGCTCTTGGCAAATTTTAGTATTATTCGAGTCATACAAAGAGAATTCTCACTCGTTTACTGTGTGCAGAGATTTTCAAGGGCCCTATTCTCCCTTCCACACCTGATACACAGCTTGCAAAAATTTATAGTCGACGCAAGCAAAAATTGTGGAGTTCCCGAAATGGAGTCGCCTATCCAGCGGGCGCTCGGTATCTATGAGATCCTTGAGCAAGTACTTTTGCAATTGAATCTCGACGAAATAATTCGCGCGCAGCAAATTTGCAGCAGGTGGAAAAACGTCATTCAGACTTCTCCCGCACTTGAGCAAGCATGCTGGTACCGGCCTCTCAAAGAAACCCACCAACAGGACGATAGCCCGGAACTTGTCGAGTTGAATCCTGCGTTTAATCGGCTAGGCGTCTCAATACAGAAATTGACCAACGGCCCAAAGCAAGAAACTGGAGATTTCGATTTAAAAAAGCGAATCTATGATAAACCTGGATCATGGACCACTATGCTAGCCACACAGCCTCCCGTGCGATGCATCGAGATGGAGTGTTTCAGCGATTATTCTGGTGATCAGTCATAGTAAATCCCCCCTTTACCTTGAAATACTCCGAGCTAATGATCTTGATAGTCATTACATCATCGAATCAATGAGTGGTTGTCTCCTGTTAGGAGATGTCATGGCGGTATTAGCTGAATGTCAGAATCGCCAGTTCTGTGACATAGACCGCTGGGGCAGTCTTCGGCATTTTACAGGTTCCTTGTATCCATATGAACATGAGTGGAGTGTTGACGAGAAAAATTGGGACTATTACAGCTGGGAACTCCATCTGAAAGAAATACCAGATGATGTTTCGGTCAAAGTTGGAGTCTCAGTCCCCTGGGGTACAGGCATCTATCCCGCATTTGCGCTTCGGCGTCTCTATCCAGGCGCCGAGAAAATGGACTATCCTTTTTACGGCAGATACTTTTTGCATGAACTCATTATTCAGAGAATGATCGACTATTCTGGTGAATACCGGTGGGGGCACGACTGTGGTTCCGACATCGAGGCGGAAATGTTCAATCTAGGCGAGTATGAGGCGAATCTGGTGGTTATCAAGGAGTGTCCGGAGGACTATCTAGAATATAGTCGCACTTTACGCTCAACACAAAAACCTAATGAGGATTTATGTTGAGTATACCGGGGGTTTGCCTCGAGTAATTGAAGTACAGATTATTCTTGAATTGCTATCCTGAAGTAAGATCGCCCAAACATTGAATCGGGAGTAGTGTTTGTTGTGCCCTTGAAGTCAAGGATGAAAGATGTATAAATAAAACTATGAATGTGCTTTGTTTCTTTGTGAAATTGATGGTCTTCGGACAAAGATGGTCAAGACTCATCATCAATACGCATTGTGTTAGGGTTGTCTTGCAACCATCAAAAGTAACAGAAACGATAATACCTCTTTGTGATCAAATTTAAAATCGTAGACTACAATGAAACTGATGGGTATATGAAGAAGCTGCTTTCCGCAGTGAACATGGACATATCAACTTCGCTCATTTACGAATTCTATAAAGCGAGTTTCACTACTTTACATATTATCATCCACCAAAGATTACTTAAACGAAGTAAGCTAAGCAAGCAGCCAGCCATGCCTTTCCGACCCTGGATTAAGAAGGACATAAAGCTCCCTACGGAATTCAACCCCGGTCCCAGAGCCCAGATTCCAACTAGAATAAACTCCGACAAGGCTCACGAAGAGGCTTTACATGCTTGGTCTTCTATTCCATATAAACCTGCATATCATGAGGATTCCCTGGCAGCTCTAGAAGGCAGAGCTCCCACGAAGACAGCGAAGACCGCAAGAAGAACGCATGAGAGTACTCGTGAGAGGACCCGCGATAGGGCCCATGATAGGGTTCCAGAGAGGACCCTACAAAGGACTCAGATCCCCGAAACCCTTTGTCATGTTATGCGACGAACGATCACTAACTATAAGATTAGGGATCTAACCTTACCCAAATTCCTTTTCGCACTTCGACGCGAGAACGGCCCGGTAACCGGAATCCGAGTAGAAGATACGCACAAATTCGTCTGCGCATCACATTTCGTTTGGGAGATGTGCGCTGCGCTCGCACAGAACGGCGACGACCCAAAGTGGACGAGGATATTCAAGATGTGGGAGCCGCAGTATGCCGAGGTTAAGGCTCTGATTGCGTCCTGCAAAGGTAAGTCAAGGTTTTCAGTAATGATTCCTTACCCACCGGTTGACATTACGATTGTTGAGCACCGCGCTCACCTTGCTTATGGATACGAGCGGAAAACATTTCAGTTGAAGGGAACCGAGTTCACGTATAGCAGCTCTTTACATGTATGTGACGATCTGTGTGAGCTTCGCAAATACCTCACGGTTCTTGCAGCTCGTCCTAAATGGGGGTCGCTCAGTATTACTTTTCAGCATGAGCCTTGGTTCCCAGAGGGCAGGTAATTAATTAGCTTTAATTTTTGATTTCTTTATATTGTACTTATGATGCGCTGAGTCGAACTAGGACTCTTTTGCTATGCAACCTTCAGGGTAATAAAATCTAACCTATATCACCATTTTTCGCTTCAGTTCGAAGAAGAAATCCTAAATATACCCCTACAGGGAGAAGCTCGTAGCCCATCCGATGAAGCCACGAGCGGCCTTCTCGGGTGTGATTTTCTGTAGCTGATGTACGATCGAAAGCCAAAGCAGACGGGCAATAGCGAGAGACTGGCTTCTTGGCGGCCCACGGTTACCAAAATGCCGGTAAGCAAAGCCACAGGGTCAACTGGTTCGGAACGTTCCCCCATATAATTCCATAGTGAAGCGTATTGAAGTGCAAGACTAACATAATGGGAAATTACAGTGTGGATAGCTTTCAAGATAGCGGTTACGGTAGTTTACTGTATGTATAGTTCTGTCTCTATGTTCAATCTTCACGTCGCCATAATATGCCGAGATGGATGTGATCTGTGGCCTAATCTCCGCGCAACCAGTCAGACGAAGACCCTTTCCTGAAGGCTTGACCCGCCGGCCTGAATCGAACAAGATCAACCACTATCTACGCCGATCATCAACAATACGAGATCTTAGCGCACAAAAAAAAAGCCTCAAAGCATAAACCCTTGATACACATGGGAGTATAAGGGGGCTTCATTTTTTCCATTCTTGATCTCCCATCCTAGTCCTTCCTTGGTTTATTCCCAGTCGCTCCTTTCGGATCTGTTGAATCCAGTCACTCTTTTAACCAACTTCACTATGGCCCCGGTTTGGTCATGGGTGGGCGCCTTCCTTGCAGCGCTGCCAGTGGCGCTGGCAGGACATGGCGACCCTATTGCACAGAAATACATAGTGGAATTTGCTGATTCCAAGATTGTTCGTCTACATACTAGCACCACACAGCTGTTCCAGAGTTGTACTGACGGATATAGTCCTCGGCCAATTTTCTCTCCACATTGAACTCTCACGGTATCTCTGCCACTCTCAACCATGACTTGTCCTTTGCTCTGTTCCATGGAGGCTCTTTCACTCTACTAGATGACAAGAGTGAGGCGGCCATTATCAAACAGATCTCCTCCTGGCCGGTGGTCAAGAAGGTCTCTCCAGTCCGAGAGCTGCAGCATTCCCAGCGCGACGTTTCAAGTGTTGCTCATAGTGCACCGACGCGTCGTAGTCCTGCCTCTCATGGCATCCGACGTCGCGATATCGCAGGCCATGAAAACAATGATTTCCCACACACGATGACTGGAGTTGACAAGCTGCGCCAGCAGGGCTACCTCGGAACAGGTATTCGCGTCGCAGTAATCGACTCCGGCATTGACTACAGGCATCCCGCTCTTGGAGGCTGCTTTGGCAAGGGATGCCTGGTCGAATTTGGCTTCAACTTGCTTGATAACACCACTGATCCATGGGAAGGTCACAGTGGACACGGTATGTGTCTATAGGCCCGCGTTATCTCATCTTTTGGCTGATCGTCCGCAGGTACTCATGTCTCCGGTTTGATTGCTGCCCAGCATAACCCCTACAACTTCACTGGCGTGGCCCCTAATGTTACTTTGGGCCACTATAAGATCCTCGGAAAGAGGACAGTTAACACCGGAACTGATATCATCGCTGCTGCTTTCAAAATGGCCTATGAGGATAAGGCAGACATCATCTCTGCATCCTTTGGCACGTACAAGGGTTGGAGTGACGAGCCTTGGGGACAATTGGTTCAGAAATTGGCTGAAGCAGGTCTTCCCTCATTCATCGCCAGTGGAAATGATGGAAGTTTGGGTATGTTCCTTGCTTCAGATGGCGTCGACAACTCCGCCGGAATCGGCATCGGATCCTTCAACAACCTGTATAGTCCGCTGCTGCTTACCGAAGCCTCCTATTCTACCCGAAACACCACCAAGGAGTTTGGTTGGCAGCTTGCAGGCACCTCTGACTTCAAGAATGGCACCTACTCTCTCTATCCCAGCAGCTTAAATGCTTCCGTCGTAGGTGACTCTTGTGAGCCATGGACGGGAGACCACCCAGATCTTTCCGACAAGATTGTCCTGATCCGCTACGGTGGCTGCAAAGGAAGTCAACAGCAGGCCAACGCGCTCAAGGCTGGTGCAAAGAACATCTTGATTTATAACAATGTCGCGGGAACCTATGAGCTCCCCGTCCAGGACCCCGATCTAGTTGGCCTGGGAATGGTCTCTGCCCAGACTGGTGCGAACTGGGTGAAGCTGGCTGCATCTGGAGTCAATATCACTTTGCACATGACCAACCAAAAGCAATCCAAGACTTTCTTCGCGAATGAGAAAAACTCTCAATCTGGAGGGCAGGTCAGTGATTTTAGCCAGTGGGGTCCTAGCAATGAACTTCTCCCTGTGACAGCGGTTTCAGGAGTTGGTGGCTTCATGCTCTCGACATGGCCGGTTCTTGAGGGTAGCTACGCTATCGACACTGGTACTTCGATGGCCACGCCGTACGTGGCTGGTTGCGTTGCCCTCTTGATGGAGGCTCGTGGCAAAGGCAGCGTTACCCCTGCTGAGATCAAGTCCCTGCTCTCATCCACTGCCAACCCGAATGTATTCCACGATGGTATTACTGCTTCGCCCTTCCTGGCCTCCGTGGCACAGCAGGGAGGTGGCCTTATTGATGCCTTCAAGCTTGTGCACACCACCACCAAGTTCAACGTGAGCACCATCGCCTTCAATGACACCGAACATATCGCTCCAGCATATATTCGTATCAACAACACCGGCTCCGAGTCCCGTGTCTACAGTGTCGGCCACGTGGGCGCCGCTTCTGTCTACGCATTATCTGACAACAGCTCTATCCCTAAAGTCAACAAACTCGGAGACTTCGTGGACCGCACAACAGAGGGCGCCTCGCTTCAGTTCAGTTCGTCCAGTGTGCGCGTAGCCGCCGGTGGATCAGCCGTGCTAAAGGTGACTGCCGTCCCACCCAAGGGACTCGTTGCTCGTCGGATTCCCGTCTACAGCGGATATATCACATTCAACGGAACCAGCACGGATGATTCCTTCTCGGTTCCATACCTGGGCGTCGCCACCGCTATGCGCAATGTGACAATCCTCGACACCACGCAGGGTAGCAACTCGCTCGTCGACAGTAGCACCCAGCAAGCTGTCCAGGCCAATCACCAGTTCATCGTGCCAGGCCAGAACGACTCGGCAGATCGCGCAAACACTAGCTACCCCATCTTCAAGACCCAGCTCTCCATGGGAACGGATCTGCTCCTCGTCGGCGTCAAGCCTGCCAACAGCCACGCCATTCTTCCAGTATATGCTCCTCAGACCGCTCTGCCCCGCAGCATTGATGGTATTACTGGACCGGCTCCCACATCTTGGACGGGAGAATTGGCAAATGGATCATATGTCGCACCCGGGAATTACTCCATGGTTGTGCGTGCGTTGAAGATATTCGGCAATCGCACTAACCCGGCTGATTATGATACCGTGAGAACGATCAACTTTGGAATCACGTACGCTCCTCCAGCCGATCAATGAGGTTCTAACGCTGCCTGCTGTTGGCGATGGGTCTCGGCATGACTTCCATATATGCCAATTATATGTGGTGTCTGCTTTGCACTGAGCGCCTTGCACATCTACTTTAATTCACTTTGCATGAGCTGTACAGGGCTTGTAGTTTGTTTCATTATAACTCATTGACAGGCTGACTTATCCCATAATCTTTCTGCTTTCCTTGCCCTAATATATAATTAGCCGTCACAATAACTATTCGTCTACTTCATTTGACTAGGAGATGTAAGAGTAAGATGGTAGCGAAGAATAAATCTTGGCAGGAACAATGCTGCATGAGCGGGATCAAACAAGTATAAATAACCCCAGGGTGCGTCCGCAAAGAGTAAGAGATAAAAAGAGTAAAAGTGCCTGAAGATGCCCGAAACAGAAATAATCCAGAAGCGATCGCCAACTTTTCCCCTTTGGGCAACCAGCTCGGCGAACCTGCCCAAACCATCTCGGCAGCCATTTCCCCGATCTCCCCACATACTTCGGCGAGGAGTCCGTCATGAAAGCTGCATAATCCCCGGAGATGCACCGTGGGCTTCGCTTGGGTTGCCAGCTATCGGAAATATGGAGAAACGGAGCGGAAGGAAGGTATAAGAGTGGCGAAGGGACCTCTCTTCGAGGCAGAATCATTGATTTGTTACGCCAAATTCAATATTGCAACGCTTACCTCTACATACTCCGACCACAACGCGCACATCCAACATGGCCACCACACTAACAGGTGGAAATCCACACATAATCCAACTCCCAACAACACCACCAAACACCCCCGTCGATGCGCGCACAATCGCCCAACAATGGCTCTCAGCCCTATCAACCCAGCTCTCGAACCCAGCTTCACTCAATATCACCGACCTGTTCCATCCCGAATCCTGGTGGCGCGATATGCTGGCCCTGGACTGGGACATGTGTACCGTCCATGGCGCAGCCGAGATCGCAGCCTTCCTCGGCAAGCACCAGAACAAAGCACAGCTACGCGGATTCCGCCTGCAAGATAGTGGTCGGTTCCAGCCACGTCTGGAACAAGTGGTTGATGGACTGAGCTGGGTTTCGTCGATGTTTTTCTTTGATAGTGCTGTTGGAAGTGGGACGGGTATGCTGCGACTTACGCAGGGTGACGATGGCGTGTGGGGGGCTTATGCTGTTTATACTTCGTTGCAGGAGCTGAGGGATGCTCCTGAGCCATTGGGGGAGAGGAGGGCTGCGGGAACGACGGAGTCTATGCCTGGTGGACTGGCTGGGGGGACTTGGATTGAGAGAAGAGAGAGACAGAAGGAATTCCTGGACGAGGAGCCGACTACTTTGGTCGTTGGGGCTGGTTAGTATGATCTTGTTTGATTGAGGGAGTTATTAATGTTGATGTTTGGATAGGTCAGGCTGGTTTGAATATGGGGGCGCGGTTGCAGAGTGTTGGGATTTCCTGTCTGATCGTTGATAAGAATGAGCGCGTTGGTGATAACTGGCGGAATCGGTACAGGGTGAGTATAACGATAGTTTGGAGGGGCGTTGGAAGCGACAACAATAGGAGCTCATACTGATTCTGATATTGCAGACACTGGTTACCCACGACCCAGCTGAATTCACTCACATGGCCTACCTGCCTTTCCCACAGAATTGGCCTCAATTTACACCAAAAGACAAATTAGGCGACTGGTTCGAAGCATATGCAAGCATCATGGAATTGAACGTCTGGATGAAAACTTCTGTCGTCTCGGCAGAATATAACGACACAGCTGCAAAGTGGACAGTGATCGTTGCTCGCAGTGATGGCTCTCAACGCACGCTGCATCCTCATCATATCGTTTGGTGTACTGGCCATTCAGGCGAGGCACGTATTCCTTCATTCCCCGGCCAACAGTCCTTCCAAGGTAGGGTATACCACGGTAGTCAACACCGTGATGCATCGGAGTCAGATGTCCGTGGAAAGAAGGTTATAGTTGTGGGAACTGGAAACAGTGGTCACGATATTGCGCAGAACTACTACGAAAATGGAGCCGATGTCACCATGCTGCAACGCAGTGGGACATATGTCCTGACTGCCGACAAAGGTGTCTTCATGATGCATAAAGGAATGCATGAGGATGGAGGGTATGTACCTCCGCCCTACTGATGTCGAAATGAAATGACATTCCATGATACTAATCAATTCCACCAGACCCCCAACGGAAGAATGCGATATCGCTACAGAAAGTCTCCCCTGGCCCGTCCAACTCGCCTTAAGTGTGCACTTGACAAAGCGGATCGCGGAAGCCGAAAGAGAAACCCTTGACGGACTCCAGCGCGCCGGCTTCCAGCTTGACTTTGGTCCCGACGGTGCTGGAATCGCACGCGCATACTTCACCCGTGGTGGGGGCTACTATATTGATGTCGGCTGCAGCCAGCTCATCATCGACGGCAAGATCAAGATCAAGCATAGTCCCAGTGGGATCAATGGCTTCGGTAACCGTGAGCTTAAACTGGCAGATGGCGACTCTCTACCTGCAGATATTGTCGTTCTCGCTACTGGATATGATAATATGCGTACGACTGTTCGCAAGGTTTTGGGTGACAAGGTTGCGGACAGATGCTCTGATGTCTGGGATTTGGATGGAGAGGGCGAGGTCAATGCTGTATGTCGCTCAAAATCCTCTTTTGCTCAATCTTTTCTCTACTAATCCACTCATTAGATGTGGCGTCCCAGCGGCCACTCAGGCTTCTGGTATCATGGAGGAAATCTGGCGTTGTGTCGTGTTTACTCCAAGTTCCTTGCACTTCAGATCAAGGCTGTTGAGACTGGTCTGTCTACCGGGGTGAGACAGCAGGGATCAAGCAGAGAGACTAAGATTTAAGGTATTTCATTGTGTAAGTAAATATGCTTCGGGGTACTATGGTTACCTTGGCTCCGGTTATGAATTGGCAATGAAGAGAACTTTCAATTTTGATGCATGTCGGCCCAAGCGCATTGAGATAATCAACCGTATAGACTTATTGTAGCAAGTCTTTACGACTTTCAACCATCGGAAGGTGTCTGAAGGTATTTTGTTTCTCGAAATGTTGCCTCAGACATAAACCGGAGCTTACGGCGATTGCGGTGGAAGACGCTGATTGGCCGAGAGCAAGTATACGACTCGTCCGCCGCAAAATCCGAATTTCAGAAAACATAAATACGACCCTTTGAACTCTTCAAAATATATCATCTTTCAATTCCAGAACTCAAGGATTCTTGATTCAACATTATGGCTGCCTCAAAGCTACTCCCTACTCGCCCACTATCCAAAAACGGACCGCTCGTCCCTCGCCTCGGTCTGGGGTTGATGGGTGCAAGTGGTAGTTATGGCATGCCAGCTGGGGATGAGGAGAGATTAGCATTCTTGGATAAGGCGTACGAAAAAGGCGAAAGGTTCTGGGATACCGGTAAGAAATTATTGATAGAATTCAAACCCTCCCTGTCACCTTGACTAATTGTATGAAGCCAACGAGTACGGTGATTCGGAGGACCTCCTCGGAAAATGGTTCGCCGCGAACCCGACCAAACACAAGGATATATTCCTCGCCACCAAGTTCGGCATCAAGACCTCGCCAGGTGTGCTTGGGTTTACTGTCGACTCAACACCCGAATACTGTCGCCAATCAATCGAAAAGTCTCTAGCACGGCTGGGACTTCCATTTGTGGACCTGTACTATGTTCACCGGCTGGACAAAGTGACGCCAATTGAAAAGACCATGGAAGCAATGGTCGAGCTCAAGAATGCCGGCAAGATCAAACACATTGGTTTGAGCGAATGCAGTGCCGACTCTCTGCGTCGTGCCTATGCCGTGCATCCAGTGACCTGTGTTCAAGTTGAGTACAGCCCATTCTGCAAAGACATTGAGTCGCCAAAGACAGGACTTCTGGAAGTTGCTCGCGAGCTGGATGTCGCCATTGTCGCATACAGTCCCTTGGGAAATGGGTTGTTGGGTGGTAACATCCGATCGCTCGAGGATGTCAGCAAACCTGGTGATTTCCGCGTCATCCTGCCCTGGCTGAGAGAAGAAAATATTCAGCACAACCTAACTGTGCTCGATCGCATCGCTGAGCTAGCAAGCTCCAAGGGTCTTACTTCCGCACAGTTGGCTCTTGCGTGGTTGCTTGCGCAGGGTGATGATATCTTCCCTATTCCGGGGACTTCGAAGGTTCATCGTTTAGAAGAGAATCTCGAGAGTCTTTTTGTTGTGCTTACTGAGGAGGATGAGACATTGCTTCGCAATATTTCTGGGGAAATTGTGGGTGGCAGGTTCCAGGCGAGCACGGCTTATTCGTTTGCCGATACGCCTGCCTTGGAGGAGTGATGTTTTGAGTAGTTTGAGAATAGACCGATCTTGTATTTTTTGTGCTTCAAGTACTCCAATATACTAACAATTATATTCTTGGCGTGATATCCGACACTGAAATGGTAAAAGAGGGGACGTTATGGTCTGACCTGGCCGTTGTCTGCGACATGATATACATAGTGCCAAAGTATGGTACGTCAAATTCTAAATGGCACCCTCCGCCCGCGGAGTGGTGCATGCGAGTATCATCGGACGCCATGTTATGGCAAATACTGTATTTGTCGCCCTCAATTGCATCAGCCTCAACCTGGACAAATTGTCTGAGAAGCTTCGCACGATCTGGCCCCTGCGTATCTCCATTGAGATGGGAAAGATCTTCAATGCACTTAATCACACAATCAATCGTCCCGAGATCTTGGGGTCTTTGGTGTTCAAGAACATTCGCAGACTCTAAACTATGCCCATTGAGATGAGATAGTAGAAGAGAAAGTGCAGCCGCGAAAGCTTTGTCGTCAAGCCCACGATAGGTGAGCGATTTGTGAAATTTGCGAAGCATGAGATAACGAGACAGAACTTCTCGGCTCGCCAAAACACTGACCATCGTGCTGTACGTTTGGTCTATAGAATGCTGTTGAGTCTGGAATGAATCCCAGTGCATCAATTGAAGGAGATACGGCTGATGCACGAGAACCAGGAGGTAGTACTGATGTGTCTGAAGCAAAAGATTTGCTGTCCTGCTCATTATGCTCGCGTCTGATTCAGTATCTTCAATGGAACAAGAGATCCACCAAGTCGTTGGAAGGCCCCGTGCAGCCTTTTTCAAATCACAGTCCAGGTTCTTTGTTTCTTCGTGATCTTGAAATGCACCACCCTCTCCAAGATTGCCATGCTTGCAAAAGTTTTGGATGCGTACATTTCTTGCGATGATCCGCTCAGAGAATCTTACATGAATTCGTTCCAAGTCTCGTGGTGAACCGATGCTGGAAGATTCATCTTGAGTTATAGAAGGATAGTCGATGGCTGAGAATGATTGTCCCAGCATAAGTGACATGAAGCAGTTACCATATAGTATCTGAAACACCAGGGAATCAGCCCGGGGCCCGGAAAATCCAGCCTGCTGGTGTAACTTCATGAGATGTGCTATATGTGAAGCCCTTCTATAGATTAAGCGGGCAGTGTGGAGTTCTCCAACGCTGATGTGATAACGACTTTGTAGCAACAGAGTTTCTAGGCCGTCAAGTGATCCGACTAGATAGTCCTGAGACATGACAAAACGAGAAGCAGCCTCATAACAGCGACGCGCTGTGGAAACAACGGCCTCTTCTAGGCCTAGTCTCGCTCTATTTGATGCGCTATCATTCATTTCTCTGAGGCAAATGGCTAGTCGTATTAGCCTATGGGCGAAAGTGATGGGATGCACAGATAGTATACAGTCCGGTATAAGAGACTCTTCCGTCCATAGGGAGTTGGTCTGTTCATGAGAGGACCGCAGTATCTGAAGTGGTGCATCGCGTTGCTTGCTGCTTTTGAGAATGAGTAAGATGATATGGGGAGCAGGCAAGACCGAATAGAGATATCCTGTGAGCGATGGGCCTCTAGAGAGTCTTTCATGACTAACTGCTCGCAAGGATGATATCCGCATAGGGTCAAAGTGTAGAAGTCTTAGTGGCCTTTGATCGGACTCCCTTTGAGCAAGCTTCCCCCGCTCCCTGATCAGTTTATGTACCATTTCTTCAACATCTTCAACACGACGTTCAACTGCTTTGTATGCAGCAGTTGAACTCTCAACAATTTCCTGACCCACGCAAGGTAGGCCCCGATGCTGACAATACACGCAAATTGAGCTGGAGACTGGTCCAAACTCACACTTTCGCTTGCGATGCTTGCACTCCCAACAGCTGAATGTGCCCTTGCGCAATTTTCTTCGTTTGTAATTTGCATCGTTCAATGTGTGATCAGTGAGCGACATCCCCACTGAGCTGTGAGGGCATCCAAACAAGTCGATGTCGGAAGGAACGTGCCACCTCGTTGACAGTTTTTCTGACCGCTTTCCATGCCCATCCATGCACACCGGGTGAAATACCAGCTGAACGGAAGTTGGTCACTTTCTATTATTTATACTTGAATCATTTTTTTTAAAAAAAAAAAAGAAAGCGCTTAGGGAAACCGTTAAATACACGGTTAGAAATATAGAAAAGAATGACGTTCGTATCAGAAAATGTAGTGTTAAACTCAATTGTAGTCTAGCTAAAAGATGAAATCCTAGAGCGCTATTTTTCTAGAATAGACCTTTTTTCTAGAATAGAGTCCTTTTCATAGAAGTCTTCACTACGTGCAATACCTATACATCTACAAGGCTGTGCCAGTGACAGCAGAATATCGGCCGTTGAAGTGGGGTTCACGTGACCGGCTTTGAGTCCCGGCTAAATCATTTGGCACTTCAGGTTGTCATTCAAACGAACTGTTGGGATATCGTGATCCTTTGGATACACCTCTGAGACATTGCCTGAGCTGAAGAACCGTGATCGGCACAAGGATGAGTGAAAGAGGTTCGGAGATTGTCTACCGGGCGGAGAATGTTCCGATTCGCTTCTTTAAAGCATGTCGATGGTGCAGGAGACAGAAAATGCGGTGCGATGCGCGCAGTCAAACCCCTTGCTTCCGTTGTCGCTCCACAGGTCGAGACTGCATTTTGGATCCTATTGATGACGGCCGGCGCCGAAGTGACCGTCGGCGGAAAACAACAACCCCCGCACGGTGAGACCGGGAATAATATAGATATGGCCGAAAGCGAGGCTAATACATCACAGGAGCCAAGCCAATGCTTCTCCCGTTGATCAGCGGACTGGGTTTCATACTCCGGCTTCAAGAGACCAAGGCTTTTCTCCAGCGAACGTTCATGATGGGGGCTTTGACACTTCGCTGGACTCTTTGCCCGAGTCTGCTGGCCTGAACAGTCTTCAAAAGTCATATACAGGGGATCAAAACGGGCCTGAACATCAGCACTTAAGTCCGAATGAAATGATTGCACCAGCATCAGCAGTGCACTCCATGTCAGTGAACCTGCTGGGCTCGAATGATGTAAGTGATGGTCCTCAAGCCATAGGTCGATCTTCCATTCTAACATTGCTTAGATATTCATGGACAACTCCAACAAAGGCGACTCAAGAGGTGATGTCATTGATCGAGGAATCGTCAGCGAGGAGTTCGCTCGCATCATGTATGACCGGTATGATGAAGTACTTTCCTTGTCAAGATATGAGAAGTACAATTCCTCCTAACTGTTGCTCAATACAGATTCACAGGTGGATCCAAGAATTTTCTGGGGCTTTTTGATCCCATTCGCGACACATTTGACTCCATTCGGTCACGGTCATTATTTTGCTTCACAGTAATCATATATCTTGCCAGCCGCGCTGTATCGGATCTTCGTGGAGACACGCATATGCAGCGTGTGTTGCAGGATGAAGCGCAACGTCTGGCAGAGGACAGTTTCTTCGAGCGACCAACTAAACTGGAAACAGTACAAGGCATGATTCTCCTGGCAGCTTATTCAGAAAAAACGTGGTTCTCAATCGCTCTGATCCTCCGCACGGCCTTGGATTCTGGCTTAGAAAAATCACTAGATACGTTACTATCACAAGAAACCGTTCCCCGGAGTTCTCTCTCTGCTTCCATGGCGGAGCGTCAATTGGTATGGCAAACAAGAACGTGGTTGATCAGTTTCACCTTGGAATTAGACGTCGCATCCGGAACGGGACGCAAGTCTCGCATTGCCGAGGTTGATGTCTCAAAGCTACGCCGTTTCCTTGAATATCCACTTTCTCTGCCTGGTGATATGCGAACAGTTTGCATTATTGAACTTCATCAGCTACGAGGTATGACCGCTAATCAAGATATTGGAACCACATGAGAACAAAGCTAATTGAACTAGGCAACTACCGCTTTGCTATCGACAACGTAATGACCGTCGATGAAATCGTTTCAAATAGAATACCATCTATCATGACCCGGCTCCAAGGCTGGTTCGCAGCATGGGACGAAATTCATAAAAGTATGATTTTTCTGAACAATTTTTGAAACTACATCCGACTAACTGTGACATGAAGACAATGGTTTCCACGAAGGGGCCTTTCAACGAAGTAGCCTGAAACTTATGTTCAACTATGCTAGGATATTTGTTCTTTGCGCCTCGCTTGCACGGATTCAAAAGTTGCAACCTATTTACACGGATTCAAGCTCCGAAACCCTCGATCAGACTGTTGTTGAGCTATGGCGGTCCCTGGTAACGACAATCATGGACCAGTTGGGATTTTTAATTAATGAGCCCTCCTACCGTTGCCAATTAACATGGTCGCCAACGTACCCGGCTTTGACTATTGCATTCGTTAGTAAGTTGACTGATCTCAGATATTTCACCATACCTTACTAATATGAGCCTAGCAACATTTGCCCTCAGAATAGCGAGATGGCGTCCAAATTTAATCAACCAGAATTTATTACTAGAAAGAGCAGAAAGGATATGCGACTTCTTGAAGCAACCCCCCTATCCTGACATCCACCGAACAGTCTCGATCTTTGTGAACTACGCACGTGCTCTGATTGCAAGCCAGCGTCCACAGAGCAGTGATGGTACAGATGCACCCAACATGTCCGATCAAGGTGATGGTCCACATCCGTCATATTGTGACGGTCCTATGGTCGATGCACCTGCTCCACCAGCAGTGGGTCCCCTCGACGATCGCTACAGGAACGATGTCAACCCACAGACTGATAAGGATTCAAATATGGTCTCAATGCCAGGTGGCGATACATCTGTACCCAGACCGCCCCTCTCTCGGCTACCCGGCACGATGGAGGCACCGAACTGGACTGTATCAAACTCGATCGCGGATTCGTTTGGACTTTTCGAAGAAGGTCAGAACGATATCTTTGATTTTTTGCCCATGATGCCGTCGATGCCTCAATAGCTTTAATGAATTGCACATATTTAAATATAATCGATATTCTGCATTATTTCAAGTCGTGACTTTTGTGTATCGAGCTAGACCTGCAACTAAAACGTTGTACAGTGGATTTACGTGGCCTAGTACACTAGACCCTGGAATCAGCATCACAAACACCGAATTGGGCCGCCACGCAGTCCAGTTTTGATTTTCACATGAATCGTTTAGTCACACTAGTCCCGGTTCCTTTTCAACTCGCTTGTATAGCGATAAATTCCTGCGTCGGCGCCTGCCGTCCAGGCCCGGGTCCTGACCGGTCCCGTGGGTGGATTGCCCTAAGACACGGTCCCGGTTCGGAACCGGTGCACATCACAAAATTCTTGAAGTATACCCCACGCTCATTGGCTTGTTTTCTACTCCAACATGGGAAATCGAGGCACTATGCATGGCTAATGAGTTCTAGCCATGGTGAGTCAAAGACAAGTGAAGATTTCATCTGGGTCCGTCTGTTGCATTGACGATAGGAAACTCTGTTGTCAGACTATATGTAGCCGTGACATCTTCAACCAGACTCCCGAACAACAAACTAAAACCAGACTTTGCTTTCAATTGAATATTTTCCCTTCACTTTCTCTACACATTTCTTCGTGACTTGCTCTATTATTCTATGATTCAAGATGGCTATAGAAACCAAAGATTCGTTAACAACTCAAATAGCAGCCATATTTTCCTCCGGTACGACCAATATACTTGGTGATAAATGTTTTTAATCTCTGACACATTACAGACAAGGGACAAATGTCAGCTGAGACCATTGCCGATCCAAAGACACTCGAAAAACGACACAAAGAAGATGGAGATTACTCAATAGTCGAAATGTCACCAGATGAACTCCTAGTCGAATTCCAAGAAGGCTCACCAAAAAGCCCACCCAACTGGGCATTTGTAAGCCTTCCAGTATAGCATCTCAGAAATACAAACTGAAAGCTGACCTAAAGAAAAGAACAAAAAGATCTACAACGCAGTTGTGGCTCTATTCGTCGTTCTCAATAGCGGCATATCAAGTGCCCTTCCCAGCAATGCAGTCCCCACTATCATGCAGGATTTCAACCAGTCCGGAGACTCGCAAAAGGTATTACCAACTGCTGTATTCCTGGTCGGTTATGTGCTGGGACCTCTTCTTTTCAGCCCATTGAGCGAGACAATTGGGCGGAAACCAGTTCTACTCTGGTCATTCAGCATTTTTGTTCTAGCCACACTTGGTTGTGCTTTTGCACCTAATTGGCCTGTGCTGCTTGTTTTTCGATCCATCTGTGGTCTGATGGGCGCTGCACCTCAGACTGTTATTGGAGGTGTCTATGCAGACTTGTTTGTTGATTTGCGGAGTCGAGGTCGGGCTATGGCTGGGTACATGTCGGTATGTCAGCTTCAATTAATTCATCCGGCCTGATAATGCTAACAAAAGAATCAGGCTGCGAGCTTTGGCCCGATTCTTGGACCTATCATTTCTGGATGTTCGGTTAAATATGGTTGGCGATGGACCTTTCGCATTGACCTGATCCTAACGGGCACAACCTTGTTGGCTCTTTTATTCATGTCAGGTATGAAGGATTGGTTTATGATATTTTCCAGATAGGAGCTGACCTTCTACTTGTACAGAAACATTCACGCCGGTCCTCCTCAAGCGCAAGACAGCCAAACTACGAAAAGAAACTGGATTCAATGGATATTTCACAAGACAAGAGCTGAACCTGGAGTCACGATTCACAACTATGGAGATTATCACCCGCCCTATCATGATGCTTGTCACCGAGCCTATCATCCAGTCTACTGCCGTCTACATCTCTCTTGCCTATAGTCTGGTCTTCTTCTACTTCCAGGCATATCCGATCATCTTTCAAGGTAAACTCGATAATCAAATCAATCATCGATCATGCTAACATCAAACCAACAGGGGTCTACGGATTTGACGTTGAGAAAACATCCTTGACTTACATTCCAAGTAGGTTAAACATAGACATTGCTAGCGAGATCGCACGCTAATCAGACATAGTTGGCATCGGAGCCGCAACCTCGGGCCTTGTCACCCTGTACTACGACACAATCTACGAAAAAGCAAAAAAGCAAGGCAAACAGTGGACATCCAGCCCGGAACTCCACCGACTCCCGATGTCCTTCGTCGCAGGTCCATGCATTGTTATCAGCATGTTCTGGCTCGCATGGACAGCAAAAGCAAACATTCACTGGGCCGTGCCCGTGATGTCTGGCTTAGTATTCGGATTCGGATACCAGATCATCTTTATCTCGCTTTTGACCTATGTCACAGACGCATACGGGATTTACTCAGCCAGTGCGTTGGCAGCTTCGGTCATTGTTCGAAGCATTGCTGGGGCACTGTTCCCGTTGGCCGCAGGCCCTATGTATAGCTCACTGGGAGTCTCGTGGGCAACGTCTCTACTTGGATTTATCAGTCTGGCTTGTATTCCCATTCCATTTGCTCTTTTGCATTGGGGTCCTTGGATTCGCAAGAGGAGTCCCTTCTGTCAGCGACTCCTCAAGGATCGACTGAAGGCTAGTGGATCCAGTACTCCAGTGGAAGTATGAGCTATTTCTGAAGATTGCTGCATTGTGCTGCATCTATGCCTGATATGTTTTTTGAGCGTCTTTTATTCCGGGTTTTATGGCTTGTCCGTGGCATTGGCTGGGCGCTACCAATATAATGACTGCATATAATAATTATAATAAAAATTGACTTGGATACTGGAACCTGCGATACACAGTGGGCATATGCGTTTGTACACGAAATGTCGGAGAAAGCATGGAATAGTTCCTGCGCGAAAGCCCGGACTTGGTATACCAGTTCATGGTTAGTCTTGAATTTTGACTTCATTTTAGCTTTCTTCTCTCATTTCTTTTCCGTTCACTTTCAAACCTGCGGCTTTCAGTAAAACGAGTTCAGGAAAATCTATATTATGACTTGTGTATATTGATGCCTGACACATAAGGTTTCCAGACTCAATCCTTCGGCAGTCACTCGGCAAGTTCCGACAAACTTCGGGTTTGATATCTTTGGTCGTTCTTCATAGTCTCGTAGCCATATCGAACCCGATTTCAATCACGTTAGAGAGTGGCAATAAGGGAGAGGGCCTTGGCACGCCCCCTGCTATTCACTAGGCAGGTCGCTTAGGACCCTGAGATTGAAATTTGAGGTTTTTCTATAGGCTGCCAGTGGGGGCCAAACCCCTAAAATAGTCTAGATCCAACTGGCCCTAAAACTTCACCAATCGGAGCGCGTCTTGTTGCGGCTCTAACGATTCGCCTCTATGCATCGCAAACACCCTTAAGAGTCAACCCTCCTTTTCTCTTCGACATTGGTTTGCCCTCGAAGGATAATCGCAATGTACTCTCATCTACCAGCCCAGGGTACCACTGCGACCATCGCTCACTGCAAGGCGCAGGATCTACCCGTCGGTGCGTGATCGCCGCCCACTTCCGCGTTGTATACTAACTGGTGCAGTCGATCGCCTTATTGAACCCCAGACGATCGTCCACTTTCTGGAATTTGCTCTTGGACAAGGTCCACTTCCAAATGGCACCCAACCAAGTGTGACGCGCTTGGCTGAGGAAGAAATTCCTTTTCTCCAGGCCAACTTCCCTCCTGGATCCGATGGCCATTCCATTCTCGATCGCATTATGGCGCGAATCGGGTCCGAGGAAGATGGAGAACGATTGTGTCTGATCGGCAAGAACCTCCAATTCCTGAAGACACGACTCTGGGAGGGCGTCATTCCCATGACTCAGCAGCGATGGCAAGAAAAGCAGCTCGACAAACCGGAGCACTTTGATCTCGCCTGTCAGCACCTCACAGCAGTTGTATCTGTGTTTCAGTATCTGAATCAGCCAGTCGCCAGAAACTATCTCCGCATCACCTGCAACTTGATCTATGACCATTGGACCGAGTGGGATACTTTGCTCAATCGTGCTAGGGCAAAGAAAGGTGAGGAGCGCATCAGTGTCGCCGCTCTCTGGACAATGTACATGTCCGCGCAGTTCGAAATGATGACTGAACGGGCCCACAGATGGGTGATAGTAAATGCGAATGCTCTACGCGCTCCCATTATGAACACCCTCGTTGAATATCGACCATTGAACGAAAGCGCTGGCCCAGATCAATATCAGTGGAAACTGACAGACTCGCTGCACATGTTGTTGCAGATCACCGCAGATGCAGATTATATTATTATGATCCCAATGGAAGGCTTCAAGGGATATGTTACTCCTACGCGGACTGGCCCAAAAGACCTTCTTGTGGCGGATTGTTTCAAGCGAGGAAAAGCATACCATGATCGCATGAAGATCCTCACTCGCGAGTACCTGGCTAGAAATATCCTGGCATCAAGTTCTCCAGCTCCTGGACTGAACAGCAATAGCAGAGAAGCTTCAGGGGGATCATATCACCAATCAGCCATTTCTCAAATCCAGGGCCAGAATCAATTGAGGATCGAAACTCGCGGGCCACCAATTGAGCCTATCCCACGGGAGCCATGGATTACATCTAGCGAGAAGATGATCAAGTCTTCGTTGGAGAAGAACAAAGACGAAAAGCTCGGGATGGCGGTTTACCGATTAACCTATGAACAAAGTGAGACCGAATGGGCGGCATTCGTCAAAAAATTGGATGCACACGTCTCCGACTGGGGAAAGGGCCAGACGGGTAGCAATGCTATCAGACCAAATCTGAAACTCCATTGGTTCGATGGAAAGGATCTTGGTATTGCTGAGAACGATATCGACGCAGCCAAAAAGTGAGTTATGTTGTTGATCATACTACCATTTGGGGTCTAACCCTCGACCAGACACTTCAATAGCACAATGAACAAAGAGGAAGGCCCCGAAAATCCTCAACTGCAAACGAGGGTATTTTTTGCCATTGATTCAACCTCTTATGCCTCATATACCACCAATTTATATGGCCCTTCCACATCTATGGTTGTCCCCGGTGACTTTACTGGATTTCTTCTCGCAGTTGACCCCGATTTCGATCCAGAAGAGGGCATCGAGCGACCAGACGAATCGCCAGAGTACAGCGGTCAAATGCGTGTTCTAGGTAGCCTGATCTGGAGTGATCTGTATTCCTTATTTTCCGCCCAAGCAGCACAACTCGAAGACTTCTGGCCACTGGCAATGGAACACCCCAATCAGGTTTACGTCGGACCAACAATACCATGGCAGCTGTACGCCTGGAGGAAACAAAGTCAAATTCGCTGGGAATTAATACGAGAGCTAGTGAACTACCGGAAACGCCAGATGGGACAACCAGAGTTACCTCGTCCGCCTGTACCAACACGAGAACCAGAACCCACTCCAGTGCCGTTCGCAGCAGCTCCAGTACCGCCAACGTCAACATCAACATCAACACCACAGCCACAGCAACCAGGAATCCCAAGATCCAACCAGAACAATCTATCTGCTTCGATGGAAGCGGCAAATCCACCCGAGGAGCGAGATCCAGTTGATGGCGCCCTCCGCGCATTCATGCTTAATGATTTCCGGAGATACCTCCGCGAAAGAGGTCAAGATGTTCCCGCAGCCATGGCTTCTGAACTGCTCAGTCTACAGCCGGGTGAACAGCCTGATGGGGAACGAATGCAGCAGCGGGCGATTGCAGAGCAGCAACGACAGGAGCAGCGGAGGAGAGATGGATTGCCCCCAAATGATGAGCAGGAGGATCAACCTCAGTGTCCTTTGCAGTAGGTATGCTATTCAAGGCAGGGTTATGTTGGCATAAAACGATGTAATACTAGAAACCAATGGATGGATGTCACGAATACAGTGGTTATGAGAAAAGATACCGTTCACTGTCTCTGGGTCTCTTGTGTCTTTTTTCTATCTATTGTGCTCGGGAGATTCAGGTTAGATAGTTTTGCTTCAAGAAAGGCAAAACCTTGCATCACAACCACCTGTTGCTTTGACTGAATCACAATCCACGAATCCTACTATAACACTTTTCAAAAAATAAATAAACAGTCCATACTGTACGAGGAGCAGCCCCGATTCGTTGTCAAGTACCCGGAGAAAAGAGCCATTTCCCCCGAAATGCAACACTCTCAAAGATTCTGGCCTGAAGTTATAGAAAAGATATAATGGCACCAGGGTCGGAATATCTGATCGTCTTCCGAGAAAAAGGATGGTCTTTAAGAAATAGGGCTCGCTGATCATTCACCATGTCACCCATTTTGACCCTCAAAGATGTCTCTCAACACCGAAAGAAAGACGACATATGGCTTGCCATTCATGGCAAAGTATACGATGTGACTGGATTCATAGACGAGCACCCGTACGAGTCTCCAAATTGTGTCTGCCTGTTCTGATTCTGATCCTATATAGCGGTGGTGAAGAGGTCCTTGCTGATTCAGCAGGAACCGACGCGAGTGGTGGATTCGACGACGTTGAACATAGCGATGAAGCAATGAACATTATTAAGACCTTGCAGATCGGGGTGCTTGAAGAAGAGGTGATATCATATCCCATCCAGGTTAAACCGCAGGTCGCTAATGCAGTCGCCTTGACATATTGATAGATTGAAAAAGCAGTCCGATCTCATCATCTGCAAGCCCAAGCCATGCAGCTCGAATACACCGCTGGAACTATCACCTATGCATTTCCAAGTCTGTGGTTATATCTGATTGCCTACGCGGGCATTTTACTCGCCATTGTGTTATACATCAAGGTCACGGCGAATGCCAACACTCCAAATACACATTAATTCCGTCCATATCTACATCTCAGTCTCATTAACATCTGTATACAATCAAACTTCCCCATTAAGCATAGCAAGACTCTGCGTCAAATATTGCCAATCGGAATTCTCAATGAAGCTCGGATCCCAAGCATTCATATCGAATCCACCATCCAAACGCATAGCACCATTAACACCATCTCCGTAAACAGCCGTATCCTCCACCACACCCTGACTAGACTGGAAAGCCTCATGGGCCTGTCTGACGCGCAATGCCTTTTCCCTCAACTGCACGATCATAGGCCATTTAGCCCCGGGGTCGGGAACGTGTGGATCCTCGGTGATCTCGAAGAGCTTGTTGACTACACGCCATGCCCGATCGACGTGTGCTCCGGTCGGACATACGCATAGTGTCCATAGGACGTATGTCAACGGGTGGTATCCGGTGAATGTTGTGGTTAGCCATCTGAAGCCGCGGAGGAGTTCGTCGGTGTGAATTTCTAGACCTAGTTCGATGGCGTGGCAGGCTAGATCTAGGGATCCTTGGGAGATACCACGGTCTAGTGATGTAGATGTTGGACCTTGGGAGTGGATTATCCGCTGTCGAATGCAGACTTCTGCTTTGGCGAGGAGGAGTTGGCCTAGGAGGAGGCCGAAGCGTTGGATTGGGATATCGGGATCGGCATGTCTGAGATATTTCATGTGGATCTCTCTTCTGAATTCTTCGAGTGCTGGAGTTGGATCTGTCGATCCGTCCAGGGTGCGCAACAGCATTCTGCGTCCTTTGTTGATGTCCACTATAACGAGGGAATAGGTCATCTCCGTCCACCGGGCTTGGGATTCGACTGGGGGATCATCCAGTCCGGAGAGGGCTCCATCATCGATGTTCAGGGGCATTTCCGTGTCGCCGTGGTCATTGTCGGGAACGCTCAGGCCATGGTCTTCTGCTACGCGCTCATCTGCGGACTGTATCTGCCACCAGAGTCGTCGGCGCAGCTCACATTCCAGTTGAGGTAGCTTGAAGTGTTTGCCGTCGCGCTGTAGACCAATAGACTGCGCTGCTCGGATGGTCATACCCTGTAACGTCCAACCAGAGCGGCCACTATTACTATAGCGAAAGCAAGTCTACACACCAAATTGTCAGCCACACAAGAATCAACTCATAATACATTTCCCAACTGACGACTTACCTGGTAAATAACCATAGCTTGCAACGAAGTGATAGTAGGCGCATCCAAAAATTCAGCCTGATACAACGAAATCTCGATACCCTGCTGATACCTCCTAAGATCGACATGTAAACTCTCATTCTGCGTATCATCCGAGATAAAAGCAGTAGTAGCAGCAAAATAAATAGCAAAAAGCAGCGCCCGCACATCGGACTGCACACTCTCCGGCCGGTTAATAGCAGCAAAGATGCGCGACTGCGTCGACGGTATATGCAGCACTTTCACCAACGGCTCAACTTGGCTCAGGAAAGCCTGCCATAGCAGCGTCGCCTGCCACCGACTCGGATACAATTCTTTCAAATCAACTTGCGTCAAGAGCGGATTCGCTATCAGGCCTTCTGCGCGTAGAACCGGTGGACGACGCGGACTGCTGTGCTCGCTTGGCGAGCCGATTGCCGATTGAAGATCCTTCTCTTTATCAAGGACTCTCGAGAGGAGGGGCTCATTGATATAGCGGCCGTCTTTCGACAGGAAGCCCTGGTCTGGAGGTCTTGGTTTGGCCGTTTGGACATCTGCCTTGCCGTTTTGCGGCAATGTAGCTGTACTCGTCCTTGACACTGTACTTAATCCATCTTTACCAGCACCAACCGTCAAGTCGGGTTTCACATTCAAGTCGTGGTCCGTCGAGGCGCATGGTCGGTCGTTGACCATCGCAGCGATGGACCGCTCCAGCTGTTCCAGCCGCGCTGCAACATCCGTCATACTCTTTTTCGGAGTCTGGCGCTTCACTCGGCTCGGGCCGGGGTATTGGCATGTTGTATTTTGGCGTATGCATCTGCTGCAAGGGGTTGATTTGTCGCATTTTAGTTTGCGCTCGTGGCAGCGTAGGCAGGATCGCTCTACGTTGTAGCGACGTTGGGTCTCCATCTTGGGTGGTGCTTTATGTGGACTTTCATATACTTATTTTGAGGACAGTTCAGTTCGTTTATTCACGTTGTGGTGAATTGCATATTCAGGATTTGAAGGTGCAGTTGTTCGGGGGGCGGCGATTCGGTCTTCGGTCGTTGCAGAAGTGCCGAGGCCGAGAGCTTGCCTGCCTCAGGTGTCATTTGTGGCGCTGCTGTATCAATCTCTGGTTCTCTACATGCTTTGAATGTGCCTATTGAACTCGAATTGGTCGATTGAGCTATATCTCACGGTCTATATGTGGATGTGATTTAATCTTGTGATACAATGATGCTGAAGCGAATCAGTAAAGTTCAAAATTGTTGAGTTTGTTATAGTTCGGGACACCGACGAAAACGGAAGCTAAAGAGACTTCTTTCGATCAAGTCTCGATTAAGACTAATTGGGTATATAAGAGTGAGAAAGAAATTGAAGAGGATACATTCATGATGTCCGTGTTTCCTTCTCCATTCGTGTCTAGTTCGGAAGTTGACAATCACCACGACAGTCTCAAAGACTTTATTATGACATAGATTTGGTTCCCAGAGCCATATGCCCAAACCAATAAAACAACGCTAATAAAACACCCGCCCATTTCCATAGTATGGAATTAGAAAACGCTAGAACCACAAAAGCACCACAAAAGAACCACCAAAGATGCAAAAGATCAAGAAATAAGCAAATCCCTCACACTCATTCCCTTCCTCCTTTGCGCTTCAAGAGGAACGACAGCCCTATTCTCAGGTGGGGGAATAAGCGCCGTCCCAGCAGAGAAATGCTCATTTATAGAATCAGCAGTCCCCCTCCGATCCCGGGTCAACATCAGCAAAGCGGCGGAAGCCTCCTGATCAACCCCCTGAAGCTCATGCATCTTCTCCTCCGAAGCCCAAACAGGGCCTAGTGCTGGACTAGGAAGGACAGATACTGCATGCTCCGGGATATTCTGTGCAGAGGGAATCTGGGTGCGAGGGGAGAATGAGGGGGATGTATCCGACATTTGCGACTGCATGCTCCTATTCATGGCCGGGTCAAAGCAGACCGGTGAGGCAGATGTAGAGTATGAGTATGTGGAGGACGAATCACGCATTTTTTCGGGCTCGGGAGCGTTTTCCATGATGAATTCTGGGGATGTGGGGGAGGGTGGGGCGGCTGGAGTATGGGATGGACCGGCGGTTTTGAGGTCTCGGATGCATTTTTCTAGGTAGTTGACGTAGTCAATGCTTGCCTAGGGGGGATTTGTTAGCGTTGTGATAAGCTTGATTGCCCGGGAGGCTTGAGCGTACCTGCAGAATTGCTAGCTTGTGCATCTCCTGTCCCGTACATGCTGGGATCATATCCTTCAACGTCCCAAATTCTTCGTTCATCTTTGATCGTCGACGACGTTCGATCAGACTGTGGGCTGTTTTGCGTGCAATCTTGCGTCCTGCTGCACTAGTTGCACTCGGCTGCTTCTTCTTCGAGGTCGTGGTATTGGTTGCCTCATTGGGAGTCTGAGTGGCACCCTTACTATCCTTCGATTTGGATGCACTCTTCGATGCAGATGCAGCCGGGGACTTTGGCTTCATCTGAATAATCTTGCGGGTTCGAGTCGGCGGCGGAGGCAAGTCAAAGTCCTCCAGCGGCCGCTTCATACTACTCCCCGAACGAGCAGCTTGGGAACCACGACGACCTGACAGATCTGGTGACGTTGGCGACACAGGCACATATGATGGATCTGAGCGAGAGGATCGTCTGCTCTCATTTGGGCTTAACGCGGCTGGAGGTAGCGCAAAGACATCGGTGCCTGTCTCAGGCTGGTCTTTGATAATGAACTCGCCAGACATGGCGGGGGTAGGAGGAAAAGACATTTGAGCAGAAGGATGAGTTTCCAAGTGTGTCTGCAAGGGAGAGAGAGAGCGTTCCTCCTATATAACCGTTCTCGTGCACATAGAGTGTCGCGTGCTTATATATGCCCACGAGCCACAACGGAGGCCTCTGATTGGTCGAGTGGATCTCGTGCCTCAGTGGGCGACGGGCATTTGTTGGTTGTGGGTGGGGCTCGAGCTTATCGCGAAGTACTGGGTACTTGCCAATTGAAGGGTTCGCCCCTGAACTCCCAGGTATCCTGTACAAGTCCGGTTGGGATCAGAGAGGTAGCCCAGCACGTGTCTCTCTCTCACTCTCTCTCCCTCTCTTGCTCTGCCTTCTTTCTCCTCCTTTTTGGCTGGCTTGGGGTGAACGGGCTGATCTTTTACTCTTCTCAATTGGTCATCTCCAGTCCTACTTCGGGGGGTCCATTTCTCTCTGGACTGAACCGCCAATAACTCGAGTCTCCTCTCCGAGCACAGGTCAACTAGGATCTACAGGACGCAGTAAGGGTATAAATCATCCCAATGGACTCAAATTCATGACTAGAATACAGATACCGTGAGGACAGTACCCAATGAATGGCTATAATAGTAAAACAAGACAAATTCCGTCCATCGTAACACATGTTCCATAATTCAACCCCAGCAATCCCTCTCTTCTTTCTTTTGCTTTTATACAGAAACCCTCAAATACGGAAATTAGCAGGGTTACACTTCTCCGTGCAACGCAGATAAGTCGACCAACTACTCAACAATTAGCATTTATTCCGCAACTCTCCACCACGCTCCAAAGTAGAAAAGGGGACTAACCAAAATTCATCATCATCCGGAACAGCCAGTGAACAAGTCTGAGCCTCCAAAGAGCAAAGCTCATGACAATGATTAACATTCACGCGATTGATGCCGTGCGAGGGCCGACGAGCATGGGTGGCATTCTTAGCAGGCGCCGTAGAAAGAGGAACTCGACCACGTGTACCCGTTGTCGTCGCGTTCTGGGCACTGGTTGCATTGGTCGGGACATGGATTTGGATGCGGGCGCCATGGTATGGTCCTGAGAGGCGGGGCATGGCGGCAACGCTACTGGCCAAGGCCGTGAGTACGAGGAGGGGTGTGAAGTGCATTTTGAGGAGATAGTGGAGGTCGTGTGCTCAATTGGTTGGTACAGAGCAATACTCGTAGTACGAGTGTAGGGTAGCTTATAGTATACTTTGATGCTCAAGTGGATTGGATTGGAGAGATGGTGTGTTCTGTAGAGGTCTACATCGCTTTATATAGACGTGGATTTTGGCACCTTTCTTAAGTCTGGGGGCTGGCTGTCAGGCCTACCAGTGGTGTCTGAGGAATTTCATGGCTTTCAGTGTTGCCTGTGAGTGGTTTGGAGAAACCATAAGGGTAACTGGGGCTGGTGATCCCTAGGTTACCGCATTCCACATTCCTGAGGCGTTGGGCTCACTTCACTTTCTTATCACGTATTACCTGCTTTATTGGAAGGGCTCGTAGTTTTTATTTCCGAATTGGAGTCACAATGGCATCTCTTATGAGTACACTGTATATCTAATGCAGAAGTTGTGCGGAGTGAATGAATCACCATGATATCGACCTCGCCAGATGCAAGTCGGCATATCACAGTTCCTCTCATTCCAATGCGTGGCGATCCTCAAGTTCCGCACCCAATAAGAATTCCAAAGAAAAAATAGAAACGAAGCTTGGCTCAGTTTGGCTCCTCTAGTATGTGGACCACAACTTGATATGACAGGACGACCGGCCAACGAGCAGGGGACGGCAGTAGAAAAGCTCTTGGCTCTCATTCCAAGTGCTAAAAGTCTCTTGGAGGCTGAAGACTTCATGCCCTTGCATGTATAGCTTTTTTCTCCATTCTGATTAATCTCGATTTGGATAATGCGCTCTACAGCCCTCCGACATTCAGTTATGGTCTCAAATTCGATGCATGGGTCTATCTAGTCTTTATGAAATCAACAAATGCACTTGTTCATCTCCAACCTCAAACATCTAATTAAACAATCTCTGCATAAGAATCTCTCCAAAGTTCTCCTCAGCAGGCGACCCATCCATCCGCCAGATCCGATTTCCAGCACTTCCACTCAACCAAAGTCCATGGTCACTGGAAGTCTCTTCTTCGCCTTCAATCCGGTGTCGATTGCGACGATCAACAACACACATACCGCGAGTCCACTGACCAAGCGTATCAATGCGAATATCCTCGGGCGAGTTCTGAGAAGGAAGCCACTTTGGATCCTCGGCGGTGATAGCATACCAAATACAAACAGGATCATGCAGACTCAATTGAGCATCATCGCCCTCGTGGCCAGGGTGCAGACGTTCAAGGGTCTTGAAGGTATGACCCATGAAGGCATCAACCCATTCTGCAAGCGGGGATCCGCCGGCCAGAAGTGGGGTGATAGCTTCGCGGAACTGGCCGCGGGAGAGGTTATGGCGAAGGGTAATATCCAGCGGGAATAGACGTAGCGTAAGTGTACGACTGAGCTTTGCTGGATAAGGGGGTAGTTTGGCGCTCCTCGTTGGCGGGACTGTTGTGTGTGGGTTTGGAGATGTCAAGGCGAAGACTCGAGCGGCAGCTACTGCATCTGCATAGGCGTTGAATTCTCCCACTGGGGTTACATTTCCAGGTTTGTTGATTGCGCCTCCCATGACTACTACCTCCTTTACGCGGAGGAAGGTTTCGGGGTCTTCTGCTGCAGCCAGAGCGAGGTTGGTCAGTGGGCCCACTGCTACAAGAGTCACGGAGTCTTTTTCGTTATCACGAAGGGCTCGGAGGATCTCCTTGTATGCTGGGAGCTTGGATGGCGCGAAGGCGCGCTCCTTGTCGGAGGTGGTCGCTGAGGGAATACCTTCCTGGTCAATGGTAGTGTGGAACAAGTGTTCCCAAGCCTCAGTGGGGGTAAGATGTGGGTGCTAATAGGTATCAGCTCAATCTGGCATGTGCATTAAGGAGTGGAAATTCACATACACTGTCGTGGATACCACCGAGTCCATCGGTACCGTCTGTAAATTACGTCAGGGGTTGGCTCGCATGGACAGCTGGATGAACATATACATACGGAAGTAATCAGCCAGCAGCTTCTGATCCTCGAGGGGATTCTCGGCACCGACAGCGATGATAGGGCGATGGGCTCTCAAGGCGCCGAAGCCCTCTGGTCGGCCTTTCTCTCGCCGCCACTGCATCTCCCGTTCGAGGATGTGGAACATGGAGACCGCATTTCGAAGACAACTGAAGCACAGTCAGCGGATTGCATAGTATACAAGATCCTGTAGAGCCTTACTTGTTCACTTCGATGTTTCCAAATGTTAACGAGATAAGCAGAACCTCTACCTCCTCCGGAGTGGCGGACAGCGCCAGCAAGAGACCAAGGACATCGTCAATGCCCTATGATAGTCAGTGAACGGCTTGGTGAGTAGATTTAAGAGTACATACCGGGTCAGTGTCGATAATAATCTTCTTTGCCATACTGAAGTGTTTGTTGTTAAAGCTTGAAGGTTCAACAAGTTGGAAATGGGAGCTTATCGGTTATCAGCGGGGTTGGCAAATGCCCCTCGGAGGGGGCAGCTTTTATATTCATATGATTGTACTTGACCACCCATACTGAATTACTGTAGGGCGGCTCCGGCCTAGAGTCACTGGTTCGATGGAATCTGGAGTCGATTTAAGGCTTAGGAGCTTGATTGTGGTTTTGGTTTTTTGGCTCTAGTATGACTTGTGTATATAAAGTTGTGTATATCACACACGTTTGTTCCGATAGTTAACCTTCTGTTGTTATACATCACCACTTCAGCGTTTACTATTCATACTGAGAGTCTGTACTCATCCGCAAAGCAGCTATGACGTCCCTACCCCACAACTCAAGTCATCTTTTCCGTCGCCGAGAAAAGGCAACCCCGACGGATTCCGGAGTATAGATCTAGCAAGACTAAGTAGGCTAACAGTTGATCGACCTGATAGTCTAAGATATTCAAGTTTCTCTTATCAAATAGAAATAGTTTGCAATACCAAGTGGATAGGAGAGTCAAAAAGCAATTATTGCTAGATTCAGGGGTGAAAGACGCTAAGATTCGTCTACAAAGACGCATCCATGCAGCTGGACCCACAAAATGCCCGGGGGATAATCGGGATATGCATGTGTACATTCGTCGTCATTCAGTCTGGAGTGGAATTATCTCACAGCATATGTCTCTCGACCTCGGGAGTCACTTGGCGAAGGGATTTATTTATACTGTACGGTATACTTGGGGGGCTATTTCTAGATCTGTATACTTGGCACGCTAATCTACATTCGTCCACGACGACAAGGCTCAATTAACGTTACACTTTTCGTCATAACATTCTTGTTGCCTCCCCGGATACACGGGCCCACAAGTAGCTCAACCACAGCACGGTTCTTCCAGGAGCTGTGCTCTGAGCGCTTGGACATAGGTGTCAGTTTGGGTTGCTCCGGATGTCGGGAATACCTGCACGATATGTACAAGACGCCACCCCATGCAGGTGTATGGCCAGGGGGACCAATGACAGATCAGCTGCAATTGTTCTCGGATGATGAGTACTACAGTGGTGGCCAGGTATGTACGCAAAACCTAGCCCCCATAGCCGTGCATTCTCTTCATAACCTCGTGGCCAGCGCGAGGGCTTCTGCAAGGGAGTGCGATTCTATGGGAGATCCATGAAGCTTCGGGAAGAGAGTAAACACAGCCGAGATATAAAGAGAAGGCGGAGAAACTAAAGGCGGAGACGTGGCCTTACAACCATACAGTAATTTACTTGACAGTGGGAGACCGAGATTCAGTACACAATAGTGGACGCAATCGCTCAAACAACCTTGGAATGGAGTCAAGAAATTGAGTAACAAATAAGACAGAAGAAACACCCTTGTACCAACCAAGAAACACCAAATAGTTCTAGATGGGCCAATATCAAAGCCAAGGTCTTGGTGGCCAAGTTTACCATTACAATACGTGACACGGCCCCTTTGAATCACTCTGTCCTTTTCTCGACTCCTCTCCTTTCCCTCTCCCTCACTTCACGTTCTTTTGCGCCATTGCGCTCTTTCTTTCACGCCAGCTGTCCCTTATCCCGACGTCTGAATTCCCTCGACACGACCCATTGAGCATTTGACAACAACACCGCCCCGAGTTGGATTTCCATTCTGGCAATCTGTCCCGGGTCGCATAGTGTCGATCAATTCTCCGGAGTTTTCATCTGTGAGCTTCGCTACTGACTTTCACGACGAGCACGCTGGTGAGTTACTGTCGCAATCTTCTCAATCTCGAATGCGCATGCTAACGCACCCACGCTTGCTCAGACTTTCGTCACGTCTCCAACTCCTGATCCTACCTCTCATTCATCCTCCCCTGACAGGCTTCCGTCTGATAGTAAGTTGGAGTTATCCACTACTGGTCTTGATGGTACTGACTAATGAGTGCACAGCACAATGAACCCATACATCAGCTGGGCAATCCTGCTCGTTGTAGCAGGTGGCCTGGGATGGTACTACACCAATGGCAACGCCCCCAAGGCCAAGACCGTGGTGCGATCTGTCGTCGAGAAGACCGAGACTACAGTAGCCCCCAAGAAGGCGAAGCGCAAGTCTAAGCCTGCCGAGGCTAAGAAGCCCGAGGTTCAGACCGTGGTCTCCCCTCCCACCACCGAGGATGAGAAGGTCGACGCCGAGATTGACCACAAGGAAATGGCCCGCCGCATGGCTGGAATCAAGACTGGTGCCCCCGCTCAGCCCGCTCCCTCCAAGAGCCAGAAGAAGAAGACCAAGAAGGCTTCTCAGCTCGAGGTCAGCGACACCCGTGCCTCCTCCACCACCGGCGCCGAGGGTGACGATGATCTGTCCCCTGCTCCCTCTCCTCGGGTGAACGCTACTTCCTCCGCCGGCTACGTCTCCGACATGCTCGAGGCCCCCGCCCCCGCCGCCAATGTCCTTCGTGTTACCGGCAACGTTGAGAACCAGCCCAAGAAGCAGAAGGTCCAGAGCTTCAAGGAAGTTGAGACCAAGAAACAGCGCCAGAACCGCCTCAAGAACGAGGCCCGCAAGCAGCAGGTCCAGGAGGCCGAGGTTGAGCGCAAGAAGCTTCTCGAGAAGCAGCTGCATACCGCTCGCGAGTTCGAGCGTCGTGAAGCTGCTCGGTCCACTCCCGATACCAACGCCTGGCAAACACAGGAAAAGAAGAAGGCCGTCACCAACGGTGCTCACGCTGCCCCCGCCCCTGTTGCCTCTGTTGCCCCCGTCGTCCCCGCCTCTACTGTTTTGGACACCTTTGAGGAGCCTGCTCAGCCCAAGAAGTGGGCCCAGAACCTCCCCTCTGAGGAGGAGCAGATGCGCCAACTTGGCGTTGCCAACGGTGACGATGAATGGACCACTGTCTCCAAGAAGGCCCCCAAGAAGAAGGGCGGAAAGACCGACGAGAGTGTCAGTGAGACCAGCGCCTCGGAGAACCAGTCCGCCCCTGTGGCCCCTGTCCCCGTCGAGCCGCGCGTGACCGTGACCCCTACCTACCTCCCTGATATCTATCGCTCCCGCGAGAAGGGTCACCCCTTGGACTCTGACTGGGCTGCTTGATTTTTATCCCGGTCACGTTGTATCTTCTGACCTGTATTTATTACCCATTGTTTGATTTTTTTTGGCGTTATGTGGGTGTTTTAAACACCCTCCCTTCGATGAGGGCTGGAGGTCGCATTACATGTAACAGCGAATTTGGCGGAATCCCCAGCTATGGACCAGGACCGTGAAAAAAAGCAGAATTGCGGGATCTGATTTGTATGTTTTGATTCTAGCTATTGCAATGAAACCATCTTTATGCAATAAAAGCGCAGGAATGTAGAGACTCAAATAGCATATCAATGTTGTGTCGTCACTATTCCTAATGCGGTTTAGCGGCGAGTTCCGGGCATCGTGGCCTGAAGTGGCTTTGTATACAGCTCCACCCTAGTATTTACACCTCTCCTCCTCCTCAACCCTCTTCACCTTCATCTCTCTTTCAATTCTCTACCTACACCATGGCCCAGATTCGTGGCACCGCGGGCTACAACCTCGGCCACCAAAACCCGTTCGGAGGGCCCGGTAGCGCAGATGCCACCAATGACCCTAGTCCGCTCGACGCCATTCGCGAGCAGACAAGCAAGATTGAAGACTGGCTGGACACAATGGCCGATCCTGTGAAGCCGTACGTGTTGTTTGCACCCTCTCGACTCGACATACTCGATTTTTCGCGCTGTGTGTGGCTCGAGTCGCGAGAAGCCTCAAAACAAGGGATCCTCAAACATGCACTGACACCGTGTTCTTTTTCTCAGGTATCTTCCCGCCATCGGCCGATTCCTGATTGTCGTCACCTTCATCGAGGACTCGCTGCGCATCATCACACAATGGAACGACCAGCTCCTCTATCTCCGTGATTTCCGGAAGAGTAAGAACCCTCTGCTCGGACCCTGATCCGCGCGCCCCAGGCCGAGGCCCACATCATCAGATAGATTGTGTCTAACGCGATGTTTGCGCTGATTATAGTTCCCTGGGGCCTCACACACACCTTCCTGATTGTCAACGTCATTGCCATGGCTGTTTGCTCGTCCCTCGTCATCGCCCGCAAGCGCACTGAGTTCGCCGTGGCTGGTCTGCTGGCTGTTGTTATCACACAGGGCCTCGGATACGGTCTCATCTTCGACTTGAACTTCTTCCTCCGCAACTTGAGTGTTGTTGGTGGCTTACTTATGGTTCTTTCGGACTCGTGGGTGCGCAAGAAGTTCGTTCCCGCTGGTTTGCCTCAGCTTGATGAAAAGGATCGCAAGATGTACGTCCAGTTCGCTGGTCGTGTGCTTCTGATCTTCCTGTTCATTGGCTTTGTCTTCTCCGGCGAGTGGAGCTTCTGGCGCATCATTGTCAGCTTGTTCGGTCTCGTTGCTTGCGTCATGGTCATTGTTGGCTTCAAGGCCAAGTGGAGTGCTATCATGCTGGTTGTTCTGCTGAGCTTGTTCAACGTTTTCGTCAACAACTTCTGGACTGTTAGTATTTCTGCCCAAGATTCGCCTATCTAATTACTGACAATTCCCAGCTCCACGCCCACCACCCTCACAAGGACTTCGCCAAGTACGACTTCTTCCAAATCTTGTCGATTGTGTATGTACTCCTCAATCCCCACATTAAGTTCAATTCTAACCAACATCAGTGGTGGTCTGCTCCTCCTGGTTAACATGGGCCCCGGCCAATTGAGCATGGACGAGAAGAAGAAGGTCTACTAGGGTAGATGGGATAGATCCTCTCCCTTCTCTCTTTTTAAGTCACGGAATCTGAGCCGACAAACAACATCAAGTCAGTTGAAAAACAATGGCGTCACAGAGCTCTGCGGGCTCCGAGCCTCTAGTCTCCCTCAAATTTTGACTAGTTGAGGCCTGTCCGTGATGGGCGTTCTTTGCATTTGGGATTTTTGGAGCCGATGAAGTTACTCGTGCTCTCATATTGTTTTCGAATTTTGCGTCATGGTCTCGAGATCAAAAAGACATGTTGTCTACCTGCATACGATGTTTTTCATGCATTTGAATTGCATTCATCCGAGTTTAATGCACCTGATACAGTACACTCTCTTGAGTTTAAGTTATACGATCTAGTTCTTCTTGACCATTAACAAAACTCCATCTCCTTTTCCCTTCACCACCATCTCCTCCTCAGGAACCCCCGCCTCTCTCAAACACCTCTCAATCTCCCTCCTCATCAACCGGATCACATCCTTTTCAGTGCCCACTAAATCCGGATGCGCCTCTCGCCATCTCGTAATCGGACTAGCAGTGCCCATAGAAACCTCAAAAGTATCCAAACTCATCACTTTCTCACCATGCAAGAGAAACTCATTCCCCGCCACACGAGCATCAAATCCCCCCTCCGTCCCCCACTCCAGTCGAACAAAGCTCTCCTGGTCAAACCCCTCAGCGCCACAGTCCCAAGGCAAAGGCAACGCAACATAGAGACCCCGTACAAGCCGATTCCCGTCCTGAATAAACGGCTCCAGCTCTCGTGCCCGGATCACATCCAACGCAGCACGGATAGCATCACCATTAGGCATATCCCCACTCGGCCCATCAACATTCATCGTCCAAATCGCCACTGTACCACCGGGTCTCAACAACTCGCCGGCCCGTTTCCAGAACCGAGGCATGTCAAACCAATGAGCTGCCGTAGCCGCCGTAATCAAATCCACACTTCCATCCTCAATCCCCAATCCCTCGATGTCCCGTCCCAACTCCTCCGCGCCGGAAACGTAGAATTCGACATCTGGCCCGGAACCACTCCCACCCAGCGTCTTCGCCGTCTCAACCATACCAGGTGACGCATCGAACCCGACAGCGCGGTCGAAATGGACGCCTAGATCGCGGGTTGCGGGGCCTGGCCCGCAGCCGACGTCTATCAGGGTTTGGGTTTGGCCTCCTGTTTTGGCGTGGTGGGTTAGGAGGGTTTTGTAGAAGTTTGGGTGGTAGGTGCTGCGGGCCTGGGCGTATGTTTGGCCTTGGGTTGGCGTGTAGGACTTGAAGGTTGCTTCTGGGGGCATTTTGGTGGGTTTGTTTAGGATTTGGGGTTGGGGGTTCAGGGTTTGGAATTTGGGTGTTGACAGAGATGCAGGAGGGATTGAGTCGGAGTCAAGTCGAGTCTAGAAGAGGAGCAACTCTGGTCGGATCTCGGCAGATGCGCTCGGGGATATCGGAGGAGGGACTATGTCCGATTCTTCTGGAGGGAAGCTGCTTATGGCGTTGGACTGATTGTAGCCTAGATGTCAAGGAGTCGTATGTGCTAAATTGATTGTACAGCTCCAGTTCTCTGTTTGGGATGGAGATTGAAATATTTAAATTCTGGGAATGGGGATGTTGATATTGATACGACGAACAGAAATGCGCGTACTGGGTAGGTTGTTGAATTTATAGAGAATTTCTGATCAAGTGGATCTTGAAAGAAAACAATTCAATCAAAGAGAGCGCTCTGATTGAAGAGTATCATAATCAACCCATCTGCCAACCTGTCCGCACCAATAAACAAGATAAACTACAACAGTGACCAGAGACTTCTGGGTAGGTAGCAGATCTATAAAATCTGCAATTAGCCCTACATAAAACAAGTTCATTCAAAATTGAACACATCATCCACTGATCCAGTAAGCCAAGTTTGTAGATCTTCAAAAGCATCCAAATCATTCTTTTCTAGCGAGGTATCGATAGAAGGGTCATGCCAATGGTGCGTCCTTTTTGACCCGGTGCTGCGCAATGGTTCTCCGATATAACGGCAGCTATCAAAATCGACAAGAACGAGCATACCATCTTGGTCAAGCATAATATTTGAAGGGTTCACGTCGTTGTGCACAAGACCAAGTGAGTGGAGATGTTCGATGCCAGCTAAAAGGCCTCCTAAGCTTGTTTTTATCTCATCGTTTACTAGCTCACGCTCACTTGAAAGGAACGCTTTCTTGCCTAAGCCTCGAGGATTCACCCTTTCAAGTAGCGTAGCCGTATATCGCTTGAAGCATAGTCCAGAGACTCGACCATGGGTCTCGTTACAGCCGTAGTAAGTCGCGTTATTCGGATGCGGGTGCTTGCGAAGGATCTCGCATACGTCAACCTCACGGGCAATTTGGCTTTCGAGGTCGCTATTGGCATAGGCGAGAAGATTTGGCGTTTTCACGTAGACTGCGGACCAAGTTGTCCTCATCTCTGGTCCCCTATGCTCCGTTGGAATTCGCTGAACTTCTTGGAGATCTTCCAAGTTCTTCGGTAGGACTAGTCGATTTGTCCATTTCCCGGAATAGAGAATACCGTCTTGCTGGACAAAAACCTGAACGTATGAAAACTTCATTTTACCATCAACTCTCTTGAAGGCCTCGTTCTTTTGCACAATCTCCATGTTAAGCCAAGTTATCGATCCAGATAGAAGGTGGTGCTGCTACAAAGCAATTGGAAGAGATGCAGCTTGGGGGTTATTGGAGATGAGTTGAGCGGTTGTATTTTGGGAAAGCTCTCCTTGTTCGGTTCTAGGGAATGCTGTAGTATAGGGTACTGCACGTGATATTACACATGGCTCCTGTGGGATTGGCTTGCGTTCGGACCATTTGTATAGCCCAGGAGTTTTGCCTGCTGTCGCAAGGCTAACAGTCAGCGAGACTTGGGCTCACTCGACAATATAATGGTGGGTGGTGTGGGTGGTGTGGTTGACCAGCTTCTGAAATAAATCTATTTGAGACTATTGAAACCGGCACCATCTTTAGATAATCTATACGGCAAGCCATTTAATGGGCAAGAAAATGGAGTATCGGGGTAAGTCCTGATATATCTCATCTAAACCCCTGGGGTTCATTGGAATATAACCATAAACCTTCCTATATCACGAAATTACCTCCTAGGAAAGAAGAAGCTATTATTGTTGGACATAGTCAGTATAATCATTATAAACAATAGTATATTCATACACAGAGCGTTCCATAGACAAGAAATACCACTATAATAGAGAATAGGCTTAGATCATAAGATGTATCAGAAAATAAGATATCAGATGGCAAGCATATCAATATATGATCAGACTAGATACGGAAAAGACAATATTAGAACAATGACCTGAAGATTTATGATTAACAGACTTGATAAAAGAAAGCTCATGTCTAAACAACACTTAAGACACAAGTAGTTTTTCGACACAACCCCAAACCAAGTTTAATTAGAGGAGCTTACATATGACAACACCTAACTTCCAAGGACATACTAGGAAACTCTATTAGAACTATAAATAAAGCAACCTCACAAGAATAGACATCTCAGAAGAGATGATGACGGAAAATAGATTTCTCTGACCATTTTCTAGAATTACATAAATCTAGAAAATATTTCCACAAACATCCATAACTTCAACGTTTAATTATAGAAACAACGATTGATAATAACATTGGAGATCTACGGCTCAAACACAGATATAAACTTTGATATCTAGAGATCTAATTAGGGAAGGGATGGTAATTTGTGTGTGGAAAACGATATTATAAGACTTGTCTATCACGATACGCCTTAGGTAAACGAACTTGGCACACATCGCGTTCATGGATACAAAACCCTCGCGAGACGTGAGGTAGATTTCAAAAAGATATATCCAAGTCCATTCCAAAGTAGACTGACAGGGACATCCAACACCGACAGTGCATTGTAGAGGTAAACATAAATTGATAGAGCACTATGTACTGGCAACCCACGGGATAGGGAGTGATTATGGTACAGGGGAGAAGGAAAAAAAGTATCTAGGGAAGGGAGTGTGAACGGATCAGAAAATCAAGTCGCAAAATGCGCAGAAACAAAAAGATAAGAAAAGAATGGAGGAGAATGATAGGTCGAGAGGATGCTGTCGTGGGGACTGGCCCGCATTTTTGATATTTTGCAGTTGCGTTGTCCTTTTTGTACTGGACCGGCCAGGTACGTGCCCAGATTGTGTTGAATCAAGGTCTTAACAGCAGGTGTGTAGAATGTGAGAGATCAATGTGACCACTCAGCAACGCAGTGTGGATGTGACGAACCACGGATAGAAGAAGAAAATCAATGCTCGCTGGTGGTAATGCTTCGAACGCCTGGTAAGTAGAACGATAGGGGAGCTGAATAGAGAGTAGGATTTGAAAGTGTTGGGGGGTCGGATGGTGAGCTAAAGGCGTTTAGATGTCCATGCTCCAGCGCCAAGGGCGGATAGGTTGTAACGAGCCCAGACCGACTTCATCGCGGTCATTGTCGTTGATCTCCAGATGCAGTAGGTGGATATTTTTATTGTCCTTGTGCATTGTGGAAAGCGTTTTGGAGATCTGTGGACGGTAGACCTTATCATAGTCATCTGTGGCTTTTGACTGTGGCCGCGATCTAGGGGTCTCTGGGTACTTCCAATCCATACTGGGAGATCGGTCATCGGTATTGGTAGAGAACATAGAGTCGGACCGAGAATGTAATGTCGGGTCGAAATCATCGTTGCTTACACGGAGTCGAGTTAAAGATGGGAGGCGTGGTACTGGTTCCTCTGTGATATCAGACGAACCTTGACCAGAATTGTTGGTCTCTTCCTTGGCCACGTTCTTCGTTGCCTTGGAACACTGCTCGTCAGCCGCTCCACCGACACTGTCACGAGCCGGCCTGTTGAAGCTTTCTTTTCCGGCCATGACTCGGGCGCTTGGTGGCGGCTGTAGCATCCATCTTGTTTCAGCGCGGCTGCAGGGTCCACTAACAATAGGTGGGTGAAGATCATTCACAGGTGGTGCACGGGCGCTGTAATACTTCGAGGTTTCGTTCGGATCCGCACGACCACGACCAGAGAAGCCAATTGAAGAGCCTTGCACTTCCTGGCCCCAAAGCGGTTCATCTTCTCGCTGGTATCGCATAGACTTCCACTTCTCCCCGAGCGGGTGCATCAAACTACCACTCTTGTCCTTTTTCAACTGCGAACTCTGGTCGGTATGCCAACTATCGGTCCGGTGATTGTTGTGTCGAGGACCACCTCTGCGGGCTGGAGGCCCAGGGCCCAAGGAGATCTCCTCACGCCAGCCGACATTGGTGCTGAAGGGAGTTGGTTGCGGGAAGGGCCGGGGTTGGTCGGTCACGATCTCGTCACATTTCTCCCTCTTTCGCTGTGCCCGGATGGCATCCTTCTTACGTTTTCGACGGTCAACGCCCTCGGCGCAGGGGGTGCAAGTAGCGTAGTAGAAGACCGCGGACTGGGCGCCCCGATAGAGCCACATGGCCGACGCGGGGGGCGATTATTCAGAATAGAATTGATTCCTGACTGTTAGGGTAAACAGACGTTCACGATGGGCTGACAGCCCGGGAAGACTGCTGGATTTGACCCGGTATTCGCTCGTTGTGTTGCAGTCGTACTATCGGACACATGGGGACTGAGTGGAGCGGATAGGGGGAATACTGCGGAAACGGGGAACAGAGGAATTGAGAGATCGCCCAGCGATCCTTAAAATGAAGATGCAAAGGTAAGGAATAATTGAAGAAGAGAGAGAGAGAGAGTAAGAGAGTAAGAGTAGGGGGAGGGGGAAGAAAGACGAAACGCAATTAGGAGGTTTGAGGGGGTCGGTTCTTTCTGCCTGTGTTTCGCCTTTCTCTCCCTACTCGCTGCTTGCAGCCCAACTGCTTATGCACTGACTGACCGCTCTACTTGGGACTCTACAGTATTACCCTGGATATCGCACTGTTGGCTGTCTACGTCAAGTTCAGTGGACGGCCAGTAAGCCAGCTCATATGTACACCTCACATTGCCACCGGAACTGCCCTGTTAGGTGTCAAGGGGCGATCCGGGACGCCAGGGACCCTCGACCTGAATGCTGACTTGCTGTACGAATGCCCAGAGCACCAAGTAAATTACTTCTCGTTAGTGTGAATTCTATAACATTTTCCCCTGTTTTAAGCCTTGGCGTCTTGCCGCGTGGAGTAGAGACGGGTCCGCAAACGTTTAATCTCCAGAAAAGGAGAGATAAAGAAATCATCGGGCAGAAAGACGGAAGAATGGAAAGATGGAAAGATAGAAAGGCAGAAATGTAGTGATTATGCAAGCCCCTAGATGCAATGTAGAATCGTACATTCTTCTGCTCGAAGAACGTAGGGGGTTTAGGCCCCAGCCTCTCGCCTCATACTCGGTGAATGGAGTACAATCCGACCCCTGTTGCCAGTCTCTGTGCTCTGACCCCCGCAAAGCTCAGTTGACCAATGCGAAATCCACGAGCTATGGCAAACTCATGTGAACCCTGATATGTAAGCTATTGGGTGACATCAATGCATGGTGTAGCAAGTCCACAGCTCGTAGATCGCCAGGGGAAACATGTCAAACGGTGGACCGACATTCAACACCAACAGACAAGCGCGTAGAGTCACACCCCACGGTGGATGTGGATGATATGGTCAAGGGTCATTCGCAAAACCAGCAAACTCCAGGCCCGAGTGATCGCCTCGCTGGATCATTATATCGCATGCAAATGATATCCCTCCCAGAACGCCCGAAAAATCGACAAACGAAAAGATCCTCACGGAGCAGTTGCTCATGCATTTTTCGTGTCCCTGATTACCTCGCCCTTTACCTTGGTCCAGTCGATGTCGCCGTCGATTTTCTCGTCGATTTCGCCGCACATTACCACATTATCTCCACGGATCAAGTACAGGCCGTGCTCGATTTGAGATGAAGGCTCGTCATCGTCTGGGGTGCGGATGATGCGTTCAATGGTATTGGAAAGGACGAGGTTGGTGAGTTGATCGGTTGACAGCAGAGTACCGAGGAGTGTGCGGCCGTCCACGGTGAGAATAAGGACTTGCTCTGTTTGCGCAGGTTAGCTGTGGACCTTACGGTGTAACCGGAGGCGCGCTGTAAAACTCACTGTTGATGTAATGGCTGAGGGACATGGTGGGCGGTTGAACAGTGTAGAGAATATCGAGTTTCGGGTCAGTTGAGTTTAAGATGCACTCTCTGGTCGTGTATTGCTTCTTGTGTCAAGCTCAACTCTGCTCCTGCCGCTGAGCCTATGGTATTCGTATCGTGCTGGGTAGGCGGAAAAGAAGCTGTCGTTCACTTCAATCTAATCGTGACGTTTGTTGGAGGGGAATGAAGCTGTCAAAGCTGTGTTGCAAGATCGCGCCAGTCCAATGGGAAATGAGAGCAAAAGCGGAGAGGGTATCAAATTGTAAAGTGGAGTTTCCGTAGACAATAAAACATTAGCGGATGACAAGACTTGCGCAATGGTCAGTACTGGTTGGACTTGACTTTGTAGTTTTCCATTGACATCTCCGACTCGATCACGTGCAGGAAGCTTAGCTTGGACTATACAACAGACTGCTTCACTGATCGATATATTTATGACCTACATGGGTAGCAACAGCTCTAGAGGTTGCTACAGCATTAATGATTTACACCAAGCTCTAGTGAGAAAAATATATGTATAGCAGTTGACTATGTGTGCACGATATCGCCCGCAATTTCCCATGCACTCGAATCAGCCTCTCAAAGCAGCCAAATCCAATGGCACACTGCTGCCTCGTCCAGCACGGTATCTGCGGTCTCCGCCAACAAAAGGCCGTGGCTTGGGTAGCAGTCCATCGCCTTGGAACTTGAATCGAGTATCTTCTATTCGGACTACGCCATTTGTTGAAGGACGGCGAGACTTTGTCGCGGGGGATGATCCGCCATTGGTAAGTGTGTAAGCACTGGGATCCATGGCAGCAAAAGGTTCATGAGATGGAGGGCGAGGGACAGGAGATGGGGCTGAAGGGGGCGGCGGTGGCGGAGCTCCTGGGGCAGCCGAGGGAGGTGGTGGAGGAGGCGGCGCAGAAGGTGAATGATGTCCCAATGCAGATCGGGCTGCCTGCGCGGCGACTGATGGTGCTGATGGGGGTGCTGATGGAGGTGGCGGAGGTGTTGATCTGGATGGAGCCGGCGGAGGGGGAGGTGCCCGACTAGCGGGGGCTGCTGGGGGAGGTGGCGGGGCAGCAGACGGTTTTCGCGACGCGGGTGGAGGAGGAACCTTGCCCGGTGGAGGAGGAGGTACGCGCGGAGGTGGTACTTCTGGAGCTTTTGCAGCTGGTGCAGAGACCGTGGATGAGGGCCTCGAAGCAGGTCTTGGTGGAGGCTTTTTCAACCCGGCAACAAGAGGGTTGACCGCCGGCGCGATAGGTGACTCTGTAGATGGCGGAGGGGGTGGTGGCCTAGCCCCAGGAGGTCTGGGTGCTGATGGAGGTTTAGGTGCCGGGGCAGCAGGTGGTCGTCGCGCTTCGCCATCGGACATATAAGACGATTCTCGATTGGCTCCTGTATCAACACCTCCACGACTCCGTAGCTTGGGCATTCCACCTGCAAAAAGACCTCCTAGTTGAGCTGCTGGTGCACCAGCCGTATCACCTCCCCCGGAAACCCCTTCGCTGTTGCTTCGTAATCGGTTCGCGGCTTGGCCGGAGGGAACAGGTGGTGCAAGACCAGCCGGAGGCCTCATACCAGGAACTGGAGGCGCACCCGCAGGAGGAGGAGCGGCAGAGCCTCCTCCTCCTGTATTTCCTATTACAGGTGCTGATCGATCATTGGTGACTGCCTTCTTCAGCCTCGCGCCTTTGTGGATATCAGACAGTAATGCGCCCTATTGAGAATTAGCCAGCCGTCCTTGGTACTAAGGGCCTGGTGAACATCAAGCTTGAGCTTCCTATCAGCTTACCCGGTCTTTAGCTGCCCCTTTTGGCGCTTTATTTGGGAGGTTTGCTGGAGGGGGCGGCGGGGGACCGCCAAAACCTCCCGGCGGCGGCGGCGGGGGAGGAGGCGGTGGTGGTGGCATGATAGAAAAGAGCAGCAAGAGTATCAAATCCGATATGTCAGTTCAAAAGAATCAAAATGTAAGAGTGGGCAAATTGGGAATGAACAGTTGTTAGGCAGAGAAGTAAGAAGACGTCAGGGTGTACGGGGAAGTGGACAGCGTCGGGGCGAAGTCTCCGCTTAGAACATCTCCCATCGAAAATCACCTACCAACACCCACGCACCACCATGAAACGAGTCGCGATAAACGCCCAAAAGGGCGCCCAGCGAAAGGGTTCGATATGCCAATTGTGTCAATTCTCGACTTCACCCCGCCGCAATCTCCCTCTATCCCGACCAACTCCCGAGAGTCGGTCTCCGGCCTCCAATTTCCGCTTACAGGCGTTGAAGCGCAGCAGCCGGTTGACTGTGACCTCACCCTTACTCAATTCGCGCCGATATGCTTCCGCTTCAGCCGAGACGACTCTAAAGGCGGCAATCAAAGCGATTGAGCAGGATGCCGCTGCCTTGCGCAAGTCGGACGCAGTGCCTACCAATGAAGTGGTGTTGGAATTGCTACAAAGATGCCAGCGAATTGCCAAAGCCCTTGTCTCCCCATCATATCAAGGCGAGGGATCATCAGCCGACAAAGGAAACGCGATCTCTTCCCTACTGGACCTAGAGGAGAAGGAAAACGCTGCAAAGAGCAAAGGCCAGGCACATTCCTCACAGCAGCCAGACCCGCAACTGGCAAACTCGATCTCACGGATTGTCAATGCGCTTCTGAAGGAGGAGAAGGTCTTCATTTCACCCGAGGCCCTCGAGTGCTACACCGAGACACAGACCCTCCTACACCAGGCCGAGCACTTCCCCGAGATCTTCAACCTTTACGCCAACAAACCCGTGCCAGAGGCGGACAGCTCCCCAGTGAAGTTCATCAAAGCGAACCCTAAGAGCGTCAACAGCGCCATCCCCGCCGAGCTAGCCAACAAGGCCCTGGAAGTTGCCATTGCGCAGAAGAACCTGTCGCTAGTGTTAGCCATCATTGACAACACCTTCTGCGCACCGGCCTTCCACCGCGCGAAGGTCTTTAAGAAAGCAGGTGTTCCCTTGGCTGGTCTAGCCGCTGCCCCAGCGGCTTGCTACGCCGTGGCATCATGGGCAGCAACTTTCCAAAACACAATGGACCCGAATGTTGCGACTGGAATCGCGTTCGCCGCGACGCTGGCTTATGTCGCTGGTACATCATCCATGGGTATCTTGGCCATCACGACGGCTAATGATCAGATGGAGCGTGTTGTGTGGATTCCTGGTATTCCTCTTCGGCAACGGTGGTTGCGTGAGGAGGAACGTGCTGCTATGGATAGAGTTGCTGTTGCATGGGGCTTCAAGGATCCCTATATGCGTGGTGAAGAGGTTGGTGAGGAATGGGAGAGTCTGCGTGAGTTTATTGGTATGCGCGGCATGATTCTGGATAAGACAGAACTTATGGAGGGTATGGAGTGATGGAGTTCCTATATGTATCATAACAGTATCACTTTTTTTTACCAACAATGTAATGTACAACATTGATTCTACAATAAGCTGGTCTACATGTTCGGACTGGGGTGATTATTTCATGCCATCACACCCTCGTATTTGCAGTGGCGAACACATGTTGAACATACAAGTGCTAGAGAGATTAGCCCCCAATAAACGTTTACAAAAGAGTATTTTACGAAATCACAAGTTGAGACCAAGTATGAGCTTCATTTTTTTGAGTCGTGAGACTACTTAAACCCAGTTCTCAATCTAACTATACACTCCATCGCAGTAAAGCGGCAGAGCATCTAGTAGACGCGGTGGGGAGGAGACATGGAAGCCTTGATGACAAGGCTGCCAACGTTCTGCCAGCCCTTCTTGAGGAGGGAGACGAGGTAGTTGATGGCGAGCATCAGGTTGGCAACAATGGCCTCCTTCTCCATGTCGACGTTGCCGATGGCAACACCGAGACACAGGACCTTCTTAAGCTGGAACTTGATGGTGGAGCGGACGTCGGTAACCTTGGCGGCCATGTCCTCAGCGTGGGAAACGGGGGTGGGGAACTTGCCGGCTGTAGACGAAAGTCAGTATGCGAAAATTTCGAATTGTTCGTTGGAGCTTCAAGGAAGACATACCCTTGGAGAGACCGGGACCGAGCAGACGGGGAATCTGCTTGATGAGGGCCTCGGAAGCGAGGAAAGCATCGTACTTGCGAGCGAGCTTCTTGATGAGCTTCTTGTTCTTGTTGAGCTTCTTCAAGTCGTCAACGGACATGGCATCGAGACCGTGGTGCTTGGCACGATCGAGATCGTGCTGGTCACCAAGAATACTAAAGAATGAAAGGTTAGCTTCGGTGGTTCAGGTATTATGATTTCGCTGTGCCAAAATTCATCGCTTCCGGATTCGTGAAGGCAAAGATTTTCGGGTCGCGGGGTCGGGAAAACGCACCAGATGGCCATCTGAGGACGGGGGACGGTGGGCAGCTTGATGGTACCAGAGAAACGCTTGTCACGCTGGGGGTCGTAGTTCTTCAGACCGATCTGGAGCTCAACGGTCTCGGTGAAGTTACGCTTCTTCTCATTGAGAGAGTAGTTGAGAAGGTTCTCGACATTCTGGCGCACTCCGGCTGTAAGAGGGAAGAGTAGTTAGTGATGAAGTCAAGTAGAGAGTAGCAGAGTATCAAACGTACCGACTGTGATCTTCGACATGATTGCTACAGTCTTCCAAAAGAAGTTGAAATTCTTATGGTATGGCTCTGCGCTGAATGCTTAAGAAAAGAAATTGTCGAGGGCCGTGAATTTCTCCGCTTGTGGGTGTGGACTGGCGCTAGTCCTGATATAGCTTAGCGGTGCCCTAAATTTTCTGCTGAGTCACTTTATGCCTCAGGCAAAAGTATTCCTAATCAGGAATACAATGTTCTACATTGGACGGAGATAATTTAAGAATACTCTCAAGTCAGAGAGGCTGGATCTTGACTAACTACGTACATATCGTGGTCATAAGACTACTCAGTCATCTGGGGACTAATATCTCTAGCCATCGCTGTGTATGGTGACAAATCCATCATCACCTCTTCTCTCACTTCAAATCCCATCTGCTGATAAAACAATCTTGCGCTGGTATCTGAATATGTGGACTGTAGAAATATGCTAGCAGTTGACGCTTTCAAGTATTTTGCTTCTTGACGTACATGAGCAACCGCAGCCTCTATCAACTGCTGACCATAACCGTTTCGTCGAGCGTGAGGCGAGACAAACATCCCCACAACAAGGTAAACAAGATCAGCAGCTGAATATTCAGATGATTTCAAGGCCATTTGAGTCGTATCTTTTGACGTGGTGAAAAGATCCCAGGGTCGATGCGTTGCATCAACACCTTCTTTAGACCATATCTCCGGTCCAAGGAGTTTGACTGTGCCGACCCATTCACTCTGGAGGAGCTTCGAAAGATCCCCGTGTATCATATGTTCGATCCTCCCACTATTCAAGCATGTAGCTTTGCCTGGTATCTTCTCGTCGCCATCAATAACTGCAACGAATGTCTTGGCGACAGGGTTCTGGATTCTAGATCGCCACGTATCGAAAGTGAATCGTGACTCTCGCTCATAGGTAGAAGAGAATGAATTTGGGTCTGACCATAAAGCTTGGAGTCGGAGGTCTTTGTAGCGACTGACGACGTTGTCGAGATCAGCCGGCGTAGAAAATGTCTTTGGGAGAAGCATCACTGCTTCTGGAAGAGGCAAGGAGGACATGGTGCTCTTTTGATTCGGGTAGTTAAGACGGTATCATGAGCATCTCGAATGAATGTGTAATACAGTTGTTTCTATCGGCGCATGAAATGACTTGGGAAGTATTAGTGCGGGGTGACTCATGGCTCAGATATGAGGCTGAGGCAGGGAAACCGCTTGCTATAACTAAAGAAGTGGATCTAAATTATTTATGCAAAACTCTTCTCGTAACTAGCTATACATTTTACCAGAATGATAATCTAGTCAGCGAGGTTGAAGGCGTCCAGAACTAGTAATTGACGTCCAGATAGCCCAGGCTTTGGTATTGCGTTAGCTCCGGAAAATTGGAGGGCCCGGTGTAGCAATCTATTAATAATATCTTCCTTAATACGTCATTCATGGATAAATATATTGAAGAGATCGAATATGATCCAGCCATAAGGGGTACAGGTGTGACTGTTGACCTCGAAAATCAGGTTGGTCTAGATAAAGTCATTTCCTAACAACAAGCATCTTTATATTAAAAAAATTCGAATAGAGATCTGGTCAACATAAAGTCTCCTACAGGCTAGTGGCCTTATAGTCTGGTGGGCTTTGTTCTCGTTGCTGCTCAGCGGTTTACGCATTACGTTAACAGCGCCACGGGTAACGCATAGTGGTTGATGCTCCTAACCACCATTTTAAAAGAGTCAAGATACTAGGACATCAGTCAGGAACATCTGGCCTCAGTAGTTTCAACCTTGGAAGCAACCCAAAACCTGTGGGTCAGTGTCGTGTTGGAAAAGAGCCGCAGCGGACCGCCCCGCGTTCCGAGTGATGCGTGCAAGTTCCAACTCTGGCTCCAAATCACCATTCATATCGAAACTTATTCAGATTATAAGATCTAGATATGTATATTTTAGGTTCAGGCTTACTTATGCATACATTTTCTTAGCACAAAGTTATGTGGAGGGAATGATAAGCGCCGGGCCCAAGATCTAGGTCGTACCAAAGTCATAGGTTAATCCAAACAACCACCACCACAACAACAACAAACTGACAGCCCTTGCGCTGAATGATATCATATAGAAATGACCTCGGGTTGAAGGATACTGTGTAGTAGATGTATGCAGATCCTCGATCCCATCATGCAAACCATCTGACCTGTGCATACCGCATGCACGCAATATATATCCAGATTAAACACAGAAACCCTAGATGACCGCTCATCTGACATTTCAACAGTCAAGCTCCAATAAAGCGGATGAACGAGGCAAAATACAAAGCCATCTAGCACAGGACATAGGTAGAACCGGGAGGATTCCCAGGTGAAACGACATGGACAGAATGAGGGGGGCAGATGATCGCGGCGCTTAAGTGTGACCGTCAGCCTCAGATGACTGTTTTAAGACTCTGCAAATCCCGTCCCCATTGCATGAATGCGAACTGATATTCTTCTTCTTTTCCTGTTTCATATTCAATTTGTGATTTCACCGGTCAAGTACATGTACAGTCTACCTTCTGACCACGGGACGGCTGCCTGACTCCTGAGAGCAATCTACAGTCTAACGCACCCCGTGACTCAATACGAGCTGTCTAAATATTGATTACTGGACTTCCCTCTGTTCTCTTAACACCATCGAGTTTTCATGTTTCTTGCAGCGTTTGAATACTGCTCTCTCCGCCATAATGACCGAAACAGTATATTCGCGCGATCCTACCGGACCCCTGAACTACTACTCCAGTCTAGATGGCGGGGGTCCACTAGCAGACAAATTCAAAGACATTGACGACAAGATCCAGTTTGTAACTGCTATGCACCGACTAAAAGATCCACTAACCGCGAATTTCGTGCTGGATTTTGGAAACGAGGATGCGTGGAGTGCGAGTGATTTGAACTCCGAAGAAATCAAATTATTACTTGGCAAGCCAGTGTGTCTCAATAATACCGGTCAACCCGAGGGTTACCGTTACCTGAACAAAGACTGATATGTTCTTGATAGAGAGCCAAGTGTTTTGGTACTCGGTGGATGTAAGAGCCAGCGTTTGCTTTCCCGGATACGAGGGCTGTCAATACTGACTGCTTTAGTAATATCTGGGCACCGGAGGAACAGAAGGAAACAATTAAGGTATGAGAATGAATGGCAATAATCTATTGTACTGACTGAAACCCTTCAGGCCATTACGACACACTATGGAGTATCAGAAAGATTACAGGGGATGATGTGTACAGAGCCAGTGCGACCTAAACCACCGCAACCAACAACTGCAACACCAAAGAAGAGATTCTCACAGTCGCGGGATGCCGTGCCTTCAATACCCGAGGTCGATGATCCTGAGAATGCACTCAAGCATATCTCGGACCACGATCGAGCGCATGAATCTGCATCAATTCCAAAATTGACCTTCTCACAAGTTACGGACCAGATCTGGCATTTTTCATCTGTTGATCACGGTCCACGATGTGAGTCCACTTCCCATATGGATCGAGCGGTATGATGCTAAACAGGTTAGACACTTGTATCGGGTATAACACGTTATTTGTGGTTCCCAACGTTCCAATGCCGAATGGTGACGGTCTTCCGGAGGGGAAGCGGCTTTGGACTTGGTTGATTCAATGCGATGATGGTATGTGCTTGGATATAGGGTGAAGAGCAGACGCTGACTTGCCCAGGCACAATTATTTCGATACAAGAAAATCCGTTCCCGAGATCGGAAGTGATGCCGTCGATAGAAAAAACCCTACCAGTTGTTGGAATCGTGCGCCGAAACGTGCGGTATATCTTTTCAGGTGTTTCAAAAGAGCATTCTGCCATGTCAGAAAGCGAGTCACTAGTCACAATTCGCGTACGGAATTTCAAAGACTTTGGACCCGACCAAGCCAATATCAAGCAAGAGGATGGCCCAAGTCTACTCTTCTATTATATATTCGACGATTGGGTATCGAGTTATGGGTTGGTTGCGAAGCGGGAGCACAAATACGGCGTTGCGCTTGAGGAATTGGTAGGTCGCCGATGTTAGACAACTTCGGCTGTGGCTAACTCCGCGCAGAGAGGTCAGATGCTTGAACGCCCAATCGTGGACCTAGTGAACGAGCTGCATTGGTTAGGTCGGCGGCTCGCAGTTCTCAAACGATTATACCAGAGTTACGAGCTCATCATGCGACGACTGTTGCAGCGACAACGTATGCTCCGCGACGAAGCTCGCGCCTCCCACCCGGCTGCAATCCCGCATGGTGCCACCTTTGGTGATATGGAGTTTTCCGAGTTGCGCCAGTCCAGTGTTGTGAGCAACCCCATGACCACCGACAAATCGGTGGGAGTGCAATTAAGCTCCACGGCGGTGGCACGGTTCGAACGTTTGGTGGATCGGATTAATCTGTATTGTCTGAGCGAGATTGAGAGCTGTCTCAATGAAAAAGAGTCCATGACGTTCCTGGTGAGTGTTCTTCCCCGTATCTCAGATGTCCACTTGTGGGCCATCGCTGACTCCACAGAACTTCAATTTGATTGCCCTCAAAGACTCGCAGGCCGTGGAGAAATTGACCCGAATCACCATCCTGCTGGCGAAAGCAACCATTCTGTTCCTCCCTGTCAGCCTGATGAGTGCGTATTTCTCGACGGAACTCGTGGGCGTGAAGGGTGGATACACTAAGACGGAGTATTGGGCGAGTTTTGCGGTGATCTTTGTTGTGTCCATTCTGCTCTTGACCGTGTTTGGATATGCCAGCGATACGGTGGAAGGCAGGACCATTTATCGCTCCATGGCAAAGACCTTCTTCCGGAACACACGCCAAAGAATGATGGGGACGGCCAGATGAGGATAGACACTATGACGCGTGGCGTAGGCTGGAACCAGGGCTCTTTCTGCCCAGACGGTGAAGTCTCGGCCTTGGAGCCTGTTTTGATTACGGGCCAACACGGTGTCCTTTTTGATACGCAAATACACCCCTGTATTTGACCTATTGAACCTTTTCGTATGGGTTAAATAGGCAGAAGAATAGCATCTGACACTGTATGCATAGGCAGTGATATTGTCTGATGCTCACTTTTCATATACTACCATACTATAACGTGCTCTCTCTTCCCCCCCCCTCCAGTCAGATTGGGTGACAAAGCCCTCCCGCGTATTTTGTAAACCAAAAAACACAATTCCCCCTTAGTCTCTGCGTAGTTCGTTCACTTGGAGTCCCTCTTCTTTTTCCCCCCCTATCTCTTCTCCATATCTTCCCATATCTTTCCTTTTTATATCTTTTCTGCCGGTAAGTTGCCTGGGTGGCTCGTGCCCGCTCTCTTCCCCCCCCTGACCCTCTGACCGACAAGTCCACAACACGTTTTCCAACCCCTCCGCTTTTCCCTTTCAACCATATCCCTTGATATCTGACCAACCCCAGATCTCCTTCCACAAATATGGGTATCACTTTCTCGCGGCTGTTCGACAGACTATGGGGTCGCAAGGAAATGCGTATCCTAATGGTCGGTCTTGATGCCGCCGGTAAGACCACCATTCTGTACAAGCTCAAGCTCGGTGAAATCGTCACCACCATTCCCACAATCGGTCAGTCCGTCCCTCAACCCGCGCGCTGGGTTCGCCAATACACCCCCGACCTTGGAAACTGATCTGGTGCAGGCTTCAACGTCGAGACCGTTGAATACAAGAACATCCAGTTCACCGTGTGGGATGTCGGTGGTCAGGATAAGATCCGTCCTTTGTGGCGCCACTATTTCCAAAACACCCAGGGCATCATCTTCGTTGTTGACAGCAACGATCGCGATCGTATTGTCGAGGCCCGTGAGGAGTTGCAGCGCATGTTGAACGAGGACGAGCTCCGCGACGCTCTCCTCTTGGTCTTTGCCAACAAGCAGGATCTGCCCGTGAGCACCCCCGATTGATTCTCGATTCCCGTTGGATTTGTGAGACTGATTTTTCGGAATTTTAGAACGCCATGAGCCCCGCCGAGATTACGCAGCAGCTTGGACTCCAGAGCCTTACCCGCCGCTCCTGGGTACGTGATTCCATCCCTTTGGTCCTGGCGACTGCTAACCTGTCTAGTTCATCCAATCTACTTGCGCTACTACTGGTGACGGTCTGTACGAGGGTCTCGAATGGCTCGCCGATGCGCTCCGCAAGTCCGGACGTGATTAAGCTATAATGCGAATGAGAATCGGGGATGTAGCGAGGAAGACTGAAATCTGCAAATGATGATGACAATGGGGAGTTCTTTGCGAGGCCATGACGTTCTTCGTAGGGGGTGTTCTGCTGGCTTGTTCTCTTCAAAGGCCTTTTTCCTCCTATGCTATTAGCCTCATTTGTTTTTCCAAAAATTGCTCTCTGTTTTTACTTGGGGGTCCAGAGGTCCTGTACAAGTACGGTAAATTCGAATCTCTCGAGGCAATGGCAAATTAGTTCTCCATTTTTAGAAACCGTTTCATATGCGTAGCGCTTGGCATTCTGCATGCGGAAAATCCAACATTGGCATTGTTCAGGGATTGCCTGAAGCGTACGGTGATATTTGAGCATTTGCACTCGACGGTAGGACTATAAACCTGGGAAGAAAGTGTGCTCCACTGACATCGTCACATCGTGGGACTTGGACGGGGTTGCACACTAAACCGATTGCCTGGCCGACGATCGCCAACAAGCCCGCCAACACACGCCTCATCGCGTGCATCCTCCTTTCCCTTCAGCATCCCCCTGATTTATGCTCTTCTCCTTCTCAAACTGTATAATTGTCTGCAGCCATCCCTGGCTAATTGAGTGGTGCACTTTGTCTGACCCCCACACTTCAATGTTGACATCCTGTTTGGCATCATGACCGTCCAGGCGAGGAGGCACTCCGCAGCCTACAAGGCCCCATCACCCTATACTACCCGACAAGATGCAGATATTGAAAAGCAACCCACCCTCGGCCGCCATACATACCATCACCATCCCAGCGATGACTCCGACGACGAATCGATAGATGACGACGCCAATGTCGCAGGCTCGTACCCGCCGCCCGTCGTGACCGGCGCAGGTCTCCGCCGCGCCCAAGCAGGCGTGGGCTTTCGCGTGCCCCAGCGCATCATGCGATGGCTCTGCCTAGCTCTCTTCGCTGCGCTCGTCCTCTTTATCCTCACCCTGTTCCGTTTCACCCTCTCGGCCTCCGTGTCACAAGTTGCAGTAGAGCTGCCCAAGGTTGTGGCCGCAAAGCCGCCACCATGGGAGAGCTTCCCTTTCCTGTCTCGATACGAGGGTGGGCTGGCGTCTCTGGTTTCTCGCAAGGACAACGTTCCTGAGTACCCTGGCGATGGGTCCGAGGAGCTGGCCTTGCGGGTGGACCAGGGCAACGAGCAGCAGGAAGAGAATGCCAACAAGGTGAACAAAAGAGATCTGACACCTAGCATGCAGAGCTCTGCGTTCAACCCTTACCCCGACTACCATTCGCCGGAATACGTGCAGAAATATGGCGAGAAGCGGGAATGTTTCCTTGACAAGGAAAACACACTACGGGTCCCGTCTGTACAGAGCTACCCCGGTATTCCAAAAGGCTTCCCGGAGCCGGTCATGGGCTCGAATACGATGTTGGGTATTCGAGATGATATGTGCTTTGACCGATTTGGTCGCCTGGGGCCTTATGGATTTGGATACGGATTCAAGAAGGGTGGCTCTGGAGCCGGATTGGAAGGTCATCGTGATGGCGCTGAGCGTGTGTGGGAAGACATCCCCCCAGTTGACTTCCGGCCAGTGGATTGGGCTGGTGCGCAGAACCGCTGCCACGCAGTAAACCGCCACCGATTCAATGAACTACCAGAGCCGCGTCTCGAGCGCTTCGTCTCTATGCCGATAGGCGTCCCTAAGGTGAATATACCCGAGCCTGAAGAGGATTCTCGCACGGAACCGCCCAAGATTGGAGCTGAGAAGTTGCCGCGCACTGCGGTGGTCATTCGCACTTGGCATGACTTTGATTACTCTACTGAGGACATTATGTACTTGCGCTCTGTGATCTCGGAGCTCTCGCTCAACTCTGGTGGCGAGTATACCGTGCATTTCCTGATTCATGTCAAGGACACCAACCTGCAGATCTGGTCGGACGATGAGACTTACCAGCGTGTGCTGCGTGACTCCTTGCCTGAGGAGTTCCGTGGTATGGGAACTCTCTGGACAGAGCCCCAGATGGCACTCATGTACCCTGGTTTAGAAGAAACTAATATGCGCGGTTTGCCGATTCACGGTGTCTACCGCAGCACGTACATGCCCATGCAATACTTTGCCTTCCAACACCCAGAGTATGACTACTTCTGGAACTGGGAGATGGACGCTCGCTACACTGGCCATTGGTACCACCTCTTTGATAAGGTTGGTGAATGGGCTAAGAAGCAGCCCCGCAAGGGTCTCTGGGAGCGCAATTCTCGCTTCTATGTCCCCTCCGTACACGGCTCATGGGACGATTTCCGCCAAATGGTCCGTGTTCAAACTGAAATCGGTACCAACTCAAAGAACAACATGTGGAGTGCTTTGAAAGAAGGGAACGACAAGGGCAGTCCTCTGCACCAGTCAGGTGACAGGTCCATTTGGGGCCCTGAACGTCCCGACGAACGAGACATCTTCGAAGTCGAAGGCGAGGGCATTCCGCCTACAAGCATGGACAAAGATCAATACCAATGGGGTGTCGGCGAAGATGCAGACCTAGTTGTCTTCAACCCCCTTTACGATCCCGAGGGCACGACCTGGATCCTGCGCGACGATGTAACAGGCTACAACCGTGAGAATGGCATGCCACCCCGTCGCACGGCTATCATTACCGCCTCGCGTATCTCTCGCAAACTTCTCACAACTATGCACCGCGAATGTTCTCTTAAGCGCCACAGCATGTTCTCAGAAATGTGGCCTGCCACCACAGCCCTTCACCACGGCTTCAAGGCTGTATTTGTCCCGCACGCTGTATACGTCGACCGCCGCTGGCCAACACGTTACCTCGAGTCTGTGTTCAACGCCGGCCGGAACGGTGCTTCGGGCGGTGCTCGCACTTCCATCTTCGGCGACCGCGAACACAACTTCCGCGGCACGACATGGTTCTACTCGGCCGGATTCTCTCCAAACCTCTGGCGCCGCTGGCTTGGACTGCGCGTTGACAATGACGGTGGAGAGCAGCAGGAGCTCGCAGGCGAGGGACGGATGTGTCTCCCCCCTATGCTATTGCACCCAGTCAAACAAGTAAATATGATCATTGATGACGGGGAGCATGCCGAGGACCGATGATTCTGGTTGTCATCTTCCCCTCGTTATTCCCACTCCAAGTTTCGTGTGGTTTCATAATACCCTACTCTCACTTGTATAATGCCCCAACACCCATTCCCCACAGCGACACGTCGTCTGCCACGTTTTGATCTCTTGTTATGTCCCCCTTTGGTGCGAAAAAGGCGTTCTCGTTGTGGTGATACGGGCCTATAAGTTATGGCTCAGGATACATTCCGATTTGGGATTCGATTCGATTTTCGGTTGATACTCTACGTTGTTCACTTGCTGTTGCTGTTGTCTTCCGGTACTTGCAATTAGAGCGTTTCTCTAGATTGCGATCCATCTCATCCCTGCTAGCTCTATCACTAGTATTTTGGGGGATGTGGGTTCGTTTTGTTTTGTTTTTGTTTTTTTTTTCATGGTTTCTTTTGGTTAACGTTAGATGGAAAGGATGGGACTGGACTGGTTGATGGACATCCTACTACATGGACTTGATTTTTGGTTATACATTGGATGATCCTATGCACATAATTCATATTTTTGGATTCGGTTTCTTTGAGTTTCGTATTAAATCTCCCAAGAAATGAGAAATGATAGATGTCGCTAGCTAGCCTGTAGTTGAATAGATCCAGTGCGACATAACATGCAATGCAGGAACCCAGAACAAAACACCATACCCAAACAGCAATGCATACAGAATAGAAATCAAATGCAAGTCATCCATAAAGCAGATCGACTTTCCCAAGAATCACCCCGACTATACATTCGGACACGAAAACCTCACACTGTGCCCACTCTTATACTTCCCACCATTACCACAATCACCATGATCACCCCCAGAAGAAGAAGAAGAAGAACCCAAACAACCAACCCCACTAGCACTCTTCAGCCTCCTCGAATCCTTTTCCCTCCTGACAACACTCCCGACCCCATTAGAAACAGTAGCTGAAACCTCCTCCGAACAAGACCTCAACGGCCCAAGCGGAGACCTCGCCACAAACTCAGCAGGCAAAAAGCAAATCGAACATTCATAAACCCCACCCTCAATCCCAAACTCAAGACAAGTCCTACAAACGCGATGACCACATTTCGTCAAGAGAACCTCGACACCCTCGTCCCCAACACACGTATAGCAGAAATGTGTCGGGAACCTAATGCGAGGAGAAACCATGCGGCGTTCGATCTCAGAGGCCAACTCTTTTCCCTTTTCCACTCGTGCGCGGAGAAGGTGAACTTTTTCGCGGAGGATGGCTAGGGTTGCTGCGTTGTAGGGGTTGTAGGCTTGGTTGGGGTTGCATTTGGGTGAAATGCATTTGGATGATGGGGTGGTGATGGGGCCGGGGACTGGCCTGTGCAAGGTTGGAATGGGCTCGAGGAAGAGAAGTGGTCGGAAACGCTGGGTGATGGGACAGTCGGCCATGCATTGTTGTTCGAGGAGCCAGCGGCGCTGGATTTGGCGGTTTAGCAGGACTGTGTAAATTATGCTGAGGGCTTGCCAGGCGCGCCATTCGGAGATTGGGTCGAGGGGTGCTGGTTGGTCTTTGGTTTGGGATCGGGACATTGAGTTTCGAGTATATGCAAGTCGGATCAGAGTCAAAGGATAGGTAACTGATGTTCAATCGTGGAAGAGGTTGTGGCGAGTATAGGGATATAATGTACTGTATGGCCCGATGTCCAACGCTAACCCTAACTCACACACTTTTGGTCTGAATCACAATATCGCACCAGCTGCATCGGTACCTAAAAGCTCCCCTTATATACATGCAGGGACTATGCAGAACCTTCAGCCACAGCCGGGAATCGACCGTAGAATAGTTTCGGCCGAAGCACAAGGTACGAGCCACACCCGATCTAAGCCCTACCCCAGACCAAACATGAGCAACCTGACTCCATTGACTGGCTGGAAGTGAATTCCTTGGCCACAGCCACGAAAACTGTCAGTTATGCTCCTATTCCGGCGTGGTGATCCATGGGTTGGGACTCGGTTATGCCGGGTTCCCGCCACCTCGGGCGAAGCCGAGCATTGTCCGTTGTTTTCTCTTCCTTTCTCATCTGGAGTCGACTGTTTTGTTGGGGGCTTACCAAGGGAATCGTCATCGGATTGCGGGTTGTCTACGGGGAGATGAGGGAGGGCCTAACTCCGTAAAGCCATGAAGCCCATCAAGGCCTAGTCTGGTGAGGAATCGGGAACTCGGCCATATGAGTATCGTGCATTTGAAGAGATCATCGATCTAGAAGGATTTGTCTAGATTGCTTTTCTCCTCGGGAGTTACTGTTACATCCGGTGTCGGTCTAGAACCAAGTCCGTAGCGAGGCCTTAAATCTCCAGGCCTCGATGTAGACAGTACTATATGCGAAGACTCCGTTGCTAATTGACTAATACTAGTTCGTCGGCAATCTCCATCCGAACTGCTTTCTGCACTTCTCAGCCCACACGGGCCGAAAAAAAACAAACATGTACTAAAAGATCACAAGGTCGTCACTTATGCACACCTTTTATACACAACCTGTGATCTGGATTGATCACCTTCTCCCACACCACTCTCAGATTCAACACAACCCCAAGATGAAATCGAGACTCCCTTGAAATGGAAGGTATACAAGCACCTTGTTCCAGACCTCAACCCAAAACTCTTGGCGGCAATCACATATTCCCCCGGCACAGCACTTTCCCCTCCTAAATCTCGCCCTAGAGGCTCCAGCTCCCAAGTTTGGACAAGCACACCAGCTGATAGTTGGTCTGCCAGTTCCACGGACCAAACTTCAATTCGAGAAGTAGCCATATCAGAGCATGTCTCTGCCAAGCGCATGATGAATCGATTTCTTTCTTGCGAGGATTGTCCAATGGGGGAATCCTCGCAGAGATATTCTCTATCATATGCAGGACTGGTTGGGTATCGCGGATAGAACGTTAGATCACCAGTCACATTCTCATCACTTGGAGCACTTGAACCCGAGGCGTTTTTGGTAGATTTCCAAGACCCCTGCAAAGCGCGGAAAATCGCTGATGCGGCTGCCTTTTGTGCTGCATCATGACCATGGATCAAGCTGTCCCGTAAATCCTCCAATGTTTTTTGCGCCTCCCTGTCCGAAAAATCGAGGTCTTCGTGGTTGGACTTGCCATATAGATATCGAGCAGGAACAACAGGTCCAGACCGACTGTCCCCTGATAATACGGAGCGGTCAATCCCAAGGTCCCTAGCAAAAGATTCCATCAATCCGACATAGTCCACCATAGGAAATTGACCACGAGCAAGAAGTGGATCGGCAGATCTGAGAGTCCGAAGTCCGTCCCTCTGATTATCCGTTAAGCAAACGACAGTCTCATCTTGCCCAGACCACAGTTTCCCAAGATATCTCGCTTGCATCTCCATAACACCCCAATAAGGACCTCGATAGAATCCCACAAATCCAATGTCAGGCATTTCAGAGCGGACAGTACCGCCTTGATCGAGAATCAACGGCGAGAACGCATCTTCGGTCGAGTATTCCAGCGTAGACAGGACATCGTCGGGCAACAGAGACAGAGATCTATGAGGCATGAACCCCGTAGCCATGACAATACCCGCCACATCATCAATCATGACAGACTCCCCATTTGCATGTCTGTATTCAACCAAAGCGAGTTTCGTATCGCAATTCGACTGCACAGAAATCACCCGGCCCATGGCTGCCTTTATTGTCCCCGCTCGTACAAACTCCGCGTAATCATTTCCAATAGCCACCCAGGGTGGTTGAACTTTCTGACCACTCTCCTTGTCAGAATGCATATGACCATACTTCGCATAGCTGCTTCCAAGCAAAGATTGGAAATAATCATTGGTCTTGAGTGCCTTTTCCTCTGAGATCGGGCCCAGCATGTATTCTATTGGGCCGGGTGGTCGACGAGCTAGATCGTACATTGCCAGATCCAAAGGTAGGAAAGAAGGCATCTCGTCAGATTCTTGAGGAAGATAGGTCGGGAGAGCCCAAAACGGTCTTGAATGAATGTGGTGAACTTTGAACGGGGAGGGAAGTATTGTATCGCTTGAAAGAGATCCGGATGATTGGTGGAGGGCTATGGCTGATGCGGCTTCCACACCTGACATGCTGCCGCCAATGATGACAATTTGACCTTTGGTGGTGATATCTTTCAGATTGTCTCGCTCACGGTGAAGGGTTGAGCTGTGTATGATCTGTCCCGGGAAAGTGTCCAGACCTGGTATAGCTGGGATATACTGCTGGGCAAAGAAGCCTGCAGACATGACCAGTTGGTCGAAATCCTCCGAGAAGACTTTACCGTCCGGCTGATTGGGTTCTGTTTGATCTCCATGCGTACTAGATCATACTCCAGTCAGCATTCACTCCATGACCTTGGAAACCACCCTTTAGAGTACCACCAACCTCTCCTTCACCCAGTGAACAGTCCACCTCGAACCATCCCCACCCCCAATCCTCCTCTCCGTCTTGACAACCCTACAGCCCAGCCTATACACGTCCCTTGGAATATACTGCTCAGCATAACAAGCCAAATACCGACCCACCTGACCAGCTTGAGGAAACAACGGCAAATCCCGTCCAGGGAATACATACCCCCAAGCAAGATCCGAAAATGCAACAGTAAACCGACTAAGATTCGTCCGCATGCGCGGGTCTAATGTCCCAGGCGTGCCATCACCATCCGTCCTGGTCGATGTATCCGACGCTGGAGAACCAGCCGGCCACAGACCGCCTATTTCATGTCGGGCGTCAAAGATGACAAGAGAGAATTTCCCCTCTGGAAAATTCCTTAGGAGGGTTTTGGCCGTGACTAGACCCGAGGGGCCGGCGCCTGTGGGTTGACGTTAGTGAGGCAGTTTCATAGATTGAGATTTGAGTATGGAATGGAATGGTATAGTGTGGTAGGACTATTTGGGAATGCTAAGCTCACCGATTATCGCGACCTTCTTTGCCATTTTGTTGGACTTGTTCTGTTGTTCTGTTCGATGTTTGTTGGAATTGTCAAGTTACCCCGCCCCTATCCACTTCGTCTCTTTTGGCTCGGCGTCGAGTCGTTATTTGTAGAGGTTGGATGGCAGTTCTACGATACTACAATACTACAATACTACAATACTAGTCTGATACTTTGACACAGTCTATGTCTTTGGGGGCTATTGCAAGGTACCATTGCAAGGAAGTATACCAAGCAGTCCAGCACCACGGTGAGGAGCGCACTCCTGTTTGAGCGTCTAATCCCCAAATCTCGTGTCAAGGAACCTTATGCCGAGGAGAATGATATAGGCCAAGGGTTGAACCTGCGACTAGCCCATACTCATTGACTCCTCTCTGGTCTCATACCTCCATTCCAGGACATGAAAGATGATGAGTCTCAAAATATTAACATTATTAAACTGAAACCTGTCAGTTTTTGCTGATTCTAATCCACATAATAACATCATAGTATCTCAAACATAACAACGCCTCCTCTCGGCATACATACTCCATCCATGTCATGACGTGAACGCCAAGCAAAGCCCGAAAGACAGGACCCAAGGGGGAAAGTCGATGATTTACCCCATAAGGCCAAGCCAAGAAGGCCAAGAAGGCCAAGATCCCTGCGGGTTGGGTCCCGAGCCGCCAGGCATTGACTTTCGAGTTAGATTGGGCTCTGGAGTGCGGGGGATGCGTGTGGAGGTGATCGGATGGAAACGTCGAGAAGAAGTCTAGCGGATCTTGTATCGCAGGATGAAGCACTGTAGTTCTGGCGCAGTCGCATTCCCATTCCCATTCCCATAGTTGAAATCGAAGTCAAGTCGCATTCTGATGTTCATTCTCGTTCATTCGCATTCATTCGCATTCGCATTCTCATTCATCTGGTATGTGATGTCTAGGTTGGCGACACTCATGATACTCGCTCGAGCCACTCGGTGACTTGGATCTCGGGTGAGTGACGAGGTTTGTAGGCTTCATTGCACTCTTGTGCTGTGACGAGTGTGTCGACATTGCGTTCAGTCAGAGGAATTTTGTATTGGTTCTTCTTGCGGAGGAGTTCTTTCTCGGCGAGAGCCGAAGGGGAGATCTTGGAGAGCGTATTTCGGAGTCGCTGGATACCCCCGAGACCGAGCGTTGGATTTGGATCGGAGGAGGACCGAAAGGCTCGTCGACCTTCCAGGGCTCTGAGGGCAGAGAATGAGACTGTTTCTTGGGTGATCTCGCCATAGTGAAGGAGATCTGAGGTAGAGATAGGAGAGAGGGTCAAGTCGGAATAATTGGCTGCTCTTGAGTCTCTCTTGATACTATTTCCGCGGGACCTGTGGGGGGTCGAGCTCTTTCTTTGATTGGAGCTGGCGTTGCCCAGGGAGTTTGCGCTGCATGAGTCGCTCCACCTCCTCTTCTGGGACAAGGATGTTCCCCGATGAAATGCGAATGAGTTTAAACTGATCGACACACACCCTCCGGTGGGCATTCTCGCCCATATGTGTCAGCAGTTGAGACTTCAAGACGACTACGTCATGTCGGCATGAAGATGCCGATCCTACTGTAGGGCGGGGCTTGGCATAAACCTGTTCCACGGAGGAGGGAAGCATGCGAGAATTGGCCCAGGGAAATCCGCTGGCCGGTCAAATAGAATGGGCGAGTGCCCGACTGTCACCTTGCTGGTTGCTCTCATTCGTCGACGCCACAAAAAGTCAAATGGTTCCAAACTTGACTACTCCATGTGATGGGAAGAGCGGGATCTAGAGGTCTACAAGTCATTCTGCCTCTGGACAATCGGACAATAGCGAGAAAAAGTAAGTGTACTCTGTTGGGCACCGTTTGTCTTCTTAGTCTCTCCTGTTGGCGTTTTTCAACCCATTTTTGAGTATTTTAGGCAGATCAAATAGATCATATAAAAGTGGGGATAGAAGCAAAGTAGAAGCCCTAATGTAGATATCGACAGAGTGATTACAACTACTCCCATGCACCACGGGAAGACGGAATAGTATTCTCGATTGCAGCCTACCTCAGTAAGTAAACCGGAAACCAGGATGATCATCTCCAAGATTCTCCAGTTCCTCCCGCGGCCACTGATACCGATAATCCCTCTTGCCCTGCTCACGCAACCGATTCTCACGATGTAAATAAGTAAAGAAAATGACACACGCGAACCCACAGATCCAGACCATCCCCAAACTAACACCAAAGCCAGTAGCGTAGGTAGGAGCCTCCGAATCAAAAAAGACATTACTGGCCACCAGACCGCCACAATTACCAAATCCGATCTGCATAGCGGACGCAATGGACTGCTTATAATGCCCCGCCATATTGTTGCTCAGCCAGCCCATGAGAATCGGCTGGGTCATGTATCCACCGCCGGTGATGGCGTAGAGAGCGAAATATCGGGCACCGACGGGCACCGACTGTTGGCAGATCAAAATGACATACCCGATGGTGGCGATGAGGCAGCCTGTCAGGGTAAATGCAAATCGATGGCGCAGTCGATCGCTGGCAAAGGCTGTTACGAGTGCGATGACTGTTGCGACGAGGTAGATTGGGATGCTCATTACTTGGGCGCGAACGGAGGTCCAGCCGAGTTGTTTGAGGATTGTGGGCGTGAAGAAAGATGTAGCGTACCCGGTGTTCACGATGCCAAAGTACATGATCGGGCTGTAGAGGTTAATATGGGTTGACCTTGGAACAGAACAGAAAGACTGACCCGAGATACAACTTGAGATCCGAGAAGGTACGTTTGATGGCTGGCTTGTCGAAGCGGTTCATCTGAGCCTCTCCGTGGTCTTCTGATAGTCTTCGAAGCAGCAGAGCTCGTTCTTGATCGTTCAAAAACGAGGCCTTCTCAGGCCAGTCCACAATCAGAAACTTGGCAGCAATGGCAGCAATGACAGTGACTAAACCTTCAATGATGAAGATCCAGCGCCAGCCGCTATAGCCAGCTACACCGTCCATCTGGGCGATGGCATAGGCAAGAAGCTACAGATACTGTGGTCAGCTTTGAACGCATCACGATGACACGGGGGGAGAACCATACTCCACTAACTGCACCAGCCAGAATGCTCGCGCTGAAGAAGACATTCAATCGCCACTGCAATTCATGACGCTTGTAATACATGGCGATCAAATAGACACAACCTGTCACATTAGCGACGATCAAGTGAGGAACCACAACAGACACACCTGGCATGAACCCTGCTTCGAACAACCCCAACAAAAAGCGACACGCGATAAGACCACCGAAACTCTTTGTTAAACCCTGACAGACCGTCACAATGCCTGGGATCAATTGAGGTCAGCATGTCGTTTGCTCCATTTGACGTGGCTGTTCATACCCCACAAGAGCATAATCCCACTCAACCACCACGACGGCGGCACCTTTCTCAAGACAAGATTGCTGGGAACTTCAAACAGGATATAGGGAATGAAGAAAATAAAAAGCGCAATATTATAATCATGACCCTTCATACCAAGATCCTTCTCTAAACCCTGCAGCCGCGCATTGCCAATATTGATTCGATCAAGGAAAGCAAGCAAGAAAAGAAACATGAGAATAGGAACAACGTGAATATCAAGTTTCCACAGCAATCGCTTTTCTGCAGAGCGACTCAACTCTGGGACTGAAGACTGTGACTTGACATCTTCGACTGTTTCATGATCGCATTCTTTTTCGGGGTCCATGTTGGATACAGGAGATGGTAGAAAGCGATCCAACTGGATACTATATCTCTCAAAACATCAAGCCGATTACGAGGAAACAGAGCTTTAAGTACATTCGGGACTGCAATTCAAATGCCGTAGAACGGCGACGAAATCCGGGGTATTGCTGATCTTCCCCCGCACTGTGTTAGGCGTTGGTTCCGCGTTCCTTTGAAGATGAGGTTTAGTTCCGCTGTAGATGCCAAGAATTTCTAGGGCTTGGCTGCGATGTCTGTGTAAGGTGGAAAGTGCAGCCTGTCACAATCATATCTGGGGAGATGTTGACTGTTGAAGTTCAGATGTGAATCTTGATATAGTCTGAGACCCTAGTTTCGAAGCGGGGCATTGAAGGTACATTTTCAATCTGAATTCATATATTTGAAGCACTACTTTGCACTAAATGAAGGTGAAAAAGTGCGGAATGGTAACCCGGAATGGTCATTCCGCATACTGTTTGCCCCACGCAGGATGTGGCTTGCACAAACCTACATGGGACATTATAACGATACAAACAGCCAATAAACATGTAGCCGAAGATACTACGGACAGAATCTAGACTGGCGAATTCCATATTGATCCGATATCTCCTATACCCATCAGCTATTGCTCAAGACCCGATATTCTTGCGAATAGCGGGCTCCAATGGGAATGTCTGCTCATCCTCCGCAACATCCTTGAAAACTGTATCCCAGCGATGCTGAAGCTGCCCAGGTGTTTCCCATGCATGCTCGGGATCACGTAGCCAAAGTCTCAAGAGATGGCGTCTAATAAAATCACCGCTTAGTAGTGTCATCAAGCAAATGTGGAAGGAATACGGAATTTTCAACTGACTCTTGACCGGGCTCATCTCTAAATCCATTGCGAGCATGGAAAATGCTCAGATTATTCACATACTGAACATCCCCCTTCTGAAAATCGAGGGAAGCTCTGTGCTCTTCGGCCAAGAAGTGCATCGCATCGAGTGCCTCGGCTTGAGCTTCTGAGATCGGAGGAATATCCTTGGATCGGGGCTGAGCCAGGAAGCCAGTGAAGTATCTGCGAGCGTATTGGATCAGGACGCGCTCTGGCGTGTTTGCCGTGGCTGGTTGGTGATACAGCAAAGGGCGGAGGGTATAGGGCTTGGACGGATTGTTGAAACTAGCACTGTTAGTGTGCCAGGATTATGTTCTTTCCTTTTGTGAGTTCTTACCCATCAACTGGCCAGTCTTGCGACAGCGTATGGATGAGATCCGGTCGCTCTTTCGCCAGGATGTTATAGACGTGCCAGCTACTAGACAGGTAGCTCTCGCCTCCTTCCGCGGCTCGGTTAAGACATAGCAGGGATATGATATCCCCGGCATCGGTGTGGAAGACTTGCTTGTCGGCTGTGTTGGATGGCGCGCCAATCTGTCCTCGCTCGGTCGTGCTGGTTAAGTCTTTGATATGCGATATCACGGGCGAAGTGCCATTGGCTAGTCGGGTATCCTGTTGGCGCCCGCGTATACTTCCGATGTGAGAGGATACTCCGGTGTAGATGATGATATTGTCTTCGCGGGAGTAATCATCTATACGTAGGCCTCGTAGAACCACGAATCCTCGGCCATTATGGATTTCCTTTGACAGTTCTCGCAGGAGGGGTCGGAGGCTCGGTAGAGCGAAGGTTGACTGGTTGATATGCCCCAGAGGGAGGTTGAGGGCTAGTCTAATTAGCCCAGTGTTGATAATGATCAGTCAATAGTTATACGACCTTTGAAACTCTTCAGCGCTGTATCTATCTCATCCAACTGATCATCGTTCAACTGATAGATCCAGTCATCCCGCTTCTCGACATCCTTGCCTTCCCAGACTAGCGGTGATACGAGCTGCTGGGGGAACCCAGCAGGTAGGGTGGTCTGTAGATTCTCATTCTCCTTGCGACGACGTGTACGCTCTTTGTATTTCTCGTATTCTGGATGATACTGAATATCCGGCTGGACAGGCTTGGTGATGGTCTCAGTAGCAGACATGATGGATGTCTCAATGTACGAGTAGTTAATGAGAATATGAGAACCTGTGAGTCTTTGGGGGAAATTCTCCGTTAAATAGCGACGATTCATAAGCTCAGCCAACTCATTGCGACATGTTAGTATGTGTCACGACATCAACCCCGCAAAGAGCGAGATGAAGTTCGATTCCTTAGGGCTTCGTTGAGATCAGAAAATCAACATTCTCATACTCTTTGATTTCCAATATTAAATTATAGAGAAATCAACTCCATTGAAGAGAGTATTTTTCTTCCAAAGCTCAAGGTTTGTTCCTATACTAGATGTCATCTGAAAAGCACAATATAACCACGGAGATGTCTGTATTCTTCCAAGCTGAAACGGACGCCAAAACGCTCGCAATAAAGTCATTTGTTGCTCACCTTTGATGATTTCTTTATAAAGAAGAGGTACATGGAAATGCTCAACACTGGCAAAACCGCGTTCGCACTTAAGACCCCTTGCATATCTCCACCCAATGATGAGCTGCGGTGTCCGCACCACGCGCCAACACAAACCGCGGAAATAGCGTCTGAGCCTAAATTATTCTTTCCTCTCGTACTATATCATCAACATGGCTAAAAGTCAGGAGCCGAGTCATTCGACTCAGGCACCCATCACCGATGTTTCTGATGAAGATGCTCCCAAATCCAGCTCCCCAGTGAACGAGTCGCATATCTTGCAAGGGCGCCAGATCGGCGTCTTTGGCGCTGTTTCGCTGATTGTCAATAAAATAGTTGGAGCTGGGTACTATTTGCGCCGTCTAAGCTGTTTTACGGCTACTGACATCAACCAGAATATTTTCCACGCCTTCTTCTATATTCCGACTGAGCGGTAGCCCAGGGATGTCCCTCATCCTTTGGGTGCTAGCAGGTGTAATCTCAACATGCGGGGCGATGGTCATGCTGGAATTCGGCTCTATCATCCCTAGATCCGGGGGGATGAAGGTCTACCTGGAGCGATCCTTCTCGCCGAAACTGTTGGTTACATGCACATATCTATTCTACTGTGTTTTTCTCCGTTAGTATCCCTCGATTCATCTATCATATGCCTCTAACAAAACGAAGAGGTATCCTCGGGTAATGCCATAACTTGCGCATCATACCTCCTCAAAGCTACGGGCGTTGAATCAACAACATGGAAGCTTCGGGGTCTAGCAGTTGCCGCCGTGTCTTTTGCGGTGGGAATTCATATCGTTGTTCCGCGCGTTGGTCGAGGCTTGCAGGATGCGATGAGCGCAGTGAAGTTATTCATCCTCTTTTTCATTGTCTGCACTGGCTTTGCAGCACTCGGGGGGCACCTGAATATTCCCAATCCGCATAATTTCGATCTCTCTACATCGTTCCAGGGAACATCAAATAATGGCTATAACATCGGGATGGCCCTTTTAGATGCGATCTTCTCGTTTCAGGGATACGATAATATGAACATGGTACGTCCATTTACATTTCAGAGACAAGAGAATTAGCTGATGTGATGAATAGGTTCTTTCTGAAGTGAAGAATCCTCAACGAACTCTTCGGATTGCTTTGCCGACAGCTATGGCCAGCATAACTGTTCTCTATGTGCTAGCAAACGTTGCTTATGTAGGTCTCCCCTTGCAGCATTATTCGCATGTCTAACTCTACTCCAGTTTGCTGGCGTATCAAGAGAAGAATTCCGAGATTCAGAACTCACAATTGCCGCATCGCTCTTCAAGAACGTTTTCGGCGAGACGGCCGGCGCAAAAGCTCTCCCGGCATTAGTTGCAATCTCGGCCGTAGGCCATCTTCTCGGGGTTGCATTCACTGTTCGTGAGTATCACCAACCCTACCTCATAGATGGACACTGTAGAGTATTTGCTAATATTCAGTATAGCGCGAGTCATTCAAGAATTAGCCAAAGATGGCATTATGCCGTTCCCAGATATCATCATGCAAAATCGTCCCTTCCGAACTCCAATCTGGGCGCTATTCATCCATTTAGGAATGACGGTTCTTTTCATCTGTGGTCCTCCAGCGGGAGACGCATTTGAATTTGTTGTCAGTCTGAATTCCTATCCGACGGTGTTGCTTCTTACTGCTGTCACCATTGGATTGATTAAACTGCGAATGACAAAAGATGAGAATTTACAGTCCACTTTTACTGTTCCGTGGTCTGTTCTTGCCTTCTACATGATTGGAAACATTGTAAGTAGCAGTTTCATCTTTCATTAATGGACGCCACATATTAACTCGAATTATAGTTCCTCCTCGTCATGCCTTTCGTCCCACCACCGAATGGCAAGGGAAGTACCAGCCTCCCCTACTGGCTGTCGACGGTTGTTTCCTTGGCTATTCTGGCGCTGGGTATTATTTATTATCTTGTTCGCTTTGTTTTGTTACCCTGGATCTTCGGATATGAGCTTCAGTCGGTTATTGTTGATCTTAGCGACGGATCTCAAGTATCAAGGTATCAAATCGTAAGGACATGGGCTGCATGCCCAGTTCAGAATTAAGCAATACGATATCTTAGAAGACTTCATAGTATAATTATATTGAGAAGCACGGCTTACGCACTGTAAGCCGCATAGACCAACAAATCCAGTATCGTTATGAATTTTTCAAAACACCAATAAAGTGGTATAGACACAATTATCTCGAGCCAACATGCTCAACAGTAACAGAACCAGGCTTCTCACCTCCATCATTGTTGGTTTGGAGTCCCTTTTGGTGCGCCAGCACCTCTTCGCCTTGAGCAACGTGGTTAGCACCACCGAACAAGGTGTCGATCTCCTCAAGTGGAACCTGCTTAGTCTCCGGGATGAAGAAGAAGACGAAGATGGCGAGGAGGAAGTTGATTCCCGCGAACATGTAAAAGGCGAAGAAGCCTTCGTTGTCGAGGAAGATGGGGAAGAATTGCTGGACGATGGCGTTGGCGACATTTTGGGTCTGCGAAGCCATTCCGACGGCTTGGGCGCGGACGTTCATCGAGAAGATTTCGGATGTCCAAATCCAAACAGTTGCGCCCCAAGATGGTTTGTCTGTGAGAAGGTCTTAGTATTGTTTCTTTGGGAATGATGCGATCGAGTGATGGGGTCAACTTACAGAAGAAGATGAATAGGAATAGGAGGAACACAATCGATATACCGACAGGTTCTGATTTAGCTCCACTGGCAAGAGAAGGCGTTTCGGTTTCGACAGCAGAGACGATAATCATGCAAAGACCCATGCCGATACCACCGACAATCAGAAGGAACTTTCGGCCAAATCGATCGACAATCCACACAGCGTTCAGAGTAAAGAGAATTCCAAATGTAGCGTTCAATGCGTTGATGAGAGCAATCTGGCTGCTGCTGGTGAACACTTTCTGGTAAATCTTGGTGGAGTACGAGTTGAGCGAGCCTTGTCCGGTAATTTGTTGACCGGCGTTGAGGATCAATGCCAGGCCCATACGTTTGCGGAGAGACTTGTCCTTCCAGAGAGCGGAGTAGTTGCCAGAGATGGCTTCCTTCTCGTATTCAATGGCCTCACGAATCTCCAGAAGCTCTTGCTCGACTTCTTCCTCAGTATCACGAACCTTCTGGAGAGCGGCGCGAGCCTTGTCGATCTGGTTTCCTCGTTTAACGTACCTATGAATGATCAGTACTAGAAATTGATGAGAGAATATCTGCACTTGAAACTTACCAACGGGGACTGCCAGGGATAGTAGGAAGGAGAATGAGAATGAGCACTGGAACAAGGATCTGGAAAATAACGACCAGCTTCCAGTCCCACTCGCCCAGAGCAGCAGTGTGCTTGGTGCAACCGAAGTTGATCCAGAAGCAGAGGAATGATCCAACAGAGTAGAACATCTGCCAGAAGGTCATGATCTTACCACGGATCTCGGACGGTGCCAGTTCACCAATGTAGATAGGACCAGCGGCTGGAAAGGGCTCGCCGTTAGCTCATGCATAACGTACCAAGGAATGGAAGAAAAAGAAATACTCACTTAAAGCGATACCCTGACCAACACCAATGATGCATCGACCTGCCAGGAAGAGGGCAATGTTGTGTCGAGGACTGAAAGTTTGCATGAATGTGGCGATAATAACCAGCCCACAACCAATTCCCATACCAACCTTGCGGCCCAAGAAATCGGCACAGGGGCCGCCCAGGAAGAAACCACCGAAAATGGCGCCGACCGTGTATGCTGTATTAATAGAGCCAATTGTGTTTGCGTTTGGATTGTTCATCCATGCTACCCAGTTCTTGGATCCTTGGACGGAGTTGAAGACAGACGCATCGTAACCGTAAAGCACCATGCATGATGCAGCAACGAGAGAGATGTACCTGTAGCCTGTGTTAGATGTTTGCTCATCAAATCAATGGCGCGGTACGAACCAATTGAAGGCTCTCTTGCGGGTCATTAAGACACCCATCCTGGCGGTTGTGGGTAGGACACTGAAGGAATAGGATGAAATTAAGAATAGAGGTGAGGTATGTAGTTGAGACCAAATGAAAAACACCACACTCCGGTCGTACCTAGTAAGTCGTGACCCTCGAGTGAAGTGAGAAAGCAACTAACAATATGGAAGTCTAGGGGGGGGTAGGGAATGGGCCTAGATATAAAAGAAATGCTTAGGGTATTGGGGGGCAAAACCATCCCAGTCCATGTGAGACGAAAAAGCCATGGCGCAAGTCAGACTATCCCCAGAATTCACAACCCCAGACACGCTAAGAGCCATTTGGGCTTTTGATAACGGGGAAGCTGTTCTCCAGGATCGCTGAGTGGTGGGGTATCTGGAGTCGAACCGCACATGGCAGAGTGTATTCCAGCCCTGATCCATTTTCGATTGGCTTGAAGCTCTCGAGATGAACTAGTACAGACCTGGGGTAATGCTAATCTGGGGTTCGAGGATATTTTTCGTGGTTGTTCCGGCGAGATGAATAGTTCGGATTTCCACGAATCGGCGGTCTGGAGGACGGAGGCTTGGGAGAAAGTCGACTCCACCAATAGGGTAAAATTGTCATTAAAGCTAGGATAAAAGAATGAAGGATCCAATGCCAATACCAAAAAAAAAGTAAGAGATTATAAGCGAAGCTTGGCTTCGGAGTGATTTGGTTCCATCCCATGACTAGATTCCGTTAGGGCTGACATGCAGTTCTTTATGGCCATGTGACTGCCACTCACCGTTTTCTGTTTTGGGTATGGAATGAGTTATTGTTTGTTTAAAAGGTCTTATTTATAATATCATTTACTGAATATCTTTGAATGAGCATCTTGTGCTGTCGGATTTATCTTTTATATCTGAAAATCGGGGAATCACAGATCTCAGACAGATATAGATCCAGCGATACCTGAACAACACGAAATACTCGAGGACTTGATGTGCTTGTCTTGAAACATATAAGCTAACCTTAATGTATCATTGTAGCAGAAGATGATGGCCACAACATCGGCAACGGTCATCTCTAATGAAACTTCCTGGTAGTTAGTTGATAAGAGTACTACCAATAATACTAATTCGAGCACTTTTAGCACTTGGAAATGAGTCTTGAAAAAGAGAAAAATCGGGTGGCAAAGGAGTGAAAATTGAAAGGTAAAAATTAATGCAAAAGACGAGCTAGCATAGGCATGATGATCTACTAGCGTTGATAAGTGTAAGTGTTAAGGAAAATATTCTACCCAAATACTTCAGATTGAACTATGTTTGTTCGGCTGTAAGAGTTCGGCTGTAAGAGTATGAAAGAATTTACTGTGCATTCACAAGGGACAGAAGGCCCTAGAGTGAGAAATGCTAGGGGAGTATGCATACAGTAGGTAGGTGCCTTGGGGTCGGATAGATAAAAAAGTTCCCTAGTACATCGTTTAGTTACACCATAATGTGTATAAAGTATCCCCAGGCCCTCTCATTATATATTGCTAAATTATATATAAATTGAACGTGAGAGATGGCCAAAGATCTTGATCTCTCGAACAATGCGTGGATAATATCATCCTTTTACCCCCGGCAGTGGCCATAAAGATTTGCTGAAAGTGCCTAAGAAGCTTCCGATATATTTTATAGGTTTAGAGCTGCGAAGTGACTGCAAAAAGTTCCCCCAATGGCACTTTAAATCGACAGTCAGAAAAAGTCGATGTATAGCGCGTGGGGACTAAACGCAAATATTTCCTAACAGTACATTGATCTTTTTAGCTTGGAGGCTCTGGAAGTAAACGGTGATCTTCATTTATGTATTTATTTGTAAAAAATACACAGGACAGTTGCAAATATTTGCTATTTTCGAAAGAAGAAGTTGTGCAAGCAATAAAACAGTATAGCGATCACGTGTGTTCGTGATGCAAGAACGCGCCAGGCAAGTCCCCGCAATGGCAGCGTTATCCCGTAACTCTTTGAGCATGGCGATGGTTTTTCGGCATTGCCACATATAAAAGTCCAAATTTTACCACTGGTTCTCTTCGACCTCGCAAACGCCGAACGTACCGAATTACTATGGCGCCGCGCAAAACAACCAAAAAACAGACGCGATTGGCCTTCGCTTCAACCACTGCGCCTTCTGGCACAGCGAGCCCGGAGCAAAGCAGCCGATACTCAACCCTCCAGTACAGCAACCCAGGATCAGGAGTGTATCGCGCGAAGCCTCACAAAGTCAAGACTGAGACCAAAGTTAAACCGCGAGCCAAGCCCAAGAGACAGTCCCGACTTCCTACGCAAAGTGCACAGGCTGTCTCGAAGTTCAACGAAACACCAAATAGTAAGGATTTAGTCTGTCTTCAGTGTGAGTCTTTTGATACTGACCATATTGCTTCTACAGACGAACCAAACGAATCATCCTCCGACGAAATTTCCTTCTCTGCGCGAAAGCAAGTCACGCACCCTAGCGTACAGGTAGTGCTCAATAACTGTAAAAAAAATCCGGACAAACCCCAGAGCTTGAAGAAATCAGGCCGAGGATTGCGTTCTTCGGGAGAACAGTCTAGTTCCCGCCAGAAGCGCAAGCGCAAGGCGACAAGCTCCCCGATTGTGCTGAGCGACTCCGGCGAGCCTCTGAACACTCAGAAGCGCAGACGTGGCCAGGAAGAAAGCACTCCGGTAAAGGCAGAACAAGAAGAAGAAGACGATGATTCGGACTTGCCGGTTCGGTCTTCAGCTGTGAAGAGACTTAGGCGTGGCCAGACGCAAAGCACCCCGGTCAAGGCTTCCCAGGATGATGATGATGATGATGACGACTCCGACGTACCAATTCGTTCTTCCGCTGTGAAGAGACTCCGGCGTGGCCAAGTGCAAATATTGCCTAGTGAAAACAGTGAAGAAGATGACACCGATGAGTCGGTTCAATCCTCGCCCGCGAAAAGGCTCAGACGTGGACAAGACATGACCCTTCCTCAGTCACCACGAACTCCACGCAACATATCGAACCAGGCTAGACTTGACCTTGCAGAAGATTTAGATGACCTTCAAGATTCAGGTATGAGCTGACTAGTGTAAATGTTTGCTTGAACTATGCTAATACCAGACATGTATAGTTGTTCGAAAGAGCCGCACTCGTGGTAATATTGCGGGATCTGCTCGAAACAGCAGACTGAAGAATCTCGAAATCCTCCGGCGCCGACGGGCCGGTCTGAAAGAAGAGCAAAGCGAGGACGAATCTGAAGAAGAATCCGATTCAGAAATTCAAGAGATTGACCAAAATGGAACGAAGATCAGTCCTTCGACCCATAACCATAGCTGGAAACAACACGAGGAGGCAGATAGCGACGTGGAGTCTGTCATTGCTGCCAACGAAGATCTAGACCGCTATGAAGACGACTTCGTCCTGGAAGACGAGCCAAACGACCTCGGCGTCCCCACTGAGGCCATTCCCCTCGAATTCACCCGACACGCATACAAACAACCCAAAGACTACTTCCGCGATGTAGTATACTGGATGGTCCAGAACAAACTCAACCCGGCGTTCCCCCGCTCAGACCCGATGTTCAACATGGCATTCGCGAAACTGGAAGACGAAGTCAAGGGTCGATCTGGCTCTCAGCTTATTTCTTCAGTCTGGACTCCCGAATTCATCTATGCCATTCAAGCTCGCCCGTCTATGGAAATCACTGCGTTCCCCACGGAAGAGGATCATCCATGTGATGCGTGCAGGCGTTCCGGCCATCCTGCCTCCTTCGATCTGAAGCCGTACGACAAAGCATATTCCCTGGAGACACTGGAACCTCTGAAAGATGACAGTGAAGACAGTGAAGATCAGTCTAAAGATGATGACAGCAGTCTGGATGATGGCAAGGAACGAGACCGAGATGGCCACATAATTCCACCAGAGGGCAAGCACTTCTACCTAGGAAGGTAAGCGTTGACAGCATCGAACGAAATCATTGACAAATCCGAATCTCGCTAACTATTTTCAACAGGACATGCAAGGGTAGAGCTGTGCTGGCACATACCCTCATCCACTGGCGCTACCACCTTAATGTATGGGTCATCAGTTACCTCGAGGACATTGGCCACATGCATGATGATGAAATCCTTCGACGGAACAACATGAGCACCAAGAAGAAGACGCGCAATGCGAATGATGTTCTCGATCAAATGGTTGCCGGTGGAATAGTTGATGGGCTCTGGCGCGATTTCCACATCAATCTCCGGTCCGCTCGTGAAAAGGAGGTTTGTTCTGGTTCTGTTCCTTATAAATGACTGTTTACTGATTTGGGTTGTAGTCAATTTTCGTTTGAGATGGCTTCCATCGCCTCTATCTCATGGGTTTACGGTTCTACGGCTTTGCTGTTCTACGCTACATGGGTTTCGAATATTATGGCATTTATATGCCCCAATGTTGCCGGTTGCTGACCCCGACTCATTTGCTCATTGCCTTGCTTTGCTCCTCTTTGCATGATTTGCGAAACCAAATCCTCACTCTTATTTTTGGTTTTGTTTAGTTCTTTGCTAGTGATACCCCAAGTTCCTTGCCCTATTCTGCCAGTTTCAGCGTCAGGCCTGACGCTCCAGTGCCCCATTCCCTATTCTGTATGTTCATGGCCCCAGGCTAGCGGCTCCCCTTAACTTTTACTGCACAGGTAGCCACAGTATAGCTGGCTACCTGAAGCATTTATTGTACTTTGACACAGCGGCAAGGTCAATGCTTCAATCGTAATTAGTTATCTACATATCAAGCGATCTTCTACAAACCAGTCCAACCCTTGCTGAACTAGTATGAGCACAATTGCGATATATGCCATGACAAGAAAACCCCTTCATTTTTCATTACTTAGACATGCAGACGAACGGTAGAGAAGAGGAAAAGGTGTATAGAGAAACAAGAAGGAAGATGATTGGGGGTTGTACAAATACATGCATGCATAAGCTGCCGGAGCCAAAATGTCAAAAGGCATGAGAGATGCGAGATAGAAAAAGTCAAAAAACGGGGTATGACACAAGGTCCGAACAAAGCGCCCTGCGACAGAATGAGAGATAGGAGGCATATGTCTTTGATCGCCTTTCCTGATTCCCGTCGGTTGAGGTTGGCCGGTTCGGAATTTACTCTCGCAGTGTATGTACGCAGGTTTCCCGCCGCCCCTGAAAGTTGCTGGCTGTCAACTTTTCATGTGGGAGATCGGTCGCACGGTTTGCAGACAGTTCCCCTGTTTTCCATGGTATTAATTTACAGAGTGGGTTGAGCCTCCTTCTCGAGCTCGGTGCCGGGGGTGAGCATCTATTTCAACTCAAGTTAGCAACCATGTGAAAGAACATACAACAGAGGGTAGAGTTGAAAGATATTTTTGTTCCAGGAGCCAATTGCACGTGTCATTTGCGCAGATGACACGAATCGAAACCCGTAGTCATCAGGCCAATTACAGACAATGATCACGGATATATTCAGGAAGGAGAAAGAAAAATAAATGTGTACACATACCTCGTTAGCACCCTTGATCATACCCTGCTCACGCTCCATCTGGATGTACTGCTCCTCCTCAGCGTAAGCAAGAGCGAAAGGAACACCGAGCAAGAAAGCGCTGGTGCTGATAACCCAGAGAGCCTTTCCAGAGAAAGACAAGCTAGCCTTGGTGAGGGATGTGACGGAAGAAACGGAGTTGGTGAAGGTGCGGCGGGCGGAGGGGGGGATCATGTCTTTCAGGGCAGCGACACGCTCGTACAGGGACTCGGCATCGAGCTCGAGGTCCTCATCATTGGAGATCTCGGAGTCTATTGGTCATTGAAGATCTTGTTAGATACGTGTTCATGATAATTCGCGATGAATGTGTTCGTTTCCCGGGAACATGTTGGGTCGCGTGTTTGGAAGACTTCGAGACAGGGATATTGTGATTGGTCATGGGGATGATGATCGAGGGGGATGAGAACGGAAGAGGCATCTCGCCGAAATGGGATTGGACAAATTGTAGATGACAATGGCGCCGTGCAAGTTTTCCGGGGTAGAAAGTATGGGCGTGAATCCGGGATACTAACCAGTGTCTGAGTAGTCCTCGTCATCGTCGGAGACCAGGAGAGCATCATCCTTGGTGGTGGAGGGCTTCTCGGAGAAGTGCTCGTCTTCGACCTCAGTAAGCTTGACCATTTTGGGCGGTATTGGATAGTAATAACGGAGGGGATCGAGTTGAAGGTGATGGTTGATGATGGAAAGTCGCTCTGCGAATCGCTCCGACTTTTTTGCCGAAAAGCGGCGAAGAGCTTGGACCCACCTACGATGTCATCTTCGTGTTTACTTGACTTGGACTGTCTATCAAGTTAAGAGAGGTGTATTCTACAATGATATTCTGGCCATTTTCTATAATTACAGATCATCCTCTGGATGCGACTTCTTACATGACCTATTATATCCGACTACACGGCTTCGAGGCATCGTTGAACTGATTACCTCCGGCCAAGCTGCCACCGGGCAATGCGGTCCTGGATCTCTTCCCAGGGGAAAGAACGCAGCTTGTAACCCTCCAACTCGCCTTCCTGCAGCACAACAGTGGGTTTGCCAGTACCCTTGCCATTGTTGTGAATCTGGCCACCAAAGACCTGGCGAGCCACACGGCGCAGATCTTCAATGGTGAGAGCATCGATCTGCTCGCACATCTCGCGAATGCTGACTTTGTGACCGTGAACCTGCACCTGGCGACCGAGATCCTCCAGCTCGACCATCCGAGACTCAAGGTTCATCAGCAGAGACGAGCGAAGCTGGTTCTTTGCACGGTTGACTTCCTGTGCCTGGAGGGCGGTGTATCCAGTGTCCAAAGTCAAGGACTGGAGCTCACGGCACATGACCTCCAGCATCTGGTTTGTGCGGGTGGGACTGCAAGAAGCAGAGATTCCGAAGATTCCGCTATCAGTGTAGCTGTGGTTGAAAGCAATGCAGCTCTCGACCCAACCGTGCTGGTTCAGCACGTTTGTATAAAGTCGCGAGTACATGCCCTTTCCGGGTCCACCGGCGGAGAAAGAACCACCACCACCAAGGAGAGTTTGGAGGGTAGCGAGGGCATAGATATCAGGCGAGGAGATGGGGAGGGCCTCGAATGCAAGGTGGAGGTAACTCAATCGAGGGAGCATGGGACTCGCCGGTGGGGGGATTGGGGGAAGAGCAATAAAGCCACCAGTGTAATGAGCAGGCTGTCTAAGGTTAAGAGCAGAAGGCTCAACCAGGGACGAGTGGAGAGGCTCGACAGTAGAATGGTTTGAGGAGGAAAGATGCTTGAGGAAAGGAAGCTTCGACAAGAACGATGATTGTGTGTTTTCGGAGGCAGCCGGGCTGCTGATGGTCGATGAGGGAGTGAACTGAGGAACGGTTGGGACCTGGCCCTCGTGGGCAGCCGCTGGGGAGTCGGAAAGGGAAGTTTCTATTCCAGAGCCTGAGAGCACAGGGCCCTTGGTTTTGCTGGTGTCATTTGCCTTCATGTCCCCGAAGTATTGCTCGGTGAGCTTCACGGCCTCAGCGTGGGGAACTCCAGCAAAAGCGACGACCATGCGGTCAGGGTTGAAGAAGACCTCACGGTAGCGTTCTACTACAGCCTTGTTGATCTCACCTAGTCGCTCCTCGGGACATAGCAGGGGGTTTCCAAGTGTGTTGTTGCTGTACGCGGTCATGTGGACCAACTCCGGCAGGATAAGTTCAGGCTTCGCCCAAATCTCGCCGATCTCGTACTCGGCCACGGCGAGTTGTTGAAGCACTTCTTCCTCGGTAATAAGAGGATCCCGGATGGTTTCTGCTAGCAGACCAATTGTGGTGGGAACTGCCGAGTTGAAGCTAGCAGACTGGTACATGAGCGACTCGCGGGACGAGGCGCACTGGATGTTGCCGCCCAAACCCTCAAGAGTCTCGAGCATATTGTCTGCGCTGCGAGTTTTGGTTGATTTAAATGCTAAACGATCCATGATATGGCTGACACCGCGCAGGCTGGCATCTTCATACCGGGATCCGGCATCGACGTAGACTCCGACACCCGCGAAAGGGCCCGGTAATGATTCCGTGGCGACGCGAACGCCATTGGGGAGTGTGGTGATTTGTTCGAGATCGGCAGGATCCTGCAAAGGAAAGGAAACATTAGTTATCTTGAAGATAGCTCTATGATGCAAAGATTCAGTTACCTTGGACGATTCATGGGCTGTAGAGAAGCTTCTTGACACAGCGCGAGGAGCCCGGGTCAGAGGTTTCGCGGACTCAAGAGCCCGTAATGCGGTGTGGCGCATGGTGTTCAGGTATTTAGAAATGCAACGACCTTTTAAATTGAGATTGCTTGGTACACCTGATAATCCCGGGGGTGTTGTAACTCAGATAGTCGGCAAAGAATCATATGGAGCCTTGATCCGAGAATGCTTAGATAATCGGTTGTATGATGGATGGATCTTCCATCGAATCGATTTTTGTGATATTAATAATAAGTTTGTTCCAGCTAGTCATTTACTTATTACAACCCCGAGGATCGGGTTTCTGTCATTATTTTTGTCTAGACTTCTCTAGGGCTGCCCAGGTGCTGCGGATTGCTTACCAAGACCTGAGGTCTCGAATTTACATGACTCTGAGCCATGATGCCTTCTGCCAACAGCGATAATAGCCCTGGAGAATATAACAATATCGTCAATTTTGGATCTAAACTAACAAGTTCGAATTAGGGATTTTCCGAAACCCAGTTCCGGTACCAATCTAGACAAGAAGCATTCGCAACACTCGCTCCAATCTTAATGTTAAGTCCACACAGAATCTGCTTGACAGCATTTTCAACCTTCTTGCCATTGGATGTCACAGGGATCTCCGGGCAGGCATCAACAACACCAGGGACATGACGGGGACTCAGTTCCTTCCGAATAGTAGCTTGAATGCGAGCAGCAAGGCCCAACGGCATTTCAGACTCGCCCGAAGGAAGACGAACAAACAAAACGACAGTCTCATCAGTATCGATGCCCTCTCTGCGACGACCAATGCACAGCGAGTCTTCAACCTCGTCGGCAAAATGCTTGAGGAGAATGTTGTAGATCTCAGCACTGCCAAATCGGACACCGGAAGGCTTTAGGACGCCGTCACTGCGGCCTAGCATCACCACACCACCAGTTTGGGGGTTCAAGCGCACGTAGTCACCGTGGTGCCAGACCTTGGGTCCAAAGACATCGAAGTAGCTCTTTCGATACTTCTCCGAGCCTACCGATCCGGGTGGCCAGAACATGACCGGTTGCGCAGGGAAGGGAGTAACGCAAACGAGATCACCAGGTTCACCGGTTGCACTAATGTCTCTCCCTGCGTAGTCGAAAACTGAAATATCCATGCCCAAAGAACGGCACTGGATCTCTCCTTTGTAGACAGGGAGAATGGGACATCCAGAGGCGAACAGAGAAAGGATATCAGTGCCACCGGTGATGGAGCCAAGCATGATATCGTGATGGATAGAAGAATAGATATACTCGAAAGTTGATGGTGCCAATGGGGAGCCGGTACTGAAAATGGCTCTCAATGATTCGAGCGAGACTGGTCGATGAGCGTGCTTGCGTGGGTTCAAAGCAGCCTGCTCAAGTAGAGAGAGGTATTTGGCAGATGTGCCAAAGTGTGAGATCTGAAGCTCCTCAATCAGTCGAGGCATTGCCATTTCTCCTTTTCCGCCTTCAACATCAAATGGCCGGAATGGTGAGCCATCGTAAAGAACGATTGTCGCACCACTTGCTAATCCGGAAACTAGCCAATGCCACATCATCCAAGTGGTTGTTGTGAAATAGAAGAGGCGATCACCAGGGCGAATATCGCAGTGGAGAAGATGCTCCTTTTTGTGCTGTAGCAATGTTCCCAAAGACCCATGAACAATCGGCTTGGGGGCACCAGTGGTACCAGATGAGTACAGGATATAGACGGGATGCTCTGGTTTCAAACTTGCAAACTCCAAGGGCGCTTGTGGGTTTTGCACATTCGCAGTGAAGTCACCATACACCATTGACTTCCCATTGACAGGCTTTAGGTCATTCAGATTGATCTCTAATTCCGGAGCAGTCACTAGAAGCACCAATAGCTCTAGGTCCGGCAGCTCGGAAACAATCTCCCACACCTTGGCGTGAGAGCCATGCACCTTACCATTATAGAGAGAGCCATTGTCGGCAAACAGAATCTTGGGCTGAATCTGCTTCAAGCGCTCGAGAACTGCATGTACGCCGGTGTCTGGAGACACGCCAGTCCAATAGGCACCAATCGAGGCTGCGGCCAACATAGCCACCACCGTGTGGACATGGTTGCCTACAAAGCCGGCCACACGATCCCCAGTCACAATTCCTGCTTCTTTCAACGCGTTGGCACATAGACGAACTCGCTCTCGCAGGTCTTTCCACGTGATGAACTCGCGGGCCGCCTCGGTGGCACCAATGACTGCCACGGAATTTTCATCCGGCGCACAAGCTGGATAGAGAAGATTCTCGGTAAAATTCAGAGTGCTACCCTCGAAGAATGAAGGTCTAGGGAATAACACGTCTTTTGTGTCTAGTACCTATGGAGAGTGTTAGTATTTTGACATGGCAGGAAGACCCGTAGCTGCAGGGTTCTATGTAGATATCACTAACTTTGTCATACGGCTGATGGGCAATGATTTTCGTATAACGCCAAATCTCTTCCCAGAAGTGAGCAGGTTCAGAGACACTCCAGTCCCAGAGGGAGTGGTAATCCATGAGGGACAAGCCATGCTTCTTGTTGACTTTGGTCATAAAGTCATAGATCAGAGTTGACTCTGGAGCAGAGGGTCGCCAAAGCTCTTTGGTCTCCGGGTCAAGGCTCTCAATATGAGGCATGATTGCAATAGCTGTACGTTCTAGTTGGAACAGCCCACAATGTGAGATCAAGGGAGGAATTGAGAATCCCAGTAGATTTAACAGCGAGGTTCAATCAGTCTTGGATGCTGTGCAACAATTACCCAGTGGTACATGTAAGATTCAATTCAATTTGAAGCTTGTGATAGGCTTAACAATGCAGCTCCGAGTTACGTGCAGATGCCCCAACAGGGGAGGCGGATATAGTCGGGTATTGAGCTGCCGACCTCCGCGGCACTTTATCCGCACCAGAACCACTATGAATAGGAGACATTCGCCTTCTTTTCCTGCCTACTCTGGTTTCCTGGCCATTGGGATTGATATGTCACATTCTAGGGTGACAAGTGACAGTGACACTGGAAGCCTCAGGTGTCTACAACGCTTTTGTCATGTACGTCATCACTAGAAGTATCCGTTGAAAATTGGAAAAGGCCAATATCAACGATGAAATGGGTATAGTCTACTCCTCCTCTCAACTAACGATTTAAGCTATATTTCTACAGCCATAACCAGGCCATTTGACGGCCAGTATCAAGTCAGGGGAAAAGCCTCGGAGCCGAAAAACTTAGTGTGAAAAATTGCACTTGTAACATCTTGTAATAATACCTCCTTGCACCCCATCATCAGCCAATCACGGCGAGTATTCTGTGTATCTTGTATTTCACGATTACCAGGAGGCCCTGGAACACGCTCATCTTATTTACCTTCTCAGGCTCTCTCCTGACTGTGAACTTCCAACTTCAAGTTCCTCCAGATTGGTCTCTCCGTCATTTGAACGTAGGGCCATTTGCCCCTTGTTCGTTTCCTCCCACTCCACGTGCTTTCCCCAACTCGACTAGCTCAGCCGGAGTCCTCGGATCCCCAAAGTACGTCTGACACTGGTCGAGTCTCAACTTGAATCTGCCTGGCGCAGACCTGAACAATCAACTAACTGCGGTGTCCAGTCAGTTGCTCGAGATCCTACCCGGAGTTCCTGCCTCAACCAGAAAATACAGAACCCGTTGTTTCCTGCGATGCCTCGTCGGTTTAGCAACAACTCCTCCAACGACACTTCCACCTCGCCGTCCTTTTCGCCTTCTTCGGGAAAGGGCGGTAACTTCAAGGCCCCCACGGTCAAATCCAATCGCCTGTCTCAATTCTTCTCGGTTTCACCCAAGTCCAAGGAACAGACGCCAAGTGGGCACTCCCAACCTAATACTTCGCCGCCGATCAGCTCGGCATCACTGTCCCTACCGACGATATCGTTATCTACAGCTACAGCCGATAGTCTAAACATGGACGAGCTTCCAAAGACTCTCTTCCAGCCCCCAAGCCCGGAGGAGGCACGTCGCCAAGCCAAGCAACATGCCCAGTTTGGTCAGATCGGTCATCCCAGTCACCGGTACACCAGTCAGCACCCTGGTGGTGACTTCCCGGAGCCGGTGATGGATGAGCCGCCTTATTATTACCTCCTCACCACCTATATCAGTTATCTAATCCTAATTGCTTTCGGACACGTGCGTGACTTCTTCGGCAAGCGTTTCCGGGAAGAGAACTATCGCCACCTCAAGCCTCGCAATGGATATGGTGCTCTCAATAGCGATTTCGACAACTTCTACGTCCGTCGTCTGAAATTGCGCATCAACGATTGCTTCGAGCGTCCTATTACCGGTGTTCCCGGCCGAACTGTGACCTTGATCGACCGCGGTACGGATGACCATAACCAGCACTTCTACTTGACCGGTACCACGACCGATACCCTGAATTTGAGCTCCTACAATTACCTCGGTTTCGCTCAGTCTGAGGGCCCCTGTGCCGATTTGGCGGAAGAGTCGATCCGGAAATATGGAATCACAGCCCCTAGTACCCGCGCGGAGTCCGGCACCCAGGATATGCATGTTGAAGTCGAGGATTTGGTCGCAAAGTTCGTAGGCAAGGAAGCTTCCATGGTCTTCTCCATGGGATTCGGTACCAATGCCACCATTTTCCCCGCCCTCGTCTCCAAGGGTTGCCTCCTGATCTCCGATGAACTCAATCACGCTTCGATCCGTTTCGGTGCTCGTCTCTCTGGTGCATCAATTGCCATGTTCAAGCACAATGATATGCGGGACCTCGAATTGCGGCTTCGGGAGGCCATCTCTCAAGGTCAACCCCGTACCCACCGTCCCTGGAAAAAGATTCTGGTTGTGGTTGAGGGTCTGTACTCGATGGAAGGCTCCATGTGCAATCTTCCTAGTCTGGTGGAACTGAAGCGCCGTTACAAGTTCAACTTGTTTGTTGATGAGGCCCACTCGATTGGTGCTATTGGCCCCAATGGTCGCGGTGTTTGTGACTACTTCGGTATCGATACTGCCGAGGTCGATATCCTCATGGGAACACTCACCAAGTCCTTCGGTGCCAACGGTGGATACATTGCCGCAGACAAGGTTATGATCGATCAGCTCCGAGCCACGAATCCCGGTGTCTTCTACGGCGAGTCACCCGCACCAGCAATTCTTTCCCAGATCGCCTCCGCTCTTCGTATCATCAGCGGTGAGATGGTTCCTGGCCAGGGTGAGGAGCGACTGCAACGCTTAGCCTTCAACTCACGATACCTTCGTCTGGGTTTGAAGCGTCTTGGCTTTATAGTGTACGGCCACGACGACTCTCCCATCATTCCTGTTTTGCTCTTCAACCCGGCTAAAATGCCCGCCTTCTCCCACGAGATGCTCCGGCGCAAGATCTCCGTGGTTGTTGTCGGTTATCCGGCTACTCCTCTGGTTTCGTCCCGTGCTCGTTTCTGTGTCTCCGCGGCCCACACCAAGGAAGACCTCGACCGTGTTTTGACCGCCTGTGACGAAATTGGCAATGTCCTGCAGCTCAAGTTTTCCACTGGTATCGCGGGTGGTGCCATCCCTGCTGCCGAACAGCCTGCTCCTCCTCCGGAGATGGAGAAGGAATGGCACCGCAAGCGCTCAGAACATATCACCCCTCCTCGCTGGCGCATCGAAGATGTCATCCGCCGCGGTGTCCAAGATGTCAAAACCCCCTTGTTTTAATTGGCTTCTTCAACCTGCCCGTCGACGTGATGTTGTCTTGAGTTGCTAGCTTCGAGATGAGTCTTCAGGCAGGGTTTGCTTCACGAGCGCGGTTGGTGCTGGTCACGCCGTGTCACGGTCATGATTCTATGTGCTCCTTTTTGGTCTTGTGTTCTGTCTAAATCCCAATGCTTTGCGTGTGTATCCTTAGGCAATTATCATGTCTTCTAGCGCGCACACTAAAGCAGGAAAAGAACCCCGACCTCAGATGTCCAGAGCGAGAAAAGCAAAACAAACCAGGAAAAACGCAAACAGAACCCCAAACGGTCATGAGTTATCAAGCAACGAATGGATATGCCTCGCTTTTCCCTATCTCATCTTTTCACTCCTGGTCCTTTCCCCTTCTTGCATCACATACAGTACATCTCATCCACGTGTCTCTACTTTCTTGTCATTGTACCCCCTTTCACCTTAAATTTTGCCTAATCCCGCCTCGCCCAATTAACCTCTTCATTTCTTAGATCCGTGTCCACGCCCGTAGACACAGATCGGAAATCAGGAAGTCTGTCAAGCAGGTATCCCTGCTTCGATGCACATTATGTATAAGTACTACCACTATCTCACATGCAGGGCAAAGGCTGGCTCCTTTTTTCACTTCTTGTCTTCTTTTTTACTTCTCTGTCCTCTTTAATTAACTTGTTCTTTTCCGTGACTCATGTTTCTCTTTTTATGTGGCTATAGATGTGAAATGGGACCACGGACTTTAGGATATACCTAATTAGTGAACGTTACTTTACATACATCTTGTATCCATGATATTGACTAGTCAGGTAGTAACCTAGTAGGCAGTCAAGTACAGCCAACACTCCTCTCGTCATTGCTCACTTATTATATGCGGCCTTAAAACGTAATCCACACCGCTGCCAGTGACATCGGTTTTCCCGCAATTCTTGTCTCAATTATGTACTCTGGAAGTAATTAAAAACATTCATTACATTATCCTCATGTATATACCAATATCAGTATCAATCAATTCATAATCAAAGTATTTCAAACGTAGTTTAGAACAAGTAGGATGAGAAGGTGCGGAGCAGGATAATAAAACCTAGTTATCCCACACAATCAAATGGATACACTTAAAGGAAAAGAGCAACGGCAGCAATAGCACCAAGTGCACAGACAGCTCCGGAGATAGTACGCGAAGAGGCACCGTTGAATGCAGGCGATGGGCTGCTGCTAGCAGTGGTACTGGTCGAGGTAGAGCCAATCGAGCCAATGATGGTAGTACCGACATCAGCACTAGAGCTGGAGCTGGAACCAGCAGTAGCGTCGACACCGGTGGCGCCAGATGGCGTGGCGATGGGGGAGCTCTTGGCTGTGGATGAGATGATGCGGATCAGGCTTGAAGGAGTGTTGACGCGAGATGCGCCGTTGGGGTTGGATCCGGCGGAGACTCCAGAGTTGGAGGTCGAGCTAGAACCAGAGCCAGAGCTGGAGGGGCCAGATACGGAGTCAGAGCCAGCGCCTGTTGATACTTCACTCTCGTTGGTACCGATAGTCGAACCAGAGCTGGAACCGGAGTTGGAACCGGTGGAAACAGTCGACTGATTAGAACCAGCATTGGCACTGGCACCCTCACCAGATCCTGACTCGGAAGTAGACTCGGATCCAGATCCAGAGACACCAGTCTGAACAGAACCGCTAGCACCACCGGTAGCAGTGCCAGTAACAGTCACAACGGAGAAGGCAGTCGAGGTTCTAGTCTCAGTGCCCACAACAATAGTCGTCGTAGCAATAGGAATGGACGAAGTCTGAGCGGCACCGACAGCGGTCGTAGTCTTGGCCGGGGCAGCAGTATTGACGCCAACAGGGACGACAGTAGTTCCGGCAACGAGAGTCTCAGTTTTAACGTGTGTGGTCTTCTCGCGGGCTGGGCAGTCGGTGACTGTGGCTGGGCATTCAGTTACGGTGACGGTTCTTGTTGAGAGGATTGTTGAGGTGGTGTGGTCTTCACCGCTGCCGCTTCCATTGCCATTGTTGTTGCCAGCGGCGCCGGTGGTGTGGGCGTTCACGGCAGCAGTGGTTGTGGTGCTGCTCTCGGCGACAGGGCAGACGGTAGTGGAGACGAGAATTGTCTCTGTGGTGACGAAGGTTGTCTTCTCGGTGGCGGGGCAGTCGGTGACAGTGGAGGGGCAGGCGGTGATTGTCTCGGTGCGAGTGCTGAAGACGGTCGAGGTGGTCATCTCTGGGGCCGGTGTTTCGACTGGGGAGGCAGAAGCAGTAATCGTGGCACTTGAGCCAGTGGCCTGGTTTCCATTGCCATTTCCATTGCCATTACCGTTGCCGTTGACAGAAGAGCTGGTAGACTGGGATCCAACAGCAGCAGTGGTAGTGGTGCTGCCCTCCTCGACGGGGCAGACAGTGGTTGAGATAGCGATAGTCTCGGTGGTGATATAAGTAGTCTTTTCGGTGGCAGGGCAGTCGGTCACAGTGGAAGGACAAGCAGTGATAGTATCGGTGCGAGTCTCATAGACAGTGGAGGTGGTCATCTCTGGGGCAGGGGTCTCGACTGGGGAGACAGAAGCGGTGATTGTGGCGCTCGAGCTGGTGACCTGGTTTCCGTTGCCGTTGCCATTGCCGTTGCCAGAAGAGCCGCTGGACTGGGATCCAGCAGCAGAAGCGGTAGTGGTGCTGCCCTCCTCGACGGGGCAGACAGTAGTTGAGACAGCGATAGTCTCGGTGGTGATATAAGTAGTCTTTTCGGTGGCAGGGCAGTCAGTCACGGTCGAAGGGCAAGCGGTGATAGTATCAGTGCGGGTCTCATAGACAGTGGAGGTGGTCATGGCCTGAGTAGGAGTTCCTGCAGGGGAAGAGGTGACTGGGGTGGATGTAGCTTGGGCTGCACCGCTGGACTGGCCAGGGCCACTGTGGGCGGCGCCAGAGGACTGGATATCACTACTAGAAGCGGTGTTTGCGGGTCCGGTGACAACAGGGGTTCGGACAATGGTAACAGGGGTGCTGCTCAGGGAAATTCCATTCGAGGAGGAAGCGTGGGAGCTAGACTGGGCAGGAAGAGATCCAGAAGCAGAGCCGGAGGGGGATGCAGAGGGGGCAGCAGGAGTCTCAGACACAGCAACACTGCTAGATGATCCGGATCCAACAGAGCTAGGGTTAGCAGAGGCAGAGGCAGAGGCAGAAGCAGAGGTAGAAGCAGAGCCGGAGGGAGATCCTGAAGGAACAGCAGATCCATTGGGAACGGCGACACTGCTAGAGGAGCCAGATTCAACGGAGCTAGGGTGAGCAGAAGCAGAGCCGGAAGCAGATCCGGAGGGAGAACCAGAGGGAGAACCAGAGGGAGAACCAGAGGGAGTAGCAGGGGTGCTGGTCACAGCGACACTGCTAGAGGAACCGGATCCAACAGAGCTAGGCTGAGCAGAAGGAGAACCGGAAGCAGAACCTGAGGGAGTCCCAGAGGGAGTAGCAGGGGTGCCAGATGGAACGACACTGCTTGACTGTCCAGATCCGTGAGAGCTGGGAAGTGCAGAAGGTGATCCAGAGGGAGTTCCAGAAGGAGCAGCAGGGGTGCCAGAAGGAGAGCCAGAAGGAGAGCCAGAAGGAGCAGCCGATCCACTAGGAACAGCAACACTGCTCGAAGCTCCAGCTCCATTAGAGCTAGGCAAAGCGGAAGCCGAAGCGGAAGCAGACACAGAAGGAGAAACAGGCGAAGAGACAGGCACACTAGAAGGAGTCTGGGCGGGAGTGGAAGCAGCAACAGAGGAAGACGAAGCCGAGGAGCAAACTCCCTCGAGGACGATATTATCAACGTCAACAACAATCGCCGAGTCCGCAGCATTAGGGCAAAGAATGGTGATGATGACATCAGCCCCAGTCGAGTCCGCAGTCCACTCCGAAGAAATCGAAACAAACTCAGAGTTCACGCCGTGGGTACTATCATCAATGGTTTTACCATTGAGCATGATCTCCACCTCACACGAAGCAGGCAGGGCAGTTGACCCAGCGCTCTGGCGGTAATCCATGGAGAACTTGTAAAGCTGGCCGGCGATTGTGCCGGTGATAGATTGGTGCATGAGAGTTTCCGAGCCAACCTCGGCGGATGTCAGGTGTCTAATGGGGATGTCAGTAGTGCTAATTAGACATTCTTACATGTCCAGGAATAGATAGTCCTGGGAGAAGAACGAACAGATAACCATCCACAACACTTCCCCCGAAGGAATCTGCCAAGTCGCCCCGGAATCAATATCAGTGTCGTCGAACGAGCCATTCTCAATTAGATTTCCAGATCCACAGCTGGTCGAAGACGTAGATGCCACGGCGGCGGGAGTCGTCTGCGGCGCGGTAACGGTCAACGCAGCAGCAGGCAAGACATGGGCGAGCCACATCAGCCGGGCAGGGACCATCATTATTGCGGTGGTATGTAGGTACCAAGTAATTCAAAACGAATGGACGGGTGAATATCACCACTAGAGAATGGACGAGAAAAAAAAAACCGAACGAGAGATCGGATTTTTCAGTAGTCAAGTCCAAAAAGGGTCCTCGCGGGGCTTTTTACGGGGTCTTTATATATACATGCTCGACTAGGGTACTTTGGCTTCGCGAGGTCTGGGGTGATGTCCTGCGGCTATGGTGGTGTTGCCCTCGGGTTTAGCCTGCGACTGGGTGGCGTTGACTCCACTCGGAAGATTAGTTCGCTCTGGCAACTTGAAGCGAGAAACTTGGCTGATTATGGACTGGGCCTCTTGGTTCCTGCATTGCTTGGGCTGGATTTGGCGGGTTTTGCTGTGTGCATCTCGGGTGGCTGTTGAAAGGGGAAATTGGGGGATTCGTGTTGGGCGAGTTAGGGCTTGTGGTTTGTGTCAGCGGCTACAGTAGATTTGTCTTGTCTCGGAATGTCAGATGTTCAGGGGGTAAGTTGGTTCGGGGTTTGTTCTTGTTCTTTACTCTTCTTCGATTGATCACTTAGAACACGAATAACCATGTACACATATCTACAATCGACCAAATAGATGGATTTGGGAGTTTGGAATTGCGGCGATCAGGAACCGATCTATCCGAGCTCGGCCAGGCTAACCACGTTTAAGCCCCATCAGCGCTAACGTCCAGAGTCCACTCTCGGACTTGCCCTGGAAAGGGTTTTCAATAGTCGCTCTATTCTTGAACGTGAGCTTTGGGCATGTCTCGGTCCTAGCCGATGTGAGAATATGATGTGTATGCATTAAACCCGACGTCCAACCATAGCATTTCCCCTCTCGATGCAAAAAGGTACACACACCCCCCAATGTAGTAAAACCAAAAACGCCAAATAACCAAGACAAATGATGCCAAGTAAGGCAGAAAAGGGAAGAAAAAAAATCAAGGAACAAAACAAAAAGAGGATCGATTCGATCCATTCATGTCATCATACAATGCATCGTGCCTGATCCACTCCAAATGGACAGGTGAAAAAAGAAAGAAAACGCTTCATAAACAAACGTCATTAAACCGTACCGTACCGGCCACGTTCCGAGCCAAGCAAAGCCTGTCCCTCTTGTGATCGCGAAAGATCTCTCGACTCCCGCTCTGGTGAAGTAGATGGAATCCAGCCACGCATCCAGCCACGAACACGCTTCCAGCTGCTCCGGCCACGCTTCGGGTCACCGTTCTCATTACTGATGAAACTGTCGTCATCCTCAGAATCTGGGCCATCGCCGTACATCAGGAACTGAACGCCCATGAACCCATCCAGCCCGAGAACACCGAATGCACCAAGAAAGAATGGAAGCGAACGTCCGATCCATTCCAAGCGATCGTTTCCGTGGCTATCGGCCCACCCACCGCCGCCATATGGTGCGAAGTCCGACCAGGCGTTCGGGTTGGTGAGCAGGGAGGTGGAGTAGAACAAGTTTCCGCAGAAGGCGGCCATGAAGAGCAGAGGGGAGAGGCCTTCTGTGCTTTTGCGCTGATAGTTCTTATACAGCTGGGGCGGACGCGAGCCGAGGTAGAGCAGCGTTGACATCCAGGAGATGATGCGGCCGAAAATCTCGAGGATAGCCTCGTTGGGTGCGTGTGAGATAGGCGGGTGGGGCGATTCAGTGGGAGCGGCGTTGGCAACCATGGCGCAAACCAGGGACGCGATCAGCATTGTCCGGGGCAGCATGAAAGGGGGGCTCGGAGCACTGCTGCCCACTTGGACAGAGCGGCGCGAGGAGCTCAGTTTCTCGTTTGAGTATGAGGCATTCTGGTTGGTCGATCTGGGAATCGAGCCGGACTGAATATCCATATCTTTGGCTTCCGCTGCCTTGGTGTTCATGTTGACTGCTGATAGTGTGCGATGGCTTCCTTCGTGGCCAGGAGGAGAGACGCCTTGGAGGATTTCTCGGCCATCCGAGTCGAAGGAGTGCGACAAGTCGTCGTAGTCTCCATTCCGACGAGCTTTCAGGTGTGTATACCAGAAGAACTGGAAGACCATGGTGATGTCAACCAGGACATAGTAGCCTGCTACCACGACCTGCCACCCCGCCTGTCTAGTAAAGAGCGCTCCCACCAGGTTGCTTGCATCCCCTAGACACCAGATAATCAGAAAGAATATCGACAACCCGGATGTTGATTGCAGCTGGAAGTTCTTGAATATTTGAGGCAGTTGGGCAAAGAGCCAAGAGACAATGCTGAGGGTTCCGAGAACGGAGGAGATCGCCGCTAAGGGTGTGGGGATGCAGATGTGGAGATGCGACGAGACGGCGGTCAGGAAGGGTGAAGTCGGTTCACAGTGGTCAGGCAGTGACGCAGAAAGGAGGTTGTGTAATAATGGAGGAGACATGTCTATGTATATCTGAAGTCCACGACGAGCTCTATGGTGTGGTTGGTGTGCACGGGGGTGTGTGCACAGAGGTGGGATATGGGGTAAAAACCGCTAGGCGATAAGCAATCCGGGGTAGGCTGAGAAAGAGAAGCGAGGATGAAGAGGAGGGAGTCTGATCTTAAGTGTATAAGTGTATGGTCTATGAACAGGAGTAATAAAGGGAGAATACAAAAGAAAAGAAAGAAGAACCGGTCACACTGAAGTGTCACGAGAGCTGTTATCTCGGGGCTGATCGGATGACTCATGATAAGGGTCTCCGTCCTATCAGTGGGGGACTTTGGCCTGACGGAGTCTCATTACTTGAGTCTATGTATGTGTCCAGTTTGGGCCATCCCTGGAAGTGCAGATCAGCTTGATTAGACTGGACTCGTTTGACTTGATTATCGGATTCTGGTCCCACTACCAAGACTTGAGTCGACTGAGTGCTGTTAATAAGACGTCACGTGTACCGCCTGGGGTGCATTATTGACTTCTACCATAGGCTAAATCGTAGGAAATAAACACGTCCTGATGCGTGTCCTAATGCAAGAATGTCCCCATGGATCGCCAAGCGCTTACTCCGAAAGTCAGGAGGAAGCCACAGTATATTTTTGAGGTCTAGGTGTATCCATTCACCACGTTCACTCAAAGACAGACGCGTACATTTTGAATGAGAAGTATCCTCCGCCTGTCCAGACCCAATGTTGAAGGTGTCAAAGTTGGGGATTAGATACGAACCACCCGGAGAAAAGTCGAGATTCAGTATAGGTGGATCCGTGTCCACGGGTGAATGATATTTTGTTGATCATCCGTTTTTGTGTCCCAAGCCCGTAGGCTTTTATCATCAGAGTCTGACGCTAGTAATTGTCCGTTAGGCGAGAACCATGGCTAACCAGAATCTCGTCAATCAAAATCTATTTCGGATTTGCTGTTTGGGGAAGAGAAAAGCTGGGCAAAATAATAGGGTAGAATAACTTTATACAATCCCGAACGTCAGACTTCATAAACTTGCCCGAAACTGCCATACAGTATATCATTCAGACGGCTCCGCGGAGATCCAAGATTGGGAACCTGCGAACTGATCCAGTTTCAATCCCTCGAGAGGAACCTTCAGTTCCTCAAATATGGAGGTGAAGCAAGAGTTAGAGCAGTGATGTGGATAGTTGGGTCCATTGCTCGAACAGCTCAAAGATGGACCATACCATTCTGGAGATTCGAATGACAGTACTCTCTGAACAAGAGACTTGTGATTCAAATTCAGGAAAGGAGCCTCAGGGTCCGGTAAAAGCAGGTGGCTTGCCTGCATCTGCATAGAAAGAGCCCCATGCATGATTGAGCGACACTCAAAACAACAGCCCCGAATGTGGTTTAAAAAGGCATCCCGTGTTCCATGAAGAAGGACAATCAAGTTGTTGATTGCCTTCTCTCTACATTCGTTCATTGAACCTATAATACCATCAGTTATTAAGCACTAAGAAATATTTGTCTACCCTCACCTATGATATTGTCCGGGATCGGAAGTCCCAAATGATCAACCCATCCGTCACTTTTTGATATAGCATTGGAAGTCGAGAGTTCAAATTGGCAAGGGAGTTGGAAAAACCAGGCAATCCATACCCATAAGATCGAATCCCGAAAGACCGCCGTAGGGATATCTTCCTCCAAATTATTGATCCACACATCTTTCGGAAAATACAAAACTTCCTTGCAGTCATAGTAGTCCGCTATAACTGCAACTTTGGCGAGCATCTCCAGGGTCAGCTTTCGGGGTATATGATAGAATTGGCCGTGAATAGCCCGAAATAGAATCATAAATGCCTCAATATCCCAGCTTTCTGCAGTAATCTCAACCAAGCCTTTTTGGAAGTAAGTAACACTTTCTTTCCAGCCACCAGTCAGTATCTTTTTGAAGACCGGGGAGGCAGAAATTAGATGCTTTGCGGACATCTGAATGCATAAACCGTTGTCGACCGTGAGCTCATCGAACTTTCCATCAATAGCAGGCTCTTCGGTAGCGGGCGTACATCTCCTTGCCTTTTTCTTTCTCTTGGTACTCTTTCCTGACTTTTTGAACAAGTCTTGAGCATCATCAGTGAACCACGTAGATGGACTTTCAGCTAGTTGTGCAAATTGACTGTTCGCATTGCGCAAGATTATGATCACTTCACCGTCTGGATCTATGATATGAGTTGGCGAGTTCATCTTGATTCGTAGAGAGGCTGAAGTAATGAATGAACGAAGACTCCTGTAAACTGAGATGGTAGAGGTGTATATAACCTTGCTCGCTGGATCAGTAGGATTAAATATAGCCAGATCATGATTAATCAATTAGATTGCGGCCTGATACATCAAAGGGCTCATTGGGGGCTAGACTATCCTTGTGCTATTCTGTTCTATGCATTTCCACAGAAAACTACAGTATCACTACCAAACTACGTTTTGTGTGTTGCAGCTATTGCTAGTTCAATTATGGTCGGAGCTGTATCTTGCAGCGAACTATTGCATACTGGGAATAGTTTATCTGAATCAAAAAGTAAGAGATGGAGACATATCCGATTTCGTAGAATACTGTAAGCAAATATCAAGTCCGTAGAGTATCATAAAGCATAACCCATAGTCGTATCCAGACACAAGGCCCGAATAGCCCGAAGATAGTGAAACAAGAACCAATAGAGAGACACAAACCCCTCCAACTCAATACTCATCCTCGCCCCGGTGTCTGGAATGACTGCTATGATGCGAACGAGAATGGGAACGATGCGAATGCCCACTATCACTATGCCTCGAATGACTCCGATGATGATGGTGGTGATGATGATGACCATGCCGACCATGGCGATGCTCAGACTCATCATCGCGATCATGCTTCTTATGATCCTTCACCTTGTCCTCTAGGAAATTGCCTAGAATCGCACCGCCGATCGCTCCAAGCAAACCATGGTCCTTCTTGTGGCCGAAGTAATAGCCCGCCGCACCGCCAGCTAGCGAACTTCCCAACCCACGATCGGTTTCTCGGTCTGAGCCTTGCTCGTTGTCTGAGCGCTGCTCCTTCTCGTCACGGCGTGTATCATGGTCCGAGATGTAGACTGCCGGTGGGTGGGGGCTTACTGAGGGCGTATAGCGTGGTTTTTCAGCTGGGTGGTCATTGCTTGTTCAAGTTAGTTTTGATATATGCTGATTTCGCTGATAATTTCCTTACTAGTATCCCAAGTTCTCGCCGCTGCGTGCATACGGGTTCGCCGAAGCGCCGGGAGCGAGGTAGTTGGGCTGCCCAGTAGGAGTGTGACTTCTGGGCGCATGAGATTCTGCAGCGAGGTTGTACGAGCTGGACTGTGGGGGATAGGCATGGTTTTGTTCTGGGATTGGCTGTGGATCTGCAGTTCCGTATGGCTGCTGGTATGGATATGCAGGGTATTGAGACTGATCTTCTGGGGGATAGTAGCCTACGCCGCCCGGCGCGGGCGTCGAGTATGAACCATATGGATTGTATGGATCTGCCATGGTTGAGTGCTAAGGTTGGAATTTTCCAGGGCAGAAATGGTTTATATGTCAGACTGTCTGATGACTAGAGGGGGGGCTATACATCATGGCGCGGCTGACCTGCCCGCACGACCCTCTGGAATGCGCTTGCCCTCCAATGACTTGGCTTCAGGATTTATGTTTAGATTGTTTGATTCTATCTCGTACAAAGCAACTGGACATTTGGTACGTCATCTAAACTGCAGATGGCAGAATAAGATAAAGCAAAATAACTAACAAGGATGAGTCGGGGTATTCCGGTGTAAAATGGACAGAAAACATGTAAACAGGGCTGGCCATGAGGACATTCAAAATCTCATCGCTCAACTGAGACGATGGAAAATGCAGAGAATTTGCGCCAAGGGGGTGACAGGGTAAAGAAAGGGAAGGTGAAAAGAAAGAAGGGTCGGCCAAAAGTGATGTGCCCAGCACATTCGAAAGCCTCCTGGCAATCTATGAACAGAAGAGATGAAACTGATCAACCAACTAGATTGGACTTTGCATGCTTCGCGCTGGGCCAGAACTGTTCGTGCGTTGTGACATCCAGTTCACAAGCATCTCATCAAGCTGGTTGTTCATTTCCTTGAGCCGCTTGCTTTCCTCCTTGAAGAGTCGGCCAGTAATGGGGTGGTCGGGGCCAGCAGGAGGAACATTTGATTTGTCATGGACAATGATGAACAAGTCACGAATGTCATTTTCTTCGTCCATGTATGATCGTAGACTGGAGTCGCTCCAGGTAGGTGTGTCCACGGAAAGAGTATCCATAGATGCTGGAGTAGCGGCGCTGCCCTTGTGATAGTTCGTATCATTCCCGGGCGAGGATGGCGCCGATGGCGGTGAGAGAGAGCGTACTCCTTGCGGTGAGGCGTCGAGGGTCAAGCCCGGGGCGCCAACAGGGATGTATCCCTCCACAGGAGAGAGGTCAACAGGTGACTCCGGCTCGTGATCTCTAGGTGCAAACTTGGGCGTAAACTTTTGAGGTGGGGACATGACAGAGGCTGAGGCAGCTGCGCGCGCAATTTCACTAGGAGCTATCCATTGTGCTTCACTGGATGTGCGTTCAACAGGCGAAGCCAGGGCGTCCCTGGATTCAACGGGAGTGGCAAAGGGATCCCTGGAAAGACTATGCTGGCTGACGGGAGATGACAGCACAATGTCACACTCCTCAAAGGCTTCATCCTCCTGCGATGTCACCTTTCGGATAGTCTGGTCAGAACTCTGTTTGGACTCGGGCTTGGAGTATTCGGCCATTGCAGGATCGAGCTCTGTATCCACCTTCATAATCCCTGGAGGCTGCTTCTGTAGCTTTTTGTTCGTGTCCTTCTGGTGCTGGGGCTGATGTTTGATGGGTCGTTGTTCGGGCGACAATGACTTTGATGAAATTGAGTCCATCGAAGTCTTGGGTTCCGGAGACTTCTCCCCATCCTCGACCTCATCTCTGCTCTTCTTGCGCTTGAACAGACCACTGAGCATTCCAGGTTTCTTGTCCTTTCGCTTCTTATCCTCCTTGAATTTGTCCAGTGTCTGTGGGTTGGATCCTTTTTCAATGGATTCGAAACTTCCACGAGGCTTTTTGAAGATTAGCATACCGACTTCTTGATTTTTTTGCAAGGATCTTACCTCTTTCCATTCAGCCAAGCCGCCACTACCACCGCCGCCGCCGGATTCATCGCGAAGCAAGTTGGGGGTGAGAGAAATCTTTTTAGGCTCGGCTGTGTCGTCTTTGAAAAACGAGTCGGTGTTCCGTACAGTGCCATTTCTGGATCTACTGACAGTGGGTTCTGTTTGGAAGAGTGAGTTACAAAAACAACCCGAGAATAACACAAGAGTGCTCCTACCTTCTGATTCAAAGAATTCTTCACTTGATGGGCGTCGGTCGGAGCTTGAACGGTGCGATTCTGCTTGCACACCCTGGATTTCGGTTGGTTCGACAGTCTTCTCCTTCTGTCCCTTGGGGCGAAGTGGTTCGACAACGATATCTTCGGTTTGGTCTTGCGCATCTTCTTCTTCTCCATCGAGGGTCTCATCATCGTTGAAAAAGTCGCCGTGCTCGGAGTCTTCGTCGCTAGAATATTCAACATCCGAGGCCTCAATATATGTAGGAGGCGCGAAATTGACGTTCTTTGCGTTCCGGCGGCGCATTGCCTTCTTCAAAGGATTCTTCGACTTCTCATTGTTATCGCCCAGCATGGTCGCAGAGAGCTGCTCAAGTTAACAGATGTTCGAAAATTATCAGTGGCAGCACATACATCGACGTTCCTGTGTTTATTCAATCTAGCCAATCGTTCGGTTGGCGTTTCGATGTGCTCTGCGGGGAGGTATCCTACACAAGTCAATAACAGCCATGCTGACCCCTTAGATATGACATACCAATACTTCCATCCTTTACCACGCGGACCAGCCACCAATAGCTGTTGCTGTCATCGAGAAGCACCATAGTATCGCCCTTGGCAGCATTTGCTTGTCCATCGACAGTAGCAACAAAGTTGTGAAGCGCATAAACGAATTCGAAATCGATATCCTCTGTGCATTGTCAGCAATGGTCGTCTCTTCGGAAAAGTCCCCGAGAATCATACCATCATCAATACTGGGCGAGCTGGATATTTTGTCCATCAAATCGTCGTCGTCCATCAGATCATCGCTTTCTCCGTCTGCCAAATCACCATCTTCGTGCTCGTAGTCTCCATCTTCATCTTCGTCGTCATCGGGCTCGCGATACACGCTCTTGTCGGGTCCATTGGTTATTTCGGATTTGGAGTCTTGTTCCGCATGACGGATGGACTGTTCTTGATGGGGAGCAGGCCGGCCGCTCCCGAGGGGCTCTGGGTGTTCGGGTTGTTTAGAGTGATCTTTGGCAGAGGGTGTATCGTGGTCTTGGAGATCCAAAGTATCTAGGAGACATAGCGGTCAGTACTCGACTTCGGAACCTTGCTGCGCAACAGACGCATGCTTCGCAACAGACGCATGGGACATACCAGCGCGGATTATCTGGGGTCTCGTCATGTTGTCGAATTAAACGAGTGATTTATGGAGGACAATTGAGCAAGAAGTGAAACAAGTCGTGAGTGCAAGGAGTGACTAGCGGTCGACAAGTATGATAGTTGAAAGAGAAGCACCAGACAAAAGGTATGCGCGAGTCTCCAGAATTCCTGTTTCTCAGAGCTGCACACAAGGGCCAAATGTCGGTCGGGGTCACCAACAAGACGTTGAATTGACCCGAAGGAGAGACAGCACCCTTGGAGAATAGTGGGGGGGCTGGTCTGCGATGCACGTCCTCTGCACGGGGCGGGCGACACGAGGTGGACGCAAAGAAGAAGGAATTACTGCCAGAGTGACATCAAGAAAAGAACAACAAAAGAACCAAGATGTGTCGACGTCGAGTCTGAATAGGGTCTCCTTTGTCTCCAATAACCAAAAGGAGGTCGTCTCAAAACAAGCGCCCCTTGCGCGCGGCTAATCATGGCTCAATGACCCCTGAAACTGGCCCGATTGAGGACTTAGGGCTTAGGGCTATCCTATCAGATGGAGTCAGCTGATCTCGGGACTTCCCGGGTGGGACCTCAAGCTCATTTGCTGCGTCATCAATCCAACCCGACTTTTCCCTGTCCCCGCCAGGGACTCTTACCAATGCATCACTTTTGATTCCCTTTGCTATACCTACTTCTGTACCCACCTTGAATCTCTTCGACTGTTGTCTTGACAATCTCTTCACTTCTACTCTTCTACGCCTCTACTCCTTGACACCACCACAGCTTATTTGAACCCGTTTTTTTGTCTCCACTTCCGACGCTATCACCCCCACAATATTCATTTCCAACACACAGCACTGCACCGCAGAGGGTTATATAGCCCTACTGCAGGACTGTCAAGTGCTCAAAACGACCAAAATACTGTTCTCCGTGTCCTTTTAGGGCATGGCGTACACCGAGAGGAACGGACTTGCGCATGGATTGGCGGGCTTGAGGATTGAAACTTCATTTCCTCGAACCAGTTCCCGATGGGGCAATGAAGATGGGAGGAAAGAGACAGAAGAGGGCGATGGTATCCAGAGCGACCACATCAATGAATCTCATGATTACAACGCGCGTCGCCGCGATACTGATGAAGACCACAGTGTGTTAAGTGATCTCCACTCAGCGACCCCTCCCATTTCTGTCCCGCGCCCCGACGAGCAGCCAACGGACAACGATGAAGACTTTCCACACAAACCCGACGATATTCAGGGCTCTCCACTTGACAGCTACTTGCAAAATCGTCGCCCCTCTATCAGTTTCAACCCGACGGTCTCTGTGGACTCTGGTAATCAAATCCCTCTGGAGGAGCCACTTTCGATTGGTGATGTGAAGAACCGACCACCGCAACGATTCGAGTCTCGCAGCTCAGGACTGCGCAATGCACTTTCTCAAGACGACGAGACGATCGCTTCGCCGCACGACTCCATGTGGAGTCCCAAACGATCCCAGGCTCGGAGTTTCCCGACCGGACAATCCCGACCGCAGCCTGTTGCGAAATCTGACGATGCTTCAGGCATGGGAACGGAGATCGATCACCCGACGTCACTTACATCACAGTCAACCGTATCTCCGACGAGCGAGGTGCGAACTCCGCCCGATGATTCCAACTCAACGATGCTATCGCCGTTCTGCATGGCATCGCCAAATCAATCGTTCCCGTCGCCAGAAGACCGCAGTTCATGGTCTGGAAGCATCATGACTCCTTTCGGAAGCAAGTCCCGCAGTTCTGTTCTCGACCGCAGTAGCAGTCTGCGCAACTCTACACGCCATAGTTCTCGTCGTTCTACTACCTCTAGTGGCAAATCTCCTGCCAGTATGTTTCTTTCCATGTGGAGCAACCATGAAGAGCCTGCTCCACAGCCCGATGACGAAGGACAGATGGTTGGAACAGACTATGTCCTTGGAAAGCAAATCGGGTTTGGGGGGTTCAGCACCGTGAAAGAGGCCTATAAGGTCGAAGAGCACGGTGAAACCAAACGGCTCGCGGTCAAGATTGTAAAGAGAATCATCACAGACCGAAGTGAGAAGGAAAACGACGAGGTACAGGCAGAGTTTGACCACGAGGTGCGAGTTTGGCGGTATCTAAACCACCCGCATATTTTGACGCTTGATGCCGTGTACGAAACAGAATACGCCACGTTTTGCTTCACTAAGTTTGCTATTGGTGGCACTCTTTTCGACCTTGTGCGTCAGAACCGATCAGGTCTTGACACAAATCTTGCAAAGAAATACACCTACCAGCTAGCCAGTGCTATCCGCTACCTCCACGAAGATGCCCACGTTGTTCATCGAGATATCAAGCTCGAGAACTGCTTGCTTGATCCTATTGAAGCAGCGGACGGCACAATCTCTTCGAACTTGATTCTCTGTGATTTCGGAATGGCGGAATGGATGTCCGTCGACGATGGCGGGGACTCCCCAGATCCCTACGACGACGCAGCTGACCGTCCCCCGCTCAAAAACATCGGTCCTGCGGGCTCTAGTACCAGTGTCGCAGGTAGCTTGGAATATGCATCTCCCGAATTACTCCAATCAGAAGACGGCATGATCCACCCTGCAGTCGACATCTGGGCACTCGGCGTCATCGTCTTCACTGTTGTCGTTGGTTCACGTCCCTTCCAGGATGCATTTGCACCTCGCATCCAAGCAAATATTCTCAGCGGCACCTGGAACCAAGACGCTGTTTCCGGCGAGGCCGCAGACCCAACGATCTGCAAGGATCGTCAAGACGCCCTCGACTTGATCCGAGGTTGTCTAGAAATGGACATGAACAAGCGTTGGACCATCAGTGACATCATGTCATGCGCTTGGCTGCGTGAAGTCGCCGAGACTGAACCCTCCGACACCGTATGGAAACTATGAGCGCCCTAGTTTCCGTCACTCTATATATACCGGTTTTACGACCACTATGATACCCATTTGTCTTGTTTCAGACTGTCAGCATTTTCCTATTGTTCACGATCTACTTTCGATATCCATTTTTGCAGCGCGTTTTTATTTCGGGTTTTTGCCTTCTGTTTTTGCTTATATCTCGGTTTTGGTATTGGGTCAGGCATCACGAGACGGACGACTATGATTTTACACGTGGATTGGTACACATGGCGTTTTTTTTTCTCTTCTTGATTTTTGCTCCAATTTGTTCTCTGTTGTACTTTTACACATGCGTGTGATGTTCTCGCATTATGCCTATCTGTGAGATATCTGTTTGGGTGGCTGGTCCGTCCTGCGTATCAAAAAGAATGATATGGCTACGTTCTGCAATATATTCTCAACATCATGAGTTGTAGTATCGAAATGTCAAGTCTGTCTTCGCGACTAGCCCTACGAACAGAAACATATCACAGCGATCATAAGTTTTTCCCACCTATAAATCATAGATACCGAATATGAGTACGAAAATGAGCAACGAGAAGGCGAAAAGGAGAGGACAAGTCAAAATACAAGGAATGCATGCGTCACAAGGAACTTGACTCGAGTACTTCTTGAGGAAATTGCCCCAAAAGTACAAGGCACTGTGGGCCGATTAGAGATCCCTGACGTATACCATGCTGTCCAGTTCCACGTCCAACAATATTTAGCGAATCTACGACAGCCAAATCTGCGGACACTAGATCATCTCCAAAGAAAAATAATTTAAATGTCAAGGCTAAATTTCTAAATTTCATAGCCAAAGATATCCAACAGCTATTGATACATATACAAAAATGGTGTACTCAAAACAAATGCAACATACCCAGTAGACGAGGTCTAACCCCGACTAGGCAAATAAACCAATCTACCAGAGTCTGTTCTCCGGCAAGACCTTCTTCTTCGTAACACCAGCAGCAGACTTCCGCTCCTCGGAAGAACGGAAGAACAAACTGGGACCCTCGGAGCCCTTAAGCAAGTGACTCAAATAACCGCGATGCGCAGGGTCACGGTAGTACTCGATATCACGACGCTTAGTCGGGTCAGGAAGTCTGAACTTGCCCGTCGCAACCTCCAAAACATCAACATCAACAGGCTCAGCCGCTGACACAGCCTTTGAGCCCTGAGAAGCCTGGGCAGCACGATAAGCAGCCGCAGCAGCCTCCAGCAAACCCGACGCACCAGACTTGATATCCCACTGATCGGAAATAAACGAATGCGTCTCACCGGCCAGAATGCGCCGGATGGAAGAGGCAGTGTAGTAGCGCGTCGTGACCGACCCGCCCAGCTTCTCGATGGCGTCGATGGCGGAGGCGGAGGCGCGCGAGACGACGATGTGAATGGGTTGTTTTAGGGCTTCGGCGCCGTCACCTAGAATCTTGACGCCGTCGATGGGGCGATTGATGCAGCCGGAGGAGTGGAGTTCTTTTACGGTGATTGGGAGGGAAGGGTTTAGGCGGCCTTGGTCGATCCAGGATTGGATGCGGTCTAGGTTGACTGTTGCCATGTCGACGGAGAAGCTGGAGCGGATGGGATTAGAGGCTGTCATGGGATTGGGGACGGGGTGTGCATGGGTGTGTGGGTGTTGGGGTAGGGCTTACATGTTGACACCACCACGCTCACCGTGGACGATGATATCCTTGGTCTGACCACCATTGAAGCGGGCAGGGACTTTGCCGTGCTGGCCTTGACCCTTGTGACCGCGACCGGAGGTCTTACCCTTGCCTGAGGCTGGACCGCGACCTCTCCGGATGCGCTTGTTATAAGCGGAGGGATTGTCGGAGAGAGAGGCTAGGATTGAGGCATTGCGGGATTGTGGGAGGAGGAAGGCGAGGGGTGAAGATTGCTGGAGGATGGGCCGAGCGGCGAATTGCTGTAGCTGCGTTGGCAGCGCCATCAGTCGAGGCATGTTGTGACGATGGTTTCTTGGTTGGGTTGGTTTAGGGACGGAGTTTCGAGATTCTCTGATCCGGTGGATTATCTTTGTTCCGATTCCGGGCCCTAACTCTATAGTTGACAGACAAGACGGGGGGCTATTGGGACCTTACGATATCTTGGTCGTTCGAGTGATTGAGCCTTAATGCAGAATTTTCATATACAATATGCTATTGAGATACTCAAGCGATCGACCGAGTTCTACTCCGTGTTCCATACTCATTACGAAAAGGGGAGAAAAAGTACCGGTTGGTAAAATCTAGTATCATATGCTCTTAGCTAAGTCTGCGAGGCAGTAACTAGCAACTCCAAGTATGCAAATGCGAGTAGCGAAAAGCTGATGCTGCTCAACAGGAACTTCCAAAAGAAAATAAACCGTGGATAACGCCGAATATTCCAACCCTTACTGTAAGTATGTTCTGGGCGGAAGCAAATCTAAAATGAAGCGCCAAAGATATGCAAAATAGAATCGTGAGAAAACAAAAAGAACAAAACAAAAGGTGTGTACAGGATAGAAAGACAAGCTAGAGAAGAAGATAAAAAGGTGTACAGTGAAGGAAAGTTTTTGGTTGGCTTCTCGTCGAGGTCGTAACGCGGTGAAGTCGTAAACAAGGAGATGGTAGTTGCAAAAATATTCAAGGGTTGCTTCAACCGGAGTAACTGGTTGGCGGGTAGATCGGTTGAAGATAGGGAGCCTGGTTCCACGCATCGGGCTGGTTGTAGGGTAGCAGGCCGGTCTTGCGCGAAGGATGACCTTTGCTGAGCGGCTGGTAGTGCATGTGGTCGAAAGGCACACTGCGCTGCTGCTGGAGGGAGCTCGACGGAGGCGGGATCAACAGGGTATGAACCGAGCGCACAGGCCGGTAAGGGGAGTTGCGGTTGGCGAGGAAGAAAGATGGAGAGAGATGTGTTTGAGGGGTGTGAACGGAGTAGGCGGAGGCAGCTGGTGATACTGCAGCAGAGGACACGCCATATGGACCCTGGTGGTGTCGGCCCAGGTCGGTAAGTGAAGGTGTGTAAATGCCCGGTGTCATCGAGGGCACGCTGAGAGGAGCCATCTGCTGATAATTTGGAGGCCGGTTATAGATAGGGGGTATGATGGCGGGTAGCTGAGAGGTCGCATTAGGAGGAAGCGACTGAGGCATTGGGTTGGAAGTGGGAAGGTGAGGGAGCGGAAGAAGAGACGAGTTTCCGACCATTGGTGCCACCGGGGCAGAGGTTGGAGTCTGGACTGGAGGCAGAGTGGGCATCGCGTTCATGGTCACCGGGACCGTCATACTAGGAACAGAGGCAGCAGAAGACATTGCCATCCGCTTGGTTGGGTGCAGCTCATCATCCTCATCACGGCTGCGTTTCCGAGAGCCTCCCATTGCAGGCTGTGGCGGGAGGTTGTATGGAAGTCCATTGAGAGGCATGTACCAGTTGGGTTGGGAGTGGGGGCGGAACGAGTCGGTGCCCGGGGGCGACGGCAACTTGGAGCATGGCGACTGTGACTGCACACGGGGCGGCGAGATTTGCAGCATAGGTGCCGATTCGGTAGGCAACATTGACGCCTGGTTGAAGTAGTCACTGAACAAACCCAGCTTGGTGTGCCACCGGGTCCATGCAGCCTCTGAGGAGAACAAGTCATAGCGAATATTGCTGAGGAACTCCACTTCCATGATGTGAATCTCATGCACCGCAATGCCCGACACTTCAGCCCATGTCTTGTTGGTGTAGGTGTTGTCATCCAAAACTAAGCTGAGTCAGCATCTCCAATCTCCAGGCGGTGAAGCGATAAGAACTCACATTTATTGCCAAGCATCAACGCAACCGTCATCAAACGGAACTCGCTGCCTTTCTTGCCTTTGACTCCGGAGTTGAACTTCTTCAGTCGGTAGATGAATAGCAGTGCCAAGAGAATGACATTCTGGCTAACTTGTGTAGTTGACAAAATAGTCGACACCCATTTCTGAAATCCGGGAGTAGGCATCGCTTCAGCGACCAGAGAAGGTACCGGAAATTGGCGATCTTCGATAGCTTGTAGTTTGGAGGTCTTTTCGAACCAGAATAGACAAGTCATCTATTGGTCATTAGCATCTGTCCGGCTGATAACTCCAACATCATTATGCTCACCTGTGCCGCAAACTCCGCCAAATTTCCCTTGCTATTGTTGATAGTCGTAGGAATCCGGAGTTGCGATCCTGATGTGTTCGACTTCTTTTGCGCGGTTGGCTCGGACACTTCCTTGGCGGGTGCCGAATGACTTTGCGGTTTCATGGCGGCCATCATCGAGGATGAGATAGAGTCGAACGGGCGATGGCTATAGAGGTGCGACGGTACGCCGCTTGGCTTCCCATAAGGAACTGCTGGCATGGCATTGTAGGTGACCCCGGTCATGTCGCTGGGAGGTGTAGGTAGACCGTTCCGGAATGGAACAGTCCAAAAAGCCGAGGTATCCAGGGCTTTATCCTCAGTTGGGGGAAAGGTTGTAGAAGAGTGGAAGTCGGCAGTTGAAGACATAGGGAAAGAATGGAGGTCGACACATATGGTTGTTGTATGGCGGTTTCTTGTTTGGGGTTAGAAACCACGATCAAAGCAGGCGGAGTGAGCCGAGTTTTTTCAGCAGCCCATATTCCTATTCAATGAGTAGTCACCCTCAATTGGAATGCAATCAAGGAGAAAAGGGTGGTGAACATCGACCAGAGGGGCAGAGTGAATGATGTATATAGAGTGAACACGATAGGCCCTCAGCAAGATAAACCAGTAGAGATCCAAGCTCCACCCAGGGAAAAATAATGAAGGATATTAAAATAAAAGAAAAAAGAAAATTCAAAACGGAAGTAAAAAATAAAATAAATTGACGAAAATTATAGCAAGTCAAGGCATCATCTCGAAGTCCCACCCGGAGAAAGCGAGAGCCAGAGAGTTTGACCCGGACGCAGGTCCAGGTTGATCCTCCTTTCGTTTGTCCGGTTTGGTCAATCTAGATTGTCTCTAGAAAATAAAAAAAATTATAAAAAAAATAAAGAGTGAATATT